ATATACCATATTTTTACGCTATTTGAGAACGAAGGGCGGCCATTTTGTCTGTCAGTTTTGGGCCAATTTTCACGAATTCGAACTCAGTCGTCCTTAGGGTGTAATGGTGATATAATAATACGGTTTTTTAAATCGGATAAAAATTATGATCTCTATAGGGTCCACAAGCTAAAAATGTGATTTTTGGTACAATCAGGGGCCATAATTCAGGAAGTTACGGTCCGATATGTGCGAAGGGCGGCCATTTTGTCTGTCAGTTTTGGGCCGATTTTCACGAATTCGAACTCAGTCGTCCTTATGGTGTAACGGTGATATAATAATACGTTTTTTTAAATCGGATAAAAATTATGACCTCTATAGGGTCCACAAGCTAAAAACGCGATTTTTCGTACAATCAGGGGCCATAATTCAGGAAGTTACGTCCCGATATGCACGGATATCAAAAGGAACCAAGATCTTTGGGCTATAAGCATACATTTCAAGTTTAAACCAAATGGATAAAAATTGTGACCTCTACAGTGTTCACAAGCTAAAAATGTGATTTTTCGTGCAATCAGGGGCCATAATCCACGAAGTTACGGTCCGATACATGCCAATATCGAAAGGAACCGAGATCTTAGGGTGATAAACCTATATTTCAAGTTTCATTGAAATCTGATAAAAATTGTGACCTGTAGACTGTTCACAAACAATTGTGGTTGGACGGAAGGACAGGGGCGACGACAATATACGTCCACATGAAAATGTGGGCGTATAAAAATGGTAGTCTTCGACCATGATCAAAGGAAATGCAGCGATGTTCCAGTCATGATAGATCGTAGACCTGCATAATCGCGTCATTGAGGGAATTCCTTCTAAGATGTAAATGCATCGTCCAGTGTGAAACTGTTGCTGGAGGCATCCATGATTGTTTACTGTGGTTCACGTGACTGATGTGCAAAGTCTTAATAAGTTAGTGCATATCTTAACTCAACGCGCTTAAATTCCTTACAAAAAGACGTTGAATCGTGCTTACAAAGAATCTGTGAATTTTCCACAAGATTTATCTTCAATCATACAATTTCTACATTGACTGGTAAATCATAATAATAGGTCTGAATAATTACTTTGTATACAAATTATCGATATCAGTATTTATATCAGCCTATAGTTTTACTAAAAGTTTTTCCAATCACATCTCTATTTGCTCATCTACTTAACTCTTAACCCTACCTTATATTTGCCTTGATCACAGCCACAATAACTACTCTCCATAGTATAACTTCTAGCTACACCTAGCTGTCTCCATATAACAACTCTAGCTGTAGCTTCTTTCCCCCTTTCAACAACAAAACTACAACTCTGTAGACAAAATGCTGGTGAAGTTATACTTAATAACCTAGGCAGTGTCTGAAATGTCAACAATAATTGAAAATAAAATACAAGATTATTACTCAAGGAGAAATCCCACATATATTTAATTTCTGTGACATATTTTGTGAAGCACATGTGAAAACTTAGTCATGGACAAAAAAAAAAAACAGAAAAAAAAATAAATCAAAATATTTTGACTTCTCCTTTAACATTTTTTTTCTAGATTTTGGGGTCCGAATCTGCTTGAATATCCTCTCAACTAAAATAAACTATTCTAGGAAATTACGAATTGAAGAAAATGTTCTTTAACAGAGTTAAACAACAAATTTGTAATTACTATTAGAAGCTTATTAGTATGATGTATGTATATTGTCTACCCTCCAGTATTGATCAGTAATTAGTGTCTTAAAAGATACAACAATGTATTTTAAGGTGGAAAACAAATGCATCTATCTAAGATGGGTAATTAAAACACAAATTCAAAGATGAAAAGTAGAAAGGATCTAATTACTGTATTCACATTGATCAAGATCCAAAAAATCAATATCTGTTTAAGATAAAGAGTTCTTCTCATGTCTTAATGAATTAAGAGTAAATCTAAAAATAAGTATGTTTCTACATCTAGGTTTTGGATAGTGAAAATAAAATGATAAAAGTAATGAATCACAAGTTTAATTATTACAGCTCGAACAGTGCAAAAATACATATAACACAGCTGATACAACAGAGCTGATAGACAGTGACATTGGGCTCAAGGACTAGATAGTGGGGTCCACAATCATGAAACAATATATAACTAAACAGAAAACAGCTAGAGTCTGATGGGATGCTTAATTATATACTGGTATCTGTTCTAATAAATCATGTAGTATTTGAAAATGTCACGTCCGTAGAAATTTCTGGAGATTAATATAAAAGAATTCTTCTCTTTTATTTGTATATATGTTTTTATCATGCGTACCACTTCAAAATTCTAATAATGAATATTTGAAGAGGTCTATTTAAAAAAAAAACATGTCATTTTAGGGGAAAAACTTGTTTTGATACACACAGTACCATAAAATATTTGGTAAATTTCTACTGATTACCAGTAATCTAAAATGGCCTTTCTTCAAACAAGATTCTGTTGAAACTGTGAATCATTTGATTTGCACAATATAAAACTATGACCTCTCCTTTAAAACAATATTTTGTTTATTTTTTTACTAATATGAAATGTAATGATATGGGGTTTAACGTCCTACTGTTTTTACTAATAAAAACTAATTAGAATACAAAGGTTGTGGAATGTTGAATATCGATAGTACTTGCCCTTTCATGATCCCTATGCTGTACATTGAATTTGAAAACAATCTGTTGTATAAATCTGTTAAACCCCTTTCCATTTCATTTCGTTATATAAATCTATAGCCTCTATCGCATTCACAAGGTTATCAGAAAAGGGTGGAATCCTGGAACCGAATTGTCACAGAATGTTGAAAATCAATATGGTACCTCCTGTCATGTCCCCAATGCTTCACACCGAATTTGACAAACAAATATGTTTAAAACCCACTGAAAATAGATAGGGTTCGCCCTCTCATGACCTCAAAGCTTTGAAAAATGTCAAAAAATTGATTTATAAACTGTAGAATCTATTGCGTTTACAAACAAGTCAATTGTTGAAGGACCGACAGGATGGACAGGGGCGATAACATAATACACCCACACTGAAATTTGGGTATATAAATATAGTACATCTTGCTTGGTAGCAAAATAACATAATACACCCACACTGAAATTTGGGTATATAAAATATAGTACATCTTGCTTGGTAGCCATGCTTTTAAGAAGAGTCACTAGTATTGAGACGGTATCATAAATTACAGAATTCATCAATTCTCCTTCACTTATTGAACTTTAAATGCAGTTAATTTGAAACAAAATAAAAAAATTTCTTTGATCCTTCAAGATCATGTCCCACATGTGATTTGGAATATAACATAAGAATTGTTGTCTGATGTAAAGACTTTTAATGATCATCTTCAAACAATAAGCAAACAAATCAATAGAATGCAAACATTTAATGAATTCTATGATTCTTTATCTCAGCTATGGACACCACAGTTTGACATTCAGATAAGGCCAGAAAAAAATAACTGTTGGGTTCTGATTCCTACCAACCAACGCTTGAACACACCAAAACTAAACAAAATTAATTGCTGGGCTTTGAGGCAATTAAACAAAAATATATGTCTCTTTGTGGTTTAACATCTGCTTCCACAATAATGAGGTCGCAGGTAAGAATTAGGAGAAGTTGAAGCGTGCTCCTGTATATTAAAATATGGTTTTGCAATCTTTCCATTTGTAGCCTAAGGCATCAAGTCTTTTTATGTGGTCTCTTACTTGCTTTTTTCCAGAAATGTGAATCAAATAACTAATTTGTAAAGTCTAATGATATACAATTGATTACCTTGTAGCCATTGTCTATCTGTTTATTGCCAGTAGATGCTGGGTTTTGAGTATCATTTGGGATCCATGATAAAGTAGGGCAGCAGCCATACATAAATATATTCTTCCTGCGAGAATGACCATGATAATCACAAGACACCTACAAAATATACATAAAATAAGTAACTCTCACACTTTTGGTCACACGATCAGTAATAAAACAGAAAATTACAAGTAATAATTTGATGACTAGTCGCCAGAAACAACTATTACCAGCAAAAGGGTGATTTTGACTTTCCTTGAACTGTTTAGTCTACTGGCAACAAATCATTTATTCATTACTCACAAGTGAAAGTTTTATAGTGTACTATATATACACATGTGTTGGTAGAATTTACAATCGGCCTTGTTCGATAAGTCAAAAAGAGGCAATCACCCAATTAAAAGAGTACAAAATAACCATGTATATTTTCAAAGTAGCCCAGAAAATAACCACTAAGAATCACATATGAAACTTACACTGTAACAATATATAGTACACTATTTTTTAAATACATTACAAATAGAAAATAAAGTTTTGAAAAATTCATTAATGAATTACAAACTACCCCCACAGTTTTTTTTAAATAGAATTCAAACACAAAATATAAATAAATCCAGTAAATTTCTAATGGGCAAAAGGTAGAGCATCTATAATAGGTTGATGTTGATGTGTGTATGAAGTTCCATAAATATATCTTTATGACTCATGAGATGTGCCTCAAAAACGAAAAGGAGCACATTTCAATATCTTTCCCTAACTTTATTCGGCGTGGGATAATAATCATGGGGATGCCCTGATTTGTAACAGTGTGTCGTTTTGAAGATATTAAATAATTCAACTTTTAATTAAACATTATTCAATATTTTCTCATTTCAAAAACAAGATTTTCAAACCAGGGTCCCCGTTTCATAAAGTGTACATAAAGTTATGAACACATTAGTTCAAAAGAGTTGCATGTGTGCTTTGTGAAGTATACATTAGTTTAATTTCATGCATTCATATTTATGTCACTGTAAGCATTTGAAAAATATTTGAATTGTATCTGCTTGCATCAATGTCATAAGATTATTATATCCACATCATATTTGCATTCTAAAATGTTTTAATGGAACATTCCAATAAAACAGAAATTCTAGATTTAATTTCACCTCAATGTAATTTAAAAAGAAAACCTACCAGTGGTGTTTTATTGATGATATTAAGGTAATGTAATAAACCTTTAGTGTGATAAATAGTTGGATGTAATTTAGGACAGGGACGTGACCATCGTCTGTTTAAATCTTCTGCTACTAATGAACTACGATGACTGAAAAAATAAAACAATCATCATAAACTGGCATTTTATTACGGACAATATAATCACATTCTTTAGTGGTCGTGATTACTGTATACCGGTGTGCCATTAACCAAGTTTTTAAGTGAAGTGAGCATGTGCTGTGGCGTTGTACTACCAACGGTTGTAGGTATAAACATACTCGATATGGTGACCTTGACTTATATACTGAGATGGGCAAACAACCCAAATCATACTGCACTTGCTTCATTCCAAACTTAAACTTGTAAACCAAATGCTATCTACAATCGTCCGTTAAAGTAACTGTGCATGATTTGCATTTATCGAAAAATATCAACATGGCTTAATCCACACTAACATGTACTCAGATCAATTGTTTAACATTGAATTTAGGAAACAAAATAAAAATATCAACGCTAGATAATCTGTTGGCTTGGATTCAATAGGATTAAAAACAGGCCCATCAATTAGATTTCGTAAAACATAAAGACTTCTAACTACTGGCGATTACCGTAGATTGCAAAATGGTGGGAAGTTCCACTTTAAAGAAATGTAGATCAGTGTTGTTGACAGATTCTCTCAAAAAAAAGAAGCAAGAATGGAATTTCAGTTCATCATAGCTTTAAGTAAATACTGAACAGATTTTTGGACTGATATTCCCATTAGAGATTCAGCTTTTATTGTAATTTGTAGGAGTTGCCTATATTAGTCAAATCATGTTCAGAGACTTTAAGAACATACACATTTTGTGCATATACGACCCAGAGAATTCCTGGGTAATAATGAACAGACAGAATTGTTTTAAAAAGGGGGGTGGAAACATAAGTCTTACTGAGCAGGGAGAGTCCAAAACTTTCTTTAACCTTTAAGAGAGGTAACTGTTGTCATCATGGTCTCTAATAGCATCAGTGAGTCGATGCCGAGAAATTGAACTAGAAAATATCAAAACACAGCTATTTGTTAAGAATATCATACACAAGGCAGGATATCATGCTTACACTCTCCAAAATACACTTCATATATAGAACTCAACTCATCAGTGATACAACTGTTGTCATTTGGTTAGTTCATTTAGTAAACATATTGAAAAATTATCTTACAGTGAAAAATAATACAACAAACAAATGTGGCAGTTTTATTGATGATCTGCAAGGTAAACTTTATTGTTTAATTTAATCCAGTATAGTGAAAGTTTAATTTGATGTTGTAAATAAAAAATAACACAGATTAGTAATGTATGAAACATTCTCTTTTCTAGAGTGAATGTGAAATGCCCTCTGTGTGTGTGTGTGTGTGTGATTGAAGAAAAAGCACTTGTTGAGAAGCATTAGTAAATAATTCCAGCAGTGATGTACACTGAACAATCTGTGAACGAGTGTTTGTGGCATAACGTTATTGAAGTATTCAGACTAGGCAAATCAAGAAAAGAAACCTGTTCCAAGTTCCGTTACTACAACTATTTAATCAGAAGGCCGATTAGAACTCCATGTGACCTATATAAGCAGCTCTCCCATCTCTAAAGACGAAAAGTGCATCAAAATATGTAGTTCTTCATGTATGTATGTATGTTAAGTCTCTCACGCATTCGGAGCCAATAAAAATCATTTAAGACGGGAGTGATGTGTGATTTTGATCTAGCTTTAGTCACAATGCGTGCAGCACGATTTTGGATCCTTTGCAACTTGGAAATTTGTTCATCAGTTACTCCAGAAAATATGGCATTGCAGTAGTCAATTCTGGACAGCACGAATGATCGAGCCAGTGCAGCAGCTGCACTTTCAGGTATAAAATGACAGATTTATCCTATTCTTCGAAGATGAAAATGGCAAATCTTGCAGGAGTTGTTTATGTGAGAGTTAAAACTGAGGTTTGAATCGAAGAACACTCGAAAATTTTTCACAACATTTGATATCGGAAAATCTGAATTGCCTATTTTGAGAGATTTCGCAATGCAAGTATTAAGTCTGTGATCAGGTCCAATAAGGAGAAGCTCAGTTTTGTCGTCATTAAGCTTTAACATATTGGTGGACATCCAGTTCTTAATACTGTTTAGGCAACTTTCCAAATTACCAATTGTGGAGAGCTGGCTGACAGTGTTGAGGTTAAATTTATCGATCAGCTGTGTGTCATCAGCATAAAAATGGGGCTGAATGTTATAACTATTGATGTGGTTTCCATGGGATTTTATATACAGTGTAAATAAAAGAGGTCCCAACACTGAACCTTGAGGTACACCACAGGATAATTGCACATGCTTTGACGAAGAGTTATTAATGTCAACATACTGATATGTCAACATAATAATGTCATACCCTTTGTATTTCCATTATTGTAGTGTAATATACTCGCTTACTTAAATTGTGTCTGAACAGCAGAACCCTGGGGAAAAAAAATATAGTATCATCGATCCTAATTCAAATTCAAAGTCCACAAACAATACATAAATTTTGCCAGAAAAAAGTTATAAATAACTGGGAGTATCAAAATTGATGTCATTACTATAGCAAATTCTTAATATACTAAAGTGCACTTCTAATAAGCTATAATACTTTGTCTCGTTTACTTCACATAAACTACATAACACAATAGCCTATTTGATTATTATATTTCATTAGACACATGGATAGAAACAAGTCAGTCGTTAATTAGTTCACATTATCAACCCCTAATGGAAAGTGTAGGTGTAGAGCATTTGGTGGTCTCAGTTCTACTCTTATGGGAAAATTAGGTAATTGACAAAACCATTTCCAGGGGTAGAGCTGTATTGGCTATATTTGAGGACATATCTCTGGAATTATGATCATATGTTAATTAGTGTAAGCCCTGTTAACATCTAATCCCGTCCTCCAGTGATCCAGTCTTCAACCAGTCATCATGAATCCTGTAGTAAAAGAGTTCAATGTATCATCATTAATAGCAGGCCAGGACAAACCGACAGGGGAAAACTGGCATGCTTATTGAGTTTACTCGAAGGGCAGAAGAAATTAGTAGCCATTTACTACAGAGAAAAGCTAGATGCATCAGAACACAGCCATAACAGCATCATCTACACATTCCACAGAAGATTCCACACTATAGAGAATCTATAAAAATATGACTTTCCTGTCACTTACTCTGAAGAATACACTCGCGACCTTCAGATAAGTGCAGGACTGGCGCAAGGTCTACATAGAAGGGTGAAACGTTCAAAAAGAGAATAAGGGAGGTGAAGATGTTCATCCACAAAGATAAGGTCAAAGTCATACCACACCTTGTCATTCTAAAAACTGACTACAGCGATGCTACTGTTAGGATTTCCATGAATGACCAAGCCTCTCTCTGGTTTTGATGTAGAAAAGTTGGTCACAGTCGAAGAGATTGCCCTTTGCAGAGTCCAGAGAAAAAGATTCCAGTCAAAAAGTGAATCCCAAACTCCTCATCAGTCCCCACAGAAAAAAACAACAGTAACCCACGTACCAAAATTCCACTAGTCAGAAAACAGTAGAAAAACAATCCTAACACAATAAAACCCAGAACCAGTCTCAAGTAACCCTCAGTGTCACAACATTGTCAAAGAAACGAAGGAGGAAGGGGGGTCTCGACATCTCCTTCGTGGCACTCAAGATCACCCTCTGAATCCCCAACCAAGAATACTAATCACGAGTAGCCAATCAACCCAAAACTAGACAAGTTTTAGAGAGAGAAAGAGTGAGGGGAAAAACCCCATCACCAAACAAAGACATTGTCTGTGATATCACCTAGGTGGAAGAGGACGTAAAATCACCTACTGAAGTTATTGAAGAAGAAGAATGGAATTGTTATGAATGGATTAAGACCAAAATAAAAATTTGGTTTGAGTATATGGAAACACAAGATCTTCAAATTTAAGCACATACCATCTTTTTTATGTTCATTTTATGTGCTCTTTAAACTGAAATGTTTATTATTGAAATAGATACCTTGATGAATTACTCTGACCTTTGTACTGGTCTTTTTCCAGAAGGTTTCAGAAGTCTTATCAAAGAAACAGAAATTTAGTTTTGGAAGCCATTAAAATAGGCTGGCTGTCATGGCTGATTTGATATTTTTTTTTTATGGTGTCCAACATTGAGTTCAATGACAAAAAAACCACATGCATACAATAACTATATATAACAATCATGCTGTTAAGGATGCATTATGTAAGAATTAGTTAAAGAGCTGACCGTTCTTGTTGTAGTAGTTCAAAACTAGATAATGTAAAATGAATATATTGAAAATTTCATTCACATTACTTTATTCTGAGCGAAGTTGTCACTGTTTGAAGTTTTGAAAAGATGAGGCATAGATTGTTTATTATTTTAATAACAGTACTTGTTATTTGCCATTTTTAAATTAAATGGCGACCATCGTTTTATCTGCTTAAATCTTCACCATATCTAGAGAGTTGATTATAGGCTTGTCATGTGAATAAATGTCTAAATAATAGTTTATATAACATTTGAAGCCAAAATATACATCTGCAATAGGCAGATTTAGCTCTTACATAATGCATCTTTAAAGATCTCATACATTAGGCTCGAAATATTGACTAACATTCTGAAGCAACCAGCAGAAAAATAAATAAGCAGGTAGACATAACTAGTATTTTTTTAAAGACATATTTATAAATCCTACAAGTAGCCTAATGTAGATATAATAGGTCTACTTACATTTACCGAAAACTTGTAATCATTTTTGCATAATAATCGATCAAGAAACAGTGTTAGTCAATTTCCAAGATTTTTACATAAAACTGCAATACATATCACATATAGACATTTCTTTCAATTTATACATGTAAAGATGAAGATAAAGACCCGATAGTTCTCGCTAGAATAGTTAAAAAATAGATAATGAAAAGGGAATTTTGAGCAGAGTTATTGCCATTTGAAGAACAGTGTAGTCTTGATTACCACTGCTACATTATTGTTATGATAATAAATAAAGTCTTGATTATCCATTTTTAAATTAAATTATTTAATAGCAATCCTGTTTAAATCCATTGAAAATCAAAAGCATCTGATTGTCTAGAGCTTTGATTATGGGCTTGGCATGTGAATAAATGTCTAATTAATGATTTATATAACATTTGAGGCCAAACAAAGACCTGTGTTTTTATTGTGTTTCTCAATCGCTAAATGCCACTAAAGGCTAATGTTTGATGGTCAGTTTGAAACTGACAAAATTGTATTGGGCTTGTAAACTGTTCATTAAATTGGAATTGAGTACTGTTACAGTTCTGCCACATCAGTCTGGTGTGTGCATAGAATACATATTAGGGACCTTTCGCATCGGTACAAATGTTCGTTTACGTTTTCGTATCCTCTAACATGCTATTAATAGATAAAATAAATAAGAGAACTGGGCCTTCATCTTTAAAATTAGGCCTAGAAACTTAGGTAGTGCAGCCTTTTCATTAAATGAACCAATTGTATTTGAATCACCTGAAATTCTATTAATAAGACTATAAATCAATAGGGAAAAAAGATTACTATGATAGGCCTACATACCCCCTTGGCCTGATAAAAAGGCCTAATTCTATGCCTTATTTCTATTCAGATGATAAAACACATCATCTAATTAAATTTCAACTATTTCCAGTTATTTTTCATCTACTGATTATTTAGAAATAGATATATTCAATATCAATATTTCTTTTTTTTTTGTTTAACAAAGTATTATTCAACTTGAATTAAATTTGCCACTCCATGAATTTCTCAATCAAGGCAAAGTTTTCAATCGATTTTTTGGCAGATGTACAACGAATCAAGCAGAATATTACTTTTGAGCACATTCTACGAACTCTACACTGGCCGAACACTCGTGTATGTGTTGACATCACAAGTACACACGAATCGATGACATTTTTGTTTTCATATTCGTTTTCACACCGATGCGAAAGGAGGTTTAAAGTCCACTCGACATAAACTAGGTCATTTCGGGACTAACATATGGTTCAATTTTATTTCAATAATTTGCCTGCACATAGGGGTCTTTAGCAGTGGGGCGAAACCGGAAGACCCAGAGAAAACCAATGAGGTTGGACAGGCGACCCTACATCTTGTCACGTACAACCGGGGAATCGAAACAATGTCAGTAGACTCTATGACAGACCTTATGATACAACCTGCACGTGGTAACCATTCGGCCATCCAACCCCCTTCAATGCGAAAGGTCCTCAATTTGTGATTGGTTGACATGGTGCATGATTGTCACTTGAAATTCTTATGTCTACAAGATTTATTTGATAGAATCAATTTCCAGAAGGTGTCCCCAAAGTCAATAAATCAAATCTTACTTTCCATTAATAACACCATCAGGATTTAACATAGGTACAATTTTAAATATATACATCTCTCTTAATCTCTGAGCTCCTGGTTTCATACTCAATAAATAGTCTATTGTACCTAGAAAAAAAAATCAAAACATGACATTAAACAATAGTAAAAATAGATAAAACATTTACTCCCGAGTCCTTATATTCTGTCCATGATGAAATTCTTGGGATCAGATTGGGAATTCATTATTATTAATTAATGTATAATTGGAAATTCATTATTATTAATTAATGTATAATTGACACTTTAATCACTATGTATCTCTCAACAAATTCCAAAGCAAAAAGTCAGTAAAGGTAATTATTGAACCATTAATAAAATAAAAGTTGACCGTTTCATTGGTACAGTAAAATTTAAAACAAACCTTTCATAACCCAGCTGGAATTACTCTCTCCAGGATGCACACGTCCCGATAAAAATATATATGGTCGATTTTCTGTTAAAGAAAGAGAAAAAAAATTGGTTACTATTTCAAACTTTTTAGCTATATAAACAAATAATAGCATTTGTTAAATAGCTGTTTTTTTGTACACAACAAAAAATTCATTGATTTGAAAGACCATGATATTTCAGATTGCTGCATCCAACAGAAACTATACCAAGACGTTGTTGAAAATAATTCATTGGAAATTCAAACAAGAAGAGTATTTTTAAGTCATCAGATACATGAAATGTAAATATAAAACCAGTGTTTCAGTTCAATTATCCAAAATGATTAAGATTTAATTAATCTGGAGTTTCTTTTGGATGTCAGTATTGATAACGAATTAAATCTAAAAGTTTGTAATGGCTGGAGTTTTCCTTTACGAAATTGTTCTTCTTTTAAAGCCTGTAGTGTAGTTATCCTTTAAAATATAGTACTATTATTTATACTGATTATAACTTACTGAGTTCATTAAGACCATCCATATCAATTGAAGGTTGAGCTGTTATTGTAAGAACTGGTACAGGATTAGATGCCAATGTTTCACACAGTTTCTGATGTCTGAAAAATATCTGACTTGTGTCACATATACTCTCCCAATGATATAGATGTGTCTGAAATACATAACACACAAACATCTATAAAAAACATTTACATATATTTCATACTAGTCAGATTGATTATATTAAACATACATTATGCAAGAGCTAAATCTGCCAATTGCACATCTTTCTTTAGGTCTGAAATGTTATCTAAATTATTAATTAGATATTAATTAACTTTTCCAGACCATAATCAACTCTCGATGTCATCGCTAGCCTGCGACATTTTCTGGATTAGAATCCTATCGGCTGCTTAACACTCATTGATAATTAAATCAAAAAATGGATAATCGAGACTATGTTTTTTTATCGTACCGACTTTAGTTATGATGATCAAGGCTAGACCCAAAATTCAATCGCTAAAATCTCGGTTCAGAGTGGATCAATTTGACTAAAATTTTCAGCAAATTCCCTTTACATTATCTAGTTTTTAACTATTATTGTGAGAACTGCCAGCTCTTTTTCTAATCTCCCATAATGTATCTTTAAGAAAACAAAAAGAAATTATCAATGCTAGATAATCTCCCGGAGTAGATTTTAATTGGAATAAAACCAAGCCCATCAATTAGATTTTGCAAGAACATCTCTTGCTGTATATATCACAAGAAATGTAGACTGGTGTTGTTCAGCATGCCATAACTTATATCTGATACTATATGCCATATGTAATCTGTTTTTAACCCTGATTTAAATTTAAAGATTTGTTTTACAGGAATTTTGAACACACCACATATAAAATACTAAATATATTCACATACTTACCTTAAGTGTAGTATATGTATAAGGATAATGATAAGCTAGGTAACATATATCATTACTATGTTTAAATGTTATGGTAAATGTTGATGTGTAGTATGATTTGCCTTTAACTCCCCCAGTAGTTATGGAACTCCTTATAAAATGGTTTTTATAATAACATATATCTGTTCCTACTCTCACCCATTCTCCATTACCTCCTATACCATCAGCTACTGAATACATTACTGGCTTCATACCTATAATAAAACACAATAACAGTTTATCTGTTTATTACATTAATACAATTACAATCTAATCCAGATGGCAACAGAGCTTAACTCATGGGGACCGGCAACCACAACCTTAACAGGACAAAAAACATAGCTAAAATTAAAATCACAAGGTAACAATCATAATGAGGCATCTGATGATGTTTGCAATCACAAAGAGGTCTTATATCAGGGTTAAATGAATATGCTGACAGAAGGAGCAGATCACAAAAGTGGTGATCTGATCGTTGCGAATGCAGCCTACACTTGATGTACTTCATTTTGCAGAACAACTTGAGTCCAGCTGCCATTGTCATTGTGGGAAGGAGTAGTGGCCCCCATGATATCAACCTTGAGACAAATTCATACTGATTGATGTAGTTGAGCAACATAATAGCAAAGTTAAGCAAACTAGGATGTAAGTTCATCGTAGAGAACATACAAAGAGTGGACTACTGGTATTTAGTACATGTCTACATACTGTGCATTTATAGCAATAATTTGGTGCATAGATTAATTTCTGAAATTGGCAGATCACTACACAAAGTATAACTAATCAATTATTATACCACATTTTAGCCTAAAAATTAAAAAAAAAATAATACAATCAGAGGATGACATTTTTTAAAATGCACAGAAACATTGCAAATTAAATTCATATTGCATGTTTTTAGTTGATGAAACTGTATCATGAATACATGTGAAGCATTTTGATTGATATCATGAATAACTGTAGCAGTGTTTTACTTACCAAAATTAAACTGACTATTAAGTTTCTCACAGTTAACTATATTAAATCTATATGGTACATCAGCTACCATATTAGATACTTGAAAATAAAACCACTGATGATGATGATTGGTATTAATATCAGGATTCAGTATTAAATCATACTCATATTCTCTAATCTACAATATACATGTTTATATTTCATACAGTATTCTTTTAAACATACATTATGCAAGAGCTAAATCTGTCTATTGCAGGTCTTTCTTTAGGCCTGAAATGTTATCTAAATTATTAATTAGACATTAATTAACCTATCTAGACCATAATCAACTCGAGATGGCATCAATAGCCTGCGATCTTTAGTGGATTAGGAGCCGATTTACTGCATAACTTTCCTTCACGATTTAACGATTAAATGGATAATCGAGACTATGCTGTTTATCGTACTGACTTAAGTAATGATGATCGAGGCTAGGTGGAAATTTCAATCGCTTAGTTCTCGGTTCAATCTGATTAAAATACAGATCTATATTTCGTTTCGTTTTTTTATACTTTCGATGGCCTACACTACATGAAGATCTGACAAGTCATAGCGATAGGTCACGTCAGGGGTCAAAAGACCGACTTATGACCCTATGACGTCAGACATTTGATTAACCAATCAGCATTGATGTTACTAGTGGATTACCCACAGTTCCGTAAAAAACACGCCTAAAGCTCGCCGTAACAGACCGTTTCATTGGCTTATACCTGACACCATTCAGAACACGAGTTAAATAACAACTCTTCCAGATCCAAGTGTAGTAAAGACAAGTAAAACGAAATTTTGAACTATAAAAACAAAAACGAAATAGGATCTGTGTTTTAACCAGATTGTTCTCAGTTCATAGTGGATCAATTTGAATGAAATTTTCAGCAAATTGCCTTTACATTATCTAGTTTTAAACTATTATAGTGAGAACTACCAACTCGTTATCGAATCTCCCATAATGTATCTTTAATATAATTAATTTCAAAATACATTTCTAATGGATGGAAAGTATATAACTACTCACAGAAATTAACATAAGAAAAGCAATCCAAATATAATTATAAGAGGGAGAGAAATGGGCTTTAACATCCACTCAACACAAAGTAGATCATTACGGGAACTATTAAGGTACAACAATTCACGTGCGCATGGGGGTCATTAATTAGCAGTGAGAGGAAACTGGATGACCCACAGAAAACCCATGAGGTTGGGCAGGCGGCCCTACCCCTTGTCACGCACAAGCTTGGGATCCCAAACTTATCAGATAACCTGACATGACAAATAAAGTGTGTGCAAGTTAAAAGAATAGGGAGTACACCAGATAAATGTTCATGGTATAATGACAATGTTAAAGTGTCAAAAAAGGTTGCCATGGTTGTTCTTTAATCAATGGTTATATAAATTCTAATGTCTAAGAAATATGTATGTTAAAAAGTGTTGTTATAATACCTGTATTGCTCGTCTTAAATTAGCTGATTCAAACTGTGCATTAAATATAAGATGACCTGCTGAAAGTAATCTTCTACCAACACTGTAAAAAGCATTACATTTCAACAATTCTCATAACAACTTTAATATCTAATTAAGATAATATTACATGTACAACTCAACAAATTTCAATGGTTAACTTGATTATATTCTAAGCTTTACTTTAAATTGTAACCACTTTTTCATAATAAATAATTTATCATTTATACAGCGCCGGATATCCCAAAAAAGTGTTGCTCAGTGGCGAATTTGATATTTGGGAGAATTATATAGGAGTGAGTTGCAGTAGTCAATTCTTGATATTACAAGGGAGTTAACTAGCATCTTTGTTGTTGGCTGGTCAATAAAATTGCGTATTTTACCAATATTGTGAAGATGAAAGTTGACAGACTTGCACACAGATGTAATGTTATCAGACATATATAGCACAGAGAATTGAATTATACGCCTAGATTTCATACAGACTTAGTGTTCGCTTCAACTACAGTGCCACCAATTTTAAAAGGAATTGCTTTTTGTTTTGCTGACATGGTATTCACTTCTAGTTTTAAGTAATTCGGTTTTGTCATCATTTCTTCAGCTTATTTGAATTCATCCAGTATCAAATTTCTGACAAAGACTTTTCCAGTTTACCAATCTCGTCTTCTTCATTGGAATGTCCGAGGCCTATGTAAAGCTAAGTGTCTCCAGCATACAGCTGGTACTTCTGGTTATTGTGGCGTATGATAGTACCAAGGGATGATGTGTAGCTCGTGAATAACAGGGGACCTAAGACCAAACCTTGTGGTACCCCATACTTCATGGCACTTGGTTTAGAGCTATGCCCACCAACTACCACAGTTTGGAAACGTCCACATAGGTAAGATGTAAACCATGATAGAGCTGTTTCTGTGATGCCAAATTCTGCTGAAAGTCATCTTAACAGGCTTTGATGCTCAAGAGTGTCGAATGCTGCACTAAGATCCAGTTTTACTGGCGTCCATTTCCTTAAGGATATCATTTTGTACTCTCATTAAGGCTGTCTTAGTACTGTGTTTGGACTTGTAGGCAGCTTGGTAAGGCACTATCAAATTGTTGCAACGTAGATGACAGATCATTTGTTCAGCAACAACCTTTTCCATAATTTTGGATATGAATGAGAGATTGAACAGATTTACTAAAGCCAGTTTCATTTGATCTGGAACTCTACCTATTTCAATACAGCTGTTCACAATGGTGGTTATGATCGGGGTAAGTTCAGATATACATGATTTAGTAATGTTCGTCGGTATCGGATCTAAACTGCATGACTTTGGGGCTGACGAGGAGATAAGTTTTGCAATCTGTTCAGTAGTGACAGTTGAGAAATGATTTAATGGCTTACCAGCAAATGGAGTTAAATCTCTAATGTTGTTAGAGTCAAAATTTTGCATTATCATTTCAACTTTGTTCTGGCGAAATTGTCAGCAAGTCCTATGAGGTTATTTGTATCTGGTAAGATGTTGCTGGATTTAAGTTTAGTTAAACTGTTGATAATCTGGTAAATCTGTTTAGGATTATTTGATGTGTCTTGCAATTTGTTGAGGATATAAGTTTGTTTAGCTTCCCTAATACATTTGGTTGTTCGGAATTTTGCTTTAACATACAATTGGCGATGTATCTCTAACTTAGTAGTCCTCGATACATGTTCAGCTTTCCGTTCAAGCTTCTTCATTGACCTGACATCTTCAGTAAACCACTGTCTAATTGTAACGGTCCTGGTACGTAAAGGAGCATGTTTATCAAGAATAGCGGTAAGAGTGTCGTACAATTTAGTTTTATCATTCACATCTTCTGTCTTTAATACATTTTCTAAGAGTCCGTAATTGATAATGTCCTTCTCAAATTCAGTAATATCAATTTTCTTCAGATTTGTAATAGTTTTAGTGGGTTTGATGGTTTCTCTATTGACAGTGTTCCCAGAATGCTGTAGTGATCAGATATTAACTGATTTGTGACACTAAGACTGCTTAGCTTTTCGCCATCTTCTCTGGTTATTATTAGGTCAAGCATGTTGAAATCAACACATAGGAGAATATTTTTGCTGCTGTTAACTTCATGGAGAAGATAACTCATTTAAGAAATCAGTTTGCCCGGAAAAAGGTGGTCTGTAAATACATACAATTAGTATGGTTGTATTTTTGCACAATACCGACACACAGATGTGTTCAAAGGTCCTAAACTTTGACGATTTGACTTGCTCAACTCCTATTGATTGCTTAATGATGGGATCACATCTACCTGTTCTGTTCTCGCGATTTTCCTGTACTTTGTTGTAATTGTTGGGAACAAGATTGTTTAGTACGATTGAGTATGTTGATTTTAACCAGGTTTCAGTCACAAAAAAAATGTCTAGTTCTTGATCCAGAATATAACTGTGCAGCTGATGTGATTTGTTCCTGACTGATCGACAGTTTAGATGGCAGAAATTCAGATCTTTTGTTCTCTCTTTTTGGTTTCAATGAGAGTATTTGTTGGCACTGTTTTGATTGTAATCAAATTATGCACATTAACACCTCTAATGCTATGTTGTTGATCTTCCCTAGTATAAGATAATTTGACTATCTTAATTTCTCTGTCCCATTGTTTACCTGCTCTAAACCAGTGAAGGTTTAGTAATGGATCACTGAAGATAGTTTGGACAGGTTTGAAATCACTGTTGGGATTAAGCCAATTAGTGGCAAACATACCTCACTGCATAAATCCACAGAATATTATCAATATTTTAAATGCATATAATTCCAAAAGTAACAAATTTTTAGAAAGTTTTTAGGTATTCCTATCTGCAATGCCTTAAAGAATTTCCAAGCAAACGGTCATAGTTAACACATCAGTTAATCCACTAAAAACACAAAAAACACAGAGCACAACAAAATGCAGTCAGCCAATAAGGCGCTAACAAATTTTCAGAATCGCATCCTTCACTGTAGTCTTTTGCATATTATTATCTAGAATAGTACCGTTTCCTTTATAAACAAATACCATATATAAGCTTAAACTTAAACATTACCTGAATTCATCTCTATTTGTCAAGTTAGAATTTTGTTGACAGTAATTATGACCAGCTTCTTCAACAATTTTATTTAAATCAAAGACAACTCTTTCTATTAATAGATCAGGATGTATCATTCTATCAATATCTTCAAACACTTTAGATCTATAATATAATATTTTCAACTAAATCAAATAAAGGAGGTACACAATTTTTTGGAGCCACAGTGAGTACCTTATTCTTTGGTAGATTAGGCGCATGTGTAGATAAGGCACAGGGTGAGTTTGGAAGATGTGTTCAAGGAAATAAAGAAAGTGCATGGTTTAGGCCCACACTTCTACTACAGTGCCTTCAGAAACATGTGTCATATTACATGTGTCCCAAATGGGATACGGTCAAAACCCCCTCCGGTCAGAACCCCCTAGGTCAGAACCCCCCTAGATCAAAACTCCCCTAAGTCAGAACCCTCTTTGGTCAAAACCCCCCATTTTTATATTATATAATATTAAAATCATTTCAAAATTATGTTTTTGTGGTTTGTGAAGTGAAGTACACAACAAAATCGATTACTTTTAGATTTTATTTGCAATTATATGGGTGAAATTATTTCCATCGGATGGTGTGCCCAATACCTTTTATGGTTTGCACACAAGTTGTAAAGTCTTTCTTATAGACCTTTTGTTGTTTTTTGGTGATTGTCCGCGTGAGTATTGCAGGAGTGCAGTCTTGACATTGCTGTGATCCAGACGGAGATGTTTGAGAGCCCGCCAGATTGTGGGGTGTGATATTCCCAGCAGGGAACTGAATGCCCTGTTCGAAGACTTGCATAGATTGTTAGTGCGAGACCCACCATCAAGTGTTGTCAGATGAATGTTCCAGAGTTCTGCTGGGAATAGGGGTGGTATAGGAGATTTTAAATTGTAGTGCCATGACTTCAGTTGAGATTGATCAGATAATTGCATTTCACTTGAATGATTACAATAACTGAGGCTATGTTATTCCTAGTAAAAAGCAAATTTTATTTTTCAAATATTTTTTTTTCAAATAATAATAAAGGAAATAAATTAATAAAGAAATAAAAAGGGGGGGGGGGCTTTTTAATTTAAGTCCAAGGGGGTTATGACCTAGGGGGTTTTGACCAAGGGGGTTTTGACCTAGGGGGTTTTGACACGGACTCGTCCCAAATCTACCTGCGAGGTCCATTAACTACTTCAAACTCTTAACATTTACTGTTATAAGAAGCACACTGTATGGCATATGCCTGTCTTCATTAGCCCAGTCAGTGCAGAACAGTAGGATGTTAAACCCCATTTCATTTCATTAATCTCATCTATATTGTTTCATTATACTACATACAACTTTTGTGTTAAACCGAACATTGTGATATAATGTCAATAATATTGACAACCTTTCAAATATTGTTACATAAAATAATTCTAAGGTCACATGTTCTACATCTGAAACCAGGAATGTTTTACAAAGTCACCTCCCTTTACCTTGGGAAATATCTCTTCAAAAAAAGTAGGGGATATTGAAATGCAAATACATATGCAGGTTGCGATATGATAAATAGTCATGGACACTTGACATGCTTTGAGAGTATGTTCACAGATGAAGAACTTATCGCCCCAACAGAACCACTGAGCTGCACATGTGACACGCAATAGCACCATACACATGGGAGGGGTTCATTGTCAAATTTGACACTTCAAGGAAGAGTTGATGAAAACTGCCGCGTTTTGGTTTATCTATCCATGTTTGCTTTCCTATCGGTTCTTGCATAAGATTTACTGTTTAGCGTATCTTTGCTTTAGTGGGTTACGTTTAATTTGATCGGGAGACAGCTCGTCGACGTTAACGTCAAACGACCACACTGCAAGAATTGGCCCTGACACTGCAAGAGGAGTGGGTCAGATTGCCCCAAATCGTGATTGGATGGTTGATTAGGAGCATGCCACGACGAGTTGCTGAATGTCTGAAGATTGGTGGAGCAATTACTCATTATTAAGACAAAAATCAAAAATGGCCATTTTCACGGTGTATCTCTTTGCGAGTGAAATGGGACCGTCAGATAAGTCACCCATATAAATTTGTTTATGTTCATGTGTAGGCAATTGGCCTGTTATTAACATACACTGGTTACCTATAATAAAAACAGCAGTGCATTTCTGCAGTTTTGTATTGTTTCTAAATATCCCCTACTTTTTTTGAAGAGTATATTAATGTGCAGTAATTAATGATAAAATATGATTCTGAAAAAAAAGAAAAGAAAAAAAAAAAAAAGATTTACGCAGCACCTTTTAACGTGGGACAATGATATCTGAGAACCAAAATAATTTTTCTATATGGCCTTATAATAGTTTTACATAACTTGTTTTTAAAAAGAGCTATTAATTATAATACCAATCAGATTAAAATGCAGAACTATATTTCGTTTCGTTTTTTTTTATACTTTCAATGGCCTACACTACATGAAGATCTGACAAGTTATAGCGATAGGTCACGTCAGGGGTCAAAAGACCGACTTATGACCCTATGATGTCAGACATTTGATTAACCATTGATGTACTAGTGGATTACCCACAGTTCCGTAAAAAAACACACCTAAAGTTCGCCGTAACAGACCGTTTCATTGGCTTATCCCTGACACCATTCAGAACACGAGTTAAATAACAACTCTTCCAGATCCAAGTGTAATAAAGAGAAGTAAAACAAAATTTTGAACTATAAAAACGAAACGAAATAGGATCTGTGTTTTAACCAGATTGATTATAATACCTTTGAACACCAAATTTTCTATTATAAAGTTTTTCTGGTTTAGTACTACCATTAGCTGCTTGAAGATCGGGGTAGGCTATTTTTTCAAAGCGGTAAACACTTTTCGTTTCACCAGCCATCCGTGTGTATAACTCGGGATCTTTAAATACTTCCTCTTCTAATGGTTCTACAGTACTAGTTGTTGACATTACGTCTGCTTCATCTAATCCTCTAGGTGTAGGTAATGGTGTAATACACATGGCATCTGTTATTGTGGTTGTCGGCTCTTCAACCTTCTTTTTTGATCTCTTCTCTTTTGATTGCCCGTTTCTTTTACCTGTTTTTGATTTTTTGGCGTTACGTGTTGGTGTCGGTGGTTTAGCAGCAGGCTTTGATGATGTAGGAAGTTGAACATCCAACATGAACACACTCGTTCCTGTTTTTAAATTTACAGCAGTAGCAGAATCCCGTTGTTTGTCTGAGTAATTAACATCTGGCATGGAATATCTACCTCTAAAAGAGAGTTTATCTAACTGATACAGAACAGAATCAGATTCACTATTAGTAGAGGAATTATTGTGAAATAACTTTGGAAGTGTTTCTGTGATGTTAGAGAAAGACTGCACCCTCCGACCAAATTTAAACCTAGAGTCTCTCTCATTTTTACTAAGAACAGGATCTGATATGGTAGCAGGAACAGAAACACAAGATCCAGGTCGATTCTAAAATAAAAAAAAGCTAAAAGTTGTTAAGAGTTATCATATTAAAGGGGGAGTATATTCCTCTTGACATCTTACTAAGGATTACAAAAATGAAATCAGGAATTTATAAGAGGACTGCTAAAAATATTAATCTTTTTTCCTTTTTGTTGTGTTTGTAAACACACCTTCAGTAAAATATTAAAATATAAGCATATAACTTTCAGATTCTAAGATGTTGTTATTTTTAATCTTGGAGTTATGAAACAGAATATTCCGATTTGTTTCTATCAACCATGGCATAACTTGTGCTGAAAGTTCATGACAATATCACCGGGGATTCGTTAATCATTAGTTATCAATTGAAAGGTTTTTTTAATGCTGATCATCAGTAGAATATATTTTCTATTATTTGAACCACAGTTAACACAACAAGGTTAAAATTAGATCTGTTTCATTTCTGAAAGAATAATCAAACAATCACATTATAACTCCAGTGTTTTTGTGATAATGGAGTATTATTTACCTCAAAATGAAAAAGTTCTGGAAAGAATTTACTATAAGATTTTAATTCTTCAATAGATCTGGATTCAGGTTGTTCTAAAGCTTCAATTTGATCGTCATCTGGCTGAAAATTGAATATCAAAATCAACGCCAGTAGTAATTCAACTCATTGCTCAAAAATATTAAATATGTCTATTTCCCCTACTAGCACTCTGAATGGTACATACAGGAAAGTAGGACATAAATCCCTGTTTAATCAATCTTGTTGCTATGTCTCACAGTAGTCAAGTCAATTCCAACCAACATTTTACAAAAGGTACAATAGCACATATATTGCTACATTTGAACTAAAGCTGTAGTCTACCTCATCTGAATTGTCTGTTCTAAATCTTTCATCATCACTATCAATATCATCATCATTATCTAGTGAACTATGATCACTATCATTACCAGTATCTGATATATCTCCTATATCTACAATATAAATACAGTATAATATAATACCACTTCTCTCTCGCAGCTAAGCAATTTCTGCTCTATTTCTGTGTACATGTACTTTACATATCCCCTTAAATAACAGTATTTCTTATTTGAGTTTCTGTTATGATTAATGTATAAGTGGCAATGTATGCAATAAAATCCTGAAACAGATATGTAATCATTTTCTTTCATACAACATACAAATATTCACTTTTTGGAAAATCTTTCATATTTTGTATCAAAAAAGAGAAAGTCTCAATCAACATGCCATAACAAACGTACGTAGGGCTATAATCCATCAAGTTACGGTCCAATACATGCCAATATTAAAAGGAACCAAAATCTTTGGGATATAAACCTATATTTAAAGTTACGTCAAAATCGGATAAAAATTGTGATCCGTGAGTGTCCACAAACAAAATATGAACGGATGGACAGGGGCGACGACAATATATGCCCACATTGCATAATAAACAAACAATAGCCACTCTTGAAATACCTTGGATGATTATTTGTACTCAAATTTCAATTGTTTTGATGCATTAAGATTTGAGAGATCTTTCAGTATAAAATAAAGAATAGTGGCAATTATATGTGTTCATTAAGAACAATCTTTTTGTTTTAAATCATGTTACTGAGATAAGATGATTTACCTTGATTAGAAACAACTAAACAATCTGGTACATGTTTGTCTGATAATGGTAAAGCAAATGTCACTACACTATTAACATTATCTAATGGTAATTTATTTCTAGGACAACATTTCCTCATTATAATACTAGCTAGTAATATTAAACTCTCCATTTCTCGACATTCTGACAAATCTTGACATATTTCATACAGTATTCTTATACCCTCTGATTCTAATAATGCTTTTCTTCCAGATTCTAAAATATACAACAAAAAAGAGAAATCAGTGAAAATATGCCCCCCTTCATGAATTTTTTGTACACAACGTACGTGTATAAGATGCAAAGTAAAACTAGACTACATACTGTAATAGGCAATGAAAAGAAAAATACAGTCAAAATAAATGTGAAGTAGTTTAGTAACTTTTAATAAAGAATTCTAAAGAGTCTTGTCACTAATTAGTAGTCATCAGTTGTCAGCCATTTCCTTAGTCTCATATAACGATCTACAGGGTTTTTAATATGGAAAAATTTCTAATTTTTAGCTTCTGAGCCAATTTAGGACATATTAGTCGGGAGCCTAGTGCTTTAACCGATTGACTACCACAGCCCACTATCATTACAACTCTAAGAGAAACAAGCCAACAGTGAGGCTGATGTCCTCCGCCGAAATGCCAAAATAAATAGATGACACATATTAATTAATTGCACATTTATTTTTTTCAAAAGTATAGACCAATCAAACTGATTATCAACTATACACTAAATTTCATCACTCTCTATCAGATAGAATTGAAGTCAAAGAAATTGCTTAGTTCTTCTTAGCTTTAGCGGGAACTGTTAATCATTGAACTCGATCAAAACATTCTACCTCATTTAAAAGCAGAGTTGTTATCAAACTGCTTATCTCTGCTTACCGTAAGCAGACAATGTTCATCATCAATCTCCATCAAGGCATTCACCTAATGAACGCCTACACCAAGTTTGAACATTCTACCTCAATTAAAAGGGGAGTATTGTGTCTTGACCAATCAAATTGCTTATCGCTCATTAGCCTTAAGCAGAAAATTCTAATCAAACTTAGTCAAGGTAATGATATAATGAATCTGTACTCGGAGTTTCATAGCTCTCACTTAAGTATAACCAAAGTTATTGTGGCCAAAAGCATCAACCAATCAAATTGCTTATCTCTGCTTACCGTGAGCAGAAAATGTTCATCATCGAACTCCATCAAGTTATTCACCTAATGAATGCCTACACCAAGTTTGAACATTCTACATCAAAATGTTCATTATCGAACTTAGTCAAGGTATTGATGTAATGAAACTATAAACCAAGTTTCATCACTCTCACTTAATCAGAACTAAGTTATTATGTCCCAAAGCATCAACCAATCAAATTGCTTATCTCTGTTTATCGGTAGCAGAAAATTCTCATCTTCGAACTCCATCAAGGCATTCACCTAATAAACACCTACACAAAGTGTGAACATTGTTGCTCAATTAGAAGGAGAGTTATTGTGTTCCAAAATCTTGACCAACCAATTTGCTTATCGCTCTGCTTACCCTGAGCAGAAAATGTTCATTATCAAATTTGAAATGAAATGGGGTTTAACGTCCTACTGTTCTGCTCTGAACTGGGCTAATGAAGACAGGCATACGCCATACAGTGTGCTATGAGGGAAATTCCAACTGTCAAGGGTTCGAGAACCCGACCTCCAGGCTAGCAAGCCAGCATCTTACCCACTTAGCCACCTTGATCCCCCATTATCGAACTTAGTCAAGGTATTGATGTAATGAAACTATACACCAAGTTTGATCATTCTCACTTAATCAGAACTAAAGTTATTGTGTCCCAAATCATCAACCAATCAAATTGCTTATCTCTGCTTATCCTAAGCAGAAAATGCTCATCTTCGAACTCCATCAAGTCATCGACCTAACAAAGACCTAGCCCAATTAGGAAAGTTATTGTGCCCCAAAAAGTGTGACGGACGGACAGATGGACGGACGGAGACGGACGGACAGACCCATTTTAATAGTCCCGTGCGTTCTTCGAATTAGACAATTAGAAACAACCAATGCTGTCAATAAACAGTGCTGTGCAAGTCAGTATAAGAATGTAATGCCCATCAATGTCAGTATTGATCACTATGTAAATGTAATAATACACAAAGAAGTAAAACTTACTGAGATTTGTAATATTCTTCAATGTATTTAGAATTGATTTTTTAAGATTATTATATCTATGCTTAGTATCAAATTGATGCCAGTCTGTGAACAATGACAAGAGTGTGGGTACTCCTCCCATACCAACACTTCTAGCTGAATTACTCTCTGAAACATTGTTAATCATTTCTTTTAACATGTATCAATATATACTCTTAAAAAATAGTAGGGGATATCTCAGAAAACGCTAACCGCAAGTGGCCGAAACTTTGCCTACTCTGAGATATTATTAATGTAATTATACTCTTAAAAAAAAAGTAGGGGATATTCAGAAACAATACAAAACTGCGGAAATGCACTGCTGTTTTTATTAGAGGTAACCAGTGTATGTTAATAACAGGCCAATTGCCTACACATGAACATAAACAGTTTATATGGGCGGCTTATCTGACAGCCCCATTTCACTCGCAAAGAGATACACTGTCAAAAGAGAAAATGGACGTTTTTGATTTTTGTCTTAATAATGAGTAATTGCTCCACCAATACTCAGACATTCAGCAATTCGTCGTGGCATGCTCCTAATCAACAGTCTAATTACGATTTGGGGCAATCTGACCCACTCCTCTTGCAGTGCCACGGCCAATTCTTGCAGTATTGTCGGTTGACGTTGACGTCGACGAACACGTCTCCCGATCAAATTAAACGTAACACACTAAAGAAAAGATACGCAAAACAGTAAATCTTATGCAAGAAACGATAAGAAACCAAACATGGATAGGATAAACCAGCAAGCGGCAGTTTTCATCAACCCTTCCTTGAAGTGTCAAATTTGACAATGAACCCCTCCCACGTGTATTGCCTGTCGTATGTGCAGGTCAGTGGTTCTGTTGGGGCGATAAGTTCTTTATCTGTGAACATACTCTCAAAGCATGTCAAGTGTCCATGACTATTTATCATATCACAACCTGCATAGGTATTTGCATTTCAACAATTATTTGATTTAGTCCAGAAATGTTTTTTTGTGTATTCATATTTACTAAAGACTCTAGTCTGTAAGTTTTTTTTAAAAGAAAATATAAGTGTTCATATGACTGAAATAATTATATTACACCATTTTTCTGAATTATGCATTTGGTATCCACACCCAAGACTACAAAAATCTCTTTATTTAAGAAGTAATAAAATTTATGAATGGTTGACATAGATTTTACTGAGTGAAATAAAACTTACTTGATTTTGTCAAATTGTTTAAACTGTCGAGAGCTAGTTTTAATACAGCTGTGTGTTTTCGTCCACATAGTGCAATAATTCTAAATAAAATATTTATAGAATTATGTTTACCAACATAGGATGCATTTACACCTAGAATAAAATTAGAATATAAAAAAACTATATCGTATTATTCTTATACCGAAAAATTATAGATGTTCAAAAATAATAACTTAATTTGGTTTATACTATATACAGGCCCTGAGTTCACAAAGCATTCTCAGACTTAAGTTCAGAATTTACTCAACTTTCAATCAGCATTTATGAGAAATATCTTTGATCCAGAAACACCAAACTTTGCAAAATAGTTTCTTATTGATGTATTTGATACATTTTAAAAAACAACAAAAATTTTATAAAGATTATATTTTAGTTAAAATAAGGCGAACAATTTTGGGTAAATTCTTAACTTAAGTTTGAGAATGTTTTCTGAACTCAGGGCCTGATGATTTACATATGTTCAAAAGATGGAAGAGAGAAGGTTTGTTTCTTCAATCAGATATTTTGTTGGACGTCCTATTTTATTGACATATAAATCTATAATGTACTTACTATTTCCAGTGTAAATTTTAAACACTTGAAGTAAATATTGCAGATTTTTAAAGTTGTTATGATTATTCTTAATCAGTCCTAGTGTCAACAATAAGGCATTATTCAATCTGGCTTTAACAGCAAATTTACGGTCTGTAACACAAGAAAACGAACCTTTAGGTATCACAAAACATAATGTGTGCATTAATCCCAAACACAAACAAATTAAAAGAAAAAACATATTGTTGTCAGGCATCGAGTATATACACCCTTCAATCAGCTTTGTTAAAGAACACAAAAAAGTCATGGTAAAAACGTTTGAAATGTGTCAGTAACAGGGGCAAAATATCAGAAGAGATAGATGATAGATGCATGAATATCAATTCTCCACTACTGCCATAACTAACAATCCTAGTATGTTTGCGAACATTTCTCAAAATCAGTACCGGTACATAAACTTTATTCAAAGTTTTTTCATGTTATTTTATCTTGTAAAGATTTTATGTAGAGAGCACTCCAGAGTCACTCTTTAAATGGATACCCAGCACTATAGATTATTATTATCATTACATGATTTCGGTGACAGGAGCAATAACTCCACATAGAACTGATGCCGGCTTCTGAATGTCAAAAGGATTGCTCCATTTGACTAGCTCAACAATCTCAGCATGTTTGAAAAAAGAAAAATCTGTAAAATTCTGACCAGCAAGTTTGGAAAAAGAAAAATCCATAAAATTCTGACCAGTATGGTGAAAAGAAGTTTGCAATGACAAGAATTGTGAAAGATATTTTATCTTTGTAATTCACATATTGGATTTTTTGTATTTTGAATACAGGTCAGGAATAAGTGATTTTAGTAAAATAAAATATCCATACCTTTATTTCCTATACGTCCTAATATACAGTGTGTTGTTAATAATACTTCATCTGGTAATGTATTATCTTGACCACTAGCCTGACGTAACAGATGGAATAAAGCATTAGAAACTCCATGGTTCACAAACAATGAAGCTCTTTTACCAAATGCTAAAAATAAATGATTACAGATAACTATTAATTAAGAGATACAATAGTATTGATATCTTTGTTTATTGCCCTTAATATATTGGGGCATACTTCAGTTAAAGTAGCTAAGTCTCTAACTAAATATCATCCAAAATCTTCAACATTGAAAACACAAATTATTTGTCAATTTAAATCAACATTGATGCTGTGATCTTACCGGAAAAAGATGGGCTTCTGATATCCAATATTTAAGACAAAATAAACATTTTACCATTGGTACACGAATCGTGTACCATAATGTGTTTCAGCCCCAGTTCTAGCAAGAGACTCGAGGAACGAGGCTAGACATATTGCGTATGTAGACTAGAATAACCAGGCGCTAGAAATTTGCATTGGATTGAGACTGCGGGCTTATTTCGCGGAACATAACTGATTTGAAATTAGAGTAAAAATGGAAACCATTAAATGTATATCAGTTTATATACATTCATGTTACAGTATTATATGAGTTGCGACCCACTTGTGTCAATTTCTAGGCCCCGAATGTTAGCGATTTAGCTCCTTTAAATTGGTTCAGTATTAACCAAAAAAATTCACTTTTTCACCAAGGTGGGACACCATTATGGAGATTATCAGAAACTGTGACGCATTTGACCTCATAATAGAAAAACGTTGCACAACAGCATTTGAGGTTACTACGGCACTATCATATGGCGTGTGAATCTCTAGATTTTACCTCTTCTTTTGTTAAGTGGCAGTCCCAGTTATATTTTGCAAAGTTTTTATTTTTGAGTTCTAAATTAAATTCCCTTTTTTATGACTTGCAAAATCTCTATTGATATCCATTTGTCAGGCATACAATTTTCCCTCCTCATTGATTGATGATTGATAAAAAATACATCATGTGTGATATAACTATCCTGCATTACACAAAGGTAGGTTGCAAGGCAGCAAAACATACGCCCACAACAGCTAAATCTTCTGAGCAGTCGACAAGGGTCGTCGCATATTTATTCTTTTGTAGGTAATTAGTCATACAGATGACATTATAATTTTTCATCGTTTGAGGGTTCACAAGATTCTAAAAACTAAAACAAGGGCCGTAACTCTGGAAGTAATGTACAGAAATTGTTGAAACTCGACAGGCTTTTTCGTTTTACTAATTCAAATAATGCATATAAATTTTATACAGATCGGATGATAACTTTTGTCGTTCGAATGTTCACAAGGTTCAACAAAGTAAAACAAGGGCCATAACTCTAGAAGTAATTGACGGCAACTGCCGACATTCAATAGGTTTCTTCATTTCACTAATTTAAATGATGCATATGAATTTCATACAGATTAGGTGATAACTTTTGTCGTTCAAGCGTTCACAAGATTCAACAAAGTTAAACAAGGGCCATAACTCTAGATGTAATTAACGGAAATTTGCTGGAACTCAATAGGCTTGTTCATTTTACTAATTTAAACTATGCAGATAAATTTCATACAGATCCGATGATAACTTTTGTCGTTAGAGCATTCACAAGGTACAACAAAGTGAAAAAAGGTCCATACCTCACGGCGTAATTAATGGAAATTGCTGAAATTCAATAGGTTTCATCGTTGCACTAATTCAAATGATTCATATCAATTTCAAATAGTTCAGATGATAACTGTTGTCATTAGAGCGTTCACAAGATTCAACAAAGTGGAACAAGGGCCATAACTCTAGATGTAATTAACGGAAATTGCTAAAATTCAATAGGCTTCTTTGTTTTACTAATTTAAATGATGCATATAAATTTCATACAGATCGGATAATAACTTTTGTTGTTAGAGCATTCACAAGGAACAACAAAGTGAAACAAGGGCCATAACTCACAGCGTAATTAACGGAAATTGCTGAAATTCAATAAGCTTCTATGTTTCACTAATTTAAATGATGCATATCAATTTCAAACAGATTGGATGATAACTGTTGTCATTAGAGCGTTCACAAGATTCAACAAAGTGAAACAAGGGTCATAACTCTAGATGTAATTTACGGAAATTGCTTAAATTCAATAGGCTTCTTTGTTTTACTAATTTAAATGAGGCATATAAATTTCATACAGATCGGATAATAACTTTTGTCATTAGAGCATTCACACGGAACAACAAAGTGAAACAAGGGCCATAACTCTAGAAGTAATTAACGGAAATTGCTGAAATTCAATAGGCTTCTTTGTTTCACTAATTTAAATGATGCATATCAATTTCAAACAGATCGGATAACTGTTCTCATTAGAACGTTCACAGGATTCAACAAAGTGAAACAAGGGCCATAACTCTAGATGTAATTAATTACAATACAAGGTGCAACAAAGTGAAAAAAGGGCCATAACTCCAGAAAAAATTAACAGAAGTTATTGAAATTAAATAGGCTTCTTCATCTCACTAATGCAAACAACATATATCAATTTCAAAACGGACGGACAGACAGACCGACAGACGGACAGACGGATGGACCCACTGGGGCGACAGCAATATACAACCACATTTCCATGTGACAATATAATAAAAATGAGGCATTTGCTTGGATTGTGGTCAGCAATGAGCACAGTTGCATACCCCTGTTAGGTGTCAATGCCTTGTGGAAATGATCTGATGTATAGATGTTTTAGGTCTCGTCAAAACTTCGCTTGGGTCATTTTGAGATAAACCAAGCACTCTATCAAGTACAGAATGGAGTAACAACTAGTTTAGTATCAATACAGTGGGTCAACTTACGTGCTTTTCCTAATATCTCACTGAGTATACTAACAACAGATACAACCACTTGATCATCATAAACACTCTATCAAAATAAAAACAGTTTATCTTTAAAATACATAATGGTTTCCAACTTATTTATCCATAAATTATCGTGTAATTTTGAAACCTATTAAATGAATAATTTCGTTTTTGATCTTCAGTAACCAATTCCTGGCAATAAGGGTGAGTAATAATCAAACATAATTGGTTGAATATTATTGAAAATGCTTATTCATCTCATAAACTTAAAGGGCCATAACTCTGACAGTAATTATTGGAAGATGTTTGAAAATCAATAGGATTCTTCGCCTCATGAACTTAAACACTGTTTATAAATTTTGAGTCAATAGGATACTAACTCCAGCAGAACGCCCACAAGATTTTTCTCATTGATCTGTGGATAAATTGGAGTAAATAGGAATAGGATACTAACTCTAGCCTCTAAAGCGTCCACAAGAACTTTCAAACTGATCAAGGGCAATAAATCCCAACAGTAATTATTGGAAATCGTTGACAATGATTAGGATTTTTAGACTCATGAACTTAACCACTGTGTATAAAATTTAAAGTCAATTGGATGGTAACTTTTAGTTTTTCGAGTCTTAGTGTGTCCAAAAGCAATTGTAGACAACAACTCAACGGACAGGCAGACAGGGATGATAACAAATAGTCCTTACCTGTAACGTGTTGACTAATAGTTCTATGTTAATAGATTCTTTAAAAAGAAGATCTTTCTGTACTTTATCTGTAAGAAATTATAGTTTAAGCTTTATCTTTGCGGTGTTGATCTTATCTTGTGTAAGAGTATTTTTTCAAGCCAAGAATTGCAGAAAGCCAAACAAGAAAAACTGTTTCTATTTATATTTGGTGTAAACATTTCAAGTGTGCCAACTTGCAATCCACTCCCACATCATAACATTGTGATTTATCACTCTATAATGCATTCCACTGATAACAACATTGGTATTAAAATGATGTCTTCTACAATATTAATACCTGCTAGTAGATATTGCTTCATTCAAGATTATCTTTAAAAATTTATTCAATATCTTTCAATTTTTTTTTTTAATGATATTATTAGTGGTTACTTGTCATATTTTAAACCAAATATATCAAGTAAAAAATCTTGGCAGAGAGTCAGAATGTTTATCTATTTAATATCAACCAGCAGCTGCCATGCAGGATACGCCCACATTTTTCAAGAGATGGATAGAGAACAAGCTAAATAAAAAGCGATTTTTCGTAACATCAAGAGCCATAATTCAGGAAGGTACGATCAGATATGTGCGAATATCGACAGGAACCAAGATCTTTGGTTTATAAAAATGCATTTCCAGTTCCATTAAAATCAGATCAAAATTGTGACCTCTAGAGGGTCCACAACTTTGATATACTAGATGTTTACACTATTTGCGTAGAGGGGCGGACATTTTGTCTGACAGTTTTCGTCCGATTCGAACTCAACCAACATAACGGTGTAACGGTGATATATTTGAACATTTTTGTAAATCAGATAATAATTGTGACCTCTAGAGGGACCACAGGCTAAAGACAGGATTTCTCATACAATCAGGGTCCATAATTCAGGAAGTTACGATCCGATATGTGCAAATATCGACAGCAACCAAGATCTTTGCGTTATAAACATGCATTTCAAGTTTCATCAAAATCAGATCAACCTTGATATACCAGATGTGTACACATTTGAGTAGAGGGGCGGCCATTTTATCTGGCAGTTTTGGTCCGATTTCCGTGAAATTCGAACTCAACCAACAATATCATATTTTTACACTGTTTGCGTTCGAGGGGCGGCCATTTTGTCCGGCAGTTTTGGTCTGATTTTCACAAAATTCTAACTCAACCGTCATTATGGTGTAACGGTGATATATTCAAACATTTTTTTTAAATCAGAATAAAATTGTGACCTCCATAGGGTTCACAAGCTAAAAAACGTGATTTTTCGTACAATCAGGGGCCATAATTCAGGAAGTTACGGTCTGATATGCGCGAATATCGAAAGTAACCAAATTTCAACAAAATCTGATAAGAATTGTGACCTCTATAGGGTCCACAAGCTAAAAACGCGATTTTTCATACAATTAGGGGCCATAAAGCATGAAGTTACGGTCCGATACATGCCAATATCAAAAGGAACCGAGATCTTAGAGACATAAACCTATATTTCAAGTTTCGTTGAAAGCGGATAAAAATTGTGACCTGTAAAGTGTCCAAAAACAATTTTGGACGGACGGACAGGGGCGACGACAATATACGTCCACATGAAAATGTGGGCGTATAAAAGTGATTTGTAGTATGACTCATGAGATTATGAATTTTTCTCAAATATCAAGTAAGAACTAACATTAATTCTATTGCATCAGTATTTCTGAGTTTTTGACAGTATCTTAATGTAATGACATATGTATTTTTTTACAAATTGAACTCAATTACTTGAAAATTTAAATGCTTACCTTGTGCAATAACAATATTGTATAACTTTGAGGTTACATAACGTATTTGTGTCAAATCATCAGTTGATTCTTTTTTAGTACCTATTCGTCCTAATGATTTCTCTAACAGTTGAAACAAGCTAGCAATCCTTGTCCTGATAAACAAATCATCACATTAATTAATACAACCAATCAGTTTTTAATTTTAAACAACAAATTAAAAAGAAAAATGTTTGGAAGGCATATCATTTAGCGATTGGACATAATATAACAAAACACAATTCCATGATTAACAATCACTAATACTACACAATAGAACTTTGTTGTGATATAAAAAAATAGACTGATTTTTTACAATATCTGCTTTCTTTTTTAATTGTTTGATGTCCTTGGTACAATGCGGACATTTCTAAGCAAATCAGCATATATAAACAATGAAGAAAAGCCAAAGAAACAACTCTGTCATCTGAGCCGAAATGGAAACCTACCACAATATTACTGTCTTTATTATTGCATAGAGATACATTCAAAAATTCCCCGTAGTGTTGACAGAACCCAAAAAGTAATTGTCTAATCCTATACAGCCACTTAACTTATAAACAACTGGATGAAATTGTAACAAAGCCTCTTTTTAAATTCACAAATTGCCTATCATAAAATTGATAAATCAATGGAATTCAAAATGTGCTTTCTTAAATACCAAATTTCATCACTCTCACTCAATTACAAATCATTGACAAATCAAACTGCTTATCATTGAAATCAGTTAAGTAATTCACCCTAGGCCTATACTATATTACCAAGTTTAAACATTCTACTTCAATTACAATCAGAAATATTGTGTTCCTAAAATAAGTGTTACATAGCTCTATGTAGGCTATTATATCAGTTTCATAAAGTTCCAATAATAATTGATACCTCATGAGTGTTAACAAGTGTTTGTTACCAAGTTGCATACCTCTGAAAGTTAATGTTCGAAATGGCTGAAAATCAAAATACTTCTTAATCTTATATTTTGTATTAAACAAGAATTGTGCAGAGGCGGATTCAATGGGGGGGCGCGAGGGGCGCGCACCCCCCCCCCCCCTAATTTTCGACAGTGCCCTTTTTTACTGCTGAAAGTGCCTTTTCTCAGACTCAAATATGTCTGTTCCCAACCCATTGTAGGGATCCCAAATGACTCAAACCATCGACTCAAACACACCAGTCTGGGAAATAGCTCTTGGAATGGCTACAGATGCAAGGAATAATTTTCTTGGGGACCCCACCCCTCTCAGCGGCGTGCCCCGTCTCCACGGTCAATGCCTTCATTTTGCAGCGCCCCCCCCCCCTTTTCAAAATTCCTAGATCCGCCCCTGTTGTGGACAAGAAACTGGATGATCGAATATATATGATCACATTTAAAATGTTAGCATATATATAAAAAGTACATTACACATGGGTGCTACATGCTAAATATATGACCCACGTATATATATATAATGTTAGCAAGGTTATATAATGTATACCACGTGTTATAAATATGTCTTTAATGCAATAAACAAGATTCACATATTTCTATATTCTAACAGTATATAAATGCTTCGTTCAAACACTGGCCACACAAGATCAAAGATTGCATTTGTGATGTCACCAATTATTAATTGGAAAGGGCAGAAACAAGGTTAATTTCGACATTCAAAATAAACAAATTTGAACAATTTGCAAAAAACACTGCCATTTTAAGGCCATAATATCGAAAGATCTGCTGATATTGGTGACATCTCCAAAACATTCTTTAATTAAGAGTAGCAGTTGAAGAGGTTCCTAGATTTTTTTCTACTGAGTATCACCATATTATCTATCTTTTGTTAGAAATACAAATAAATGGATTGTCTCCTTTAAAACTGATCAGATCTTAAATGCAAATTAATGTCTTCATCCATGTTTACAGACATGTGACATAATATTTAACTGTATTCTTACCCCATAGATCGATCTATAGTTTTCTCCTCACTTGCCATTTTTTGCTTTATCTCCAAGTTGATCTTAGATTCAGAAGATTATTTCTTCAATTCATTTTGTATTATTCTTGAGACTGTAAATAAAATATCTTTAGGAATTGTTTTGACATGTTATGCACCAATTTTATATGTGAAAGAACTGATTGAAAAAGATTCCAAATCTTGACATAAAAAACTCTTCAGGGCAGATTCTTAACTGAACAATGATTTGAAGATTTTAGAAGCGATAACCCCCCCCCCCCCAAATCAATCATTGTTACCGGCTGGAAGTAAATAGCAGTAACCCTATCAATATTATAGCCTTTGTTTAAGCAGTCACTGTAAACCTACTGATGAGCATGGTATGTCAGTATCCAGATGTTTCCTCCCACCTATCATAACTATTACCACAGTTTCCTTCACCTACCTTACTTTGGAGACAGAACTTTGCAGTTTGTTTCAGTTTCAAACATCAAACGTTTAAAAGTCCCACATCATTTGCTTGGCTTGGAAGTTTTTCAATTATATTATTCTCTTGTCATAATAAATTGTTTAGTTTGTAATTAATCTCCAGTTACTCATAATTTTGAGTATATATTTGAATCTATTTTGCAGCTGCTATTTATTAATTTATTCACAAAATTATGGGAAATATCCCAGATATATTTCAGTGAATAAAACTGATTAATGCTACATGTTACTATTGAGGTAGAAAACCTAGATGAATAAAACTGGTTAATTCTGTATGGCAGACTCTTAAAATCTGATCAATCCCCAAGCAACATCTAAAAGCTCACTGATACATTTTAATATACCAACATCCAGTTTCTTGACTTGCGATCACTTTGAAGGTTACTGATGGTTTTTCAAATCTAAATTACTTTTGACAAAGTTTACAGATGGTATAAATAAATAGTTGTTTTCAGGTCAGTCCATAAAAAAACTGATATGAGCCCTCAAAAAGAATTACCTGGTAAATTGTGGGAAATTATTTCCAAATGGAACCATATTTTGACAAGGTACCATGAATGGAGAATTTCTTTACATTTTGGCATTTAATTTGCATATTTAAACAATTTCATTTTTTTGTGCAAGAGTGAAAGCTGTGACTTTCCTTTAAAGCTTGAAGAATTAGTATATTTATGAGAGACATATATGTACATACATACATGCATTTTAAAATATTCATATTAGATCAATAAAAGCGATATGGTGTTTATCTACATTTATTCATGTAATAGTTTTCATATTTACAAGTACATGATAAAATTATTCTACTTTAAATTCAATAACCAGTAATAAATTATTTTATGTTTGAAAGATTAAATTTTATGATTAATTTATTTGCATTAGTCATACCATTAAATGTGTAATTAATAAATATCTCACATTCAAAGGGGGGAATCTAAATTGTTTTTGGAACTCTGAAACTGAAGGTCATAGGGCGCTGAATATGCGATAAGGTTCATTCTCTGATGACCCAAATGCTTCACACTAAATATGAAAAAAAATCCATTAAAAACTGTAGCCTCTAGTCTATCATGTCAACAAGGTTTTCAGAGAATGTCGGTATTTGAATAAAAATCTGTTAAAAACTGTAGTCTCTATCGCCATAACAGGGTTTTCGGACAAGGGGGTTAACTCCAGGATGGGTGGTTGCAGATCGCCGAAAATTGATAGAGTTCGCCCTCTCATGATCTCAAGGCTTCTTGAAAACTTGAAGAAAATCCATTAAAAACTGTAGCCTAATAAGGTTTTCGTACGAGGGGTAAATCCAGAGATGCACAGAAACAGGTCATTCGAGTCTTAGCCTTGCTTCTCCATTTTTAAATCAAATCATTAAATGGCCAAACTGTTCCAAATACTTCTAATCTACTTAAAATCAGAGCCATCTGATGGCATTGTGAGTTGATTATGGTCCTTGTGTTAATAAATTTCTAATGAATCATTCATATAACAGTTAAGGTCCAAAGAAAGACCTGCAATAGGCAGATTTAGCTCTTATAATACCTGTTTAAGCTTACATATAAGTTTCAAATAATTTTGATGTTGTTTGGAGGAGTAATAGTAATAAACTTATGTGTTAAATTAGACAAAATGTAAGAATGCCATTTGGCCTAATTTTCTCTTTGTAATTGCATATTGTAATTGCATACAGTCATATTGATATTTTAGTAATTTTTTTATAAAAGAAGCTAAATCTCTATTCTTTGAAACCTAAAATTGAACATAAATGGGTCGAATTGTAATTGCATACAGTCATATTGATATTTTAGTAATTTTTTTATAAAAGAAGCTAAATCTCTATTCTTTGAAACCTAAAATTGAACAAAAATGGGTCGAAAATCACATATTAGTTATTATTATTATTACAGCATATTTATAGTGTGCCCTTTCGTATAACCTGTTCAGGGGCACTTTACAAAGTGACAATAATAAAACACAAAAAAAAGAACCCCAATATTACAGACATGTTAACAGTTGTATACAGAGTCCGTTAAAAGCCTGTTTAAATAAACGTGTTTTAAGTTGTTTTTTTAAAAGAATATTGAGATATACACCATCTTAAACTAAATGGTAGATTATTCCATAAAACAGGGGCTTGAAAAGTAAAACAGCGCTGACCATTAGAGACTAGTTGAACAGTTTTGGGCTTTAAAATTAGTTTATCTGATGTACTTAATAATTATGTTCGGCCAGGTGTAAAAAGTTCTAAATGATATGAGAGGTAAACAGGAGTTAAACTATTCAAACATTTCAAAGTAAGTAATAAAATATTTAAATCAATTTGATATTTAACAGGGAACCAGTGTTTATTATGTAAAACAGGAGTTACGTGGTCACATATCACAGTTTCCAATCACAACTACGGGGGTTATCACGTACAAATTTACTTAATTGATGATTTGAGCCTAATAATAAATATTTAGTTTTATCAACATTCAATTTTAGAAAGTTATTTGACACATCCATTTTCTAATTTCACTTATACAGTTCTTATGTTGCAATTTTGATAAATTAATAGATGATGAACAATTAGGTGTAAAAGAAATATATAACTGAGTATCATTGGCATAGAAATGAAAGCTGACACCATATTTTCTGACAATATCGCCTAATGGTGACATTTCGGGACTAACATATGGTTCAATTTTATTTCAATGATTCGCTTGCACGTAGGGATCTTTAGCAGCGGGAGGAAACCGAAACCACGTCAGTTGACTCAATGACAGACCTTATGATACAACGTGCACGCTCTAACCATTCGGCCATCCAACAATGGTGATGTTTTAAAAGGAATAAATAAAATCGGACCAAGAACAGAACCTTGAGTAATTCCAGATGACAAAACAGTTTCAAACGACGATTTACAATTAACTAAATACACTGTTTTTTAACCACAAGATAACTTTCTAAAAGATCTATTGCAGAGCCACTAATACCAAATTTAAAATGAAGTCTATGTAAAAGAATTGAAGGAACTACTGTGTCAAACACGACAGATAAATCTAATAAAATTCAAAATTTCTATTATCAATTTCCAGTAAAATATCATTTGAAACCAGGGTTAAAGCGGTTTCGGTACTGTGAAATTGTTTATAATGGTTTGAAATGGTTCAAACAAACAGTTATACATTCAATTTTTAAAATTTTTATTGTAATTTCTAATCAGTTATTTTCCCCGGAAATATGTGATCAGTCCAAATTGCCAAATTGAATGGCGGCTGTTTGCACCTAGTTAGTCCCGTCTACATCAGGACTTTGGTTTAACATTTCACTTCCTCACTGACTTGAACTGAATATGTTTTGCCTCGTTCATCAATGCGCCTCTTTACAAAACAAAACATATGTCACTCACTGATTTTAAAATGTTCATTGTGTCTGAAATATTGGATATCAGGAGCCCATATTTTCATTGTAAGATAATGAAATATTAAGTCCATGTCGAAAATCAAACCTGCGACCCCAGTTATGGAATCAATGTACCTGATCTACTGTGTGAGCTAAATCTTCCATCCAAGTCAATAGGAAGTACATGTATTTAAAATTGAGATAGTACAGGACTGAATCCAGATACTGATCTACCTTGTGAGCTAAATATACCATCCAAGTCAAAAGGATGTGCAAGTATTTAAAATTGAGATAGTACCAGGGCTGTCGGTAATTTTTCACAGTTGATTAGCAGCACTACTAATCAAAAAATCCAATTTTGCCAAATTTGATTAACAAATTTAAAAGTTGATTAGCAGTTTTTCAGTTTCAACATAAAACACCTAAATAACAAGATATTACTTTAATTTATAACAAATGATTAGATTTCATTCTTAGATTTTTTTTAGCACTGCCACATGTAGTTGTGACAGTTTGTGAATGTGATGATGACTTTTAGTTAGGTCTTATGTCTGAAGCCAATTCTTGGCAGTGACTTCCGAAGCCCCACTCATTTTAATTGTTATTTCTTTGTTACGTCAGAAATCTTCGTTAGAAAACAATTTTGTCTTGCATTTTATATATCGTGTATTACTATTTTTGTTCAATCGAGCGCACCTCGAATAACTAGACACACGCGATATAAACAATAATATTTTACGGGAATTCTTACTTTGATTTACCATTTTACAATACGTTAACATGTTTTTATTATTTTATATTCTATTTAATACGTGGGGGATACACTGGATTTATTTCTTTCAAAATGAATACTAATATAATTACTTGATTGGCATGTCTCGCAACGTGAGTGGTACTACTTGATTCCCCATTTCCGGTTAAATAGTCCCTATTCACAGAGTTATGTCCCTGTATTATATAGTATAATGAATTGTTTCTGAGTAGTTCACGAAGAAAATGTCACACAGAGAATTCAGTTTTGTGTATAAAATTTTATTCGACATTTTATGCACGTTCAAAGTGTTGAGAAAGCCTTCTAGTCTTCAAAATGTGGATTATCCTTGTGTCAATATCCAAAATGACAGGCATATTAATGATTTGCTGTAACTGCGAATCAAAAACGTTAGATTTAAAAATTGAAAATATGTGTCGCAAATTGCGCTGTGATACTGGTTGTCAGCAGCCCTGGATAGTACAGGACTGAATCCAGATGTCTGAACAATAATAGTGCACCACAACATCCCTGCTACAATAACAATATTGATAGAAATGGACCAAATATTAAATTATAATTCATGTTTTTAATGTCAAAGATAAACTATAAAAAAAGGAGATAATATTCAGATTGTGATAGAACTTTTAGCTCCTCTGACACGTCTAATATTTTTTATTTTTTTTAACATTTTTATATATTTCTATAGTAATATTTACGATTTATTCGGCGGAAGGAGGACAGACTGTGTGACTATATTTTAATTTAAGTTTAATTATTCTAAACTAAAACACTGTGAGTCTGTCAGTGACAGTTGACTGAGTGTGTTAGCTTTCAGCTGTGTCGAAAAAAAAAATTTTTCTCTGTTCTTTTGCTTCTTCTCTAACTCATCTGATTAGCATTGTCATTTTCTAGTAGACTATTTTTCAAAACATGAATACCCAATATATGTCTGTTCTATTTCATGTAAACTTACATGATTTAAAAAGTATACAAACTTCAGAATACAATCTTTATTGATATTTGATGACATCGATACCGCCCAGATGGCGCTTCAATGTCAACAACAGAGTTATTTCCCTTAGAATTGTAATACAACCCCTGGACTTGGATCATGCAAGTCATTACGTTCACAAAGAGTAAATAATAACTCTGTGACTGTGAAGTTCAGATATTCACAGAGAGAAATTGAATTTAACGCCCACTCGACATAGACTATGTCATTTCGGGACTATCATGGTGCAGTTTTATTTCAATAATTCGCTTATGCGTATTTTCGGTTGATATATATTAGTCTGGAGGCTCCTCGCGGGGGGTGTGGGGGGGGGGGCATCAAATGGGACTTTTCTAGAGTAAAATTTTGCGTAGAATACGATGCCGAGTGGTAATCAGTCCACAGTTGGGGCGTTTTCGAGATATTCAGGCCAAATGGGTTCATTTGCACTGAAATTAGTGAATGCGCAGTCATTCTTGTATCATGAAAATAAGCTGAAAATGATCGAAAGTAATCACACTTTCAATAAACATGTAAACTTACTCAATTCACCTTTGTTCTTTGTAGCTTTTTAATTTTACGTTGACATTTCATTGCTTTAAATCTTCCTAGTGCAAAAACGGTAAATTTCACCTTTTGACCTCCAGGGTCACTAAGACTAAAGGTGAATTTAGCAAGTTTACATTTTTATTGAAAGTGTGATTACTTGCGATCATTTTCAGCTTCTTTTCATAATACAAAAATAACTGCGCATTCACTTTTAGTGAAAATGAACTCATTTGACCTTTGACCCCGAATATCTCGAAAACGCCCCAACGGCGGACTGACCACTCGGCATCGTTATATTCTACGCAAAATTTTACTCTAGAAAAGTTGGGTCTGGTTTGGTGCCTGTTTGATGGACATCTCCCGCGCTGAGCCTCCGGTCTATATATTTCAAGTTTCGTAAAATCGGATAAGCAGCGGCTGCCAGACAGGATACACACACATTTTGCAAGAGATGGATAGAGAACAAGCTAAAAACAAACGCGATTTTTTGTACAATCTGGGAAAATAATCTAGAAAGTTACGGTCTGAAACGAACAAATATCAAAAGGGACTGAGATCTTTGCGATATAAAGATATGTTTTAAGTTTCATCAAAATCGGATACAAATTGTGACCTCTAGAGGGTTCACAACTTTCGTATTGCATACTTTTACACAATTTGCATACAAATTAGTTGGGCAGTTTCATTTCAATTTTCCCGAAATTCGAATTCAACCTCATTATGGGGGAATGGTCATATATTTAAACGGTTTTTAAAATCGGAAGAAAAATTGTGACCTCTAGAGAATCCACAAGCTAAAAATGCGATATTTCGAACAATCGGGGGTAATAATCCAGGAGGAAGTTACGTTCGGATATGCGCAAATATCGAAAGGAACCAAGATCGTTGGGTTTAAACGGTTTTTAAAATCGGAAGAAAAATTGTGACCTCTAGAGAATCCACAAGCTAAAAATGCGATATTTCGAACAATCGGGGGTAATAATCCAGGAGGAAGTTACGTTCGGATATGCGCAAATATCGAAAGGAACCAAGATCGTTGGGTTATAAACATGTATTTCAAGTTTCATCAAAATCAAATCAAAATTGTGGCCTCTAAAGGGTCCACGACCTTGATATATGATATACCATATGTTTAGGCCCTACTCTATTTATGTACGAGAGGCGGCCATTTTGTCCGGCCGTTTTGGTCCGATTTTCACGAAATTCGAACTCAACCAACTTTACGGTGTAACGACGGTATATTCGAACGTTTTTTTTAATCGGATAATAATTGTGGCCACTAGAGGGACCACAATTAGTCAAAAATGCGGTTTTTCGTAAAATCAGGGGCCATAATTCAGGAAGTTATAGGCCTACACGAATATCGAAAGCAACCAAGATCTTTGGGTTATAAACATACATTTCAAGTTTCCTCAAAATCAGATAAAAATCGTAACCTCTAGAGATTCCACAAGCTAAAAACGTGATTTTTCGTACAATCAGGGCCATAATCAATGAAGTTATGGTCCGACCAATATCGAAAGGAACCGAGATCTACGGGAAATAGAACTATATATATATTTCAAGCTTCTTCAAAATCGGATAACCAGCAGCTGCCAGACAGGATACACACACATTTTGCAAGAGATGGATAAAGAACAAGCTAAAAACAAACGCGATTTTTTGTACAATCTGGGGAAATAATCCAGAAAGTTACGGTCTGAAACGCACAAATATCAAAAGGGACTGAGATTTTTGGGATATAAAGATATGTTCTAAGTTTCATCAAAATCGGATAAAAATTGTAACCTCTAGAGGGTCCACTGCATACTTTTACACAATTTGCGTACAAATAAGTTGGGCAGTTTCATTTCAATTTTCCCGAAATTCGAATTCAACCTCATTATGTGGGAATGGTCATATATTTAAACGGTTTTTAAAATCGGAAAAAAATTGTGACCTCTAGAGAATCCAGGAGGAAGTTACGTTCGGATATGCGCGAATATCGAAAGGAACCAAGATCGTTGGGTTATAAACATGTATTTCAAGTTTAATCAAAATCGGATCAACATTTTGACCTCTAGAGGGTCCACAATCTTGATATACCAGATGTAGGCTATACACTTGCGTAAGAGGGGCGACCATTTAAAATCGGAAAAAAATGTGACCTCTAGAGAATCCTCAAGCTAAAAATGCGATTTTTCGAACAATCAGGGGCCATAATCCAGCAAGTTACGTTCGGATAAGCGCGATTATCAAAAGGAACCAAGATCTTAGTTTGTAGCGGTGATATATTCACAGGTTCTTTTTTAAAATTGGAAAAAAATTGTGACCTCTAAAGGGACCACAAAATAAAAACGTGATTTTTTGTACAATCAAGGGCCATAATTCAGGAAGTTACGATCCAATATGCCCGAATATCGAAAGGGACGAAGATCTTTGGGTTACAAACATGTAGTTCAAGTTTCACCCAAAATCGAACTGATTGTGACCTCTAGAGGGTCCACAACCCTTGATATACCGTTTACACTGTTTGCGTACGAAGGGCGGCCATTTTGTCCGGCAGTTTTGACCAGATTTTCATGAAATTCGAACTCAACCAACATTATGGTGTAACGGTGATATAATCAAACGTTTTTTTTTTTTAAATCGGATAATAATTGTGAAATCTAGAGGAACCACGAGCTAAAAATGTGATTTTTCGTACAATCAGGGGCCATAATTGAAGAAGTTACGGTCCGATATGCCCTAATATTGAAAGGAACCACGATTTATTGGTTATAAACATGCACATTTCAAGTTTCATCAAAATCGGATCAAAATTGTGACCTCTAGAGGGTCCACATCTTCGATATACCAGATGTTTACACTATTTGCGTAAGAGGGGCGACCATTTAGTCCGGTAGTTTTGGTCCAATTTTCACCAAATTCAAACTCAACCAAACTTACCGTCCAATGGGGATATATTCAAACGGTTTTTTAAATCGGATACTAATTGTGACCCTCTAGAAGGACCACAAGCTTCATCAAAATCGGATCACAATTGTGACATCTAGAGGGTCCACAACCTTGATATACCATATTTTTACACTATTTGCGTACGAGGGGCGGCCATTTTGTCCGGCAGTTTTGGTCCGATTTTCAAGAAATTCGTACCCAAGCGTCATTATATTGTAACGGTAATATATTCGAACGTTTTTTTTTTTAAATCGGATAATGATTGTGACCTCTAGAGAGACCACAAACTAAAAAACGCGATAATTCAGGATGTTACGATCCGATATGCGCAAATATCGAAACGGAACCAAAATCTTTGGGTTATAAACATGCATTTCAAGTTTCATCAAAATCGGGTTAGATTTTGACCTCTAAAAACGTAATATTTCGTGCAATCAGGGGCCATAATCCCTGGTTATGGTTCGATACATGCCATTATCGAAAGGAACCGAGATCTTCGGGAGATATATCTATATTTTAAGTTTCGTCAAAATCGGATAAAAATTGTGACCTGTAGAGTGTCCACAAACCAATTGGGGACGGACGGACGGACATCTAGGGGCGACGGCACAATACATCCAAATGAAAATGTGGAGTATAAAATTCTCAAAATACATACATGTATTTATCTTTATTACCCTATGTTGACTAATTACTTTTATGTTTATAATCCTTTGCAGTCCTGTCAAACATCAGTGTCACCAATTTAATGATTCTATCGCGTTGACAAAAAATTGTTGACAGATGAACATGAGTGACTACTTTTTTCCCAAACCAATGTGGGCATATATAAAGGGGGTTGAGGTCAGGATTTCCAATTACTCTTTAACCACATCATGAGAGTACAATATGGAACTTTTAGAGGGTGTTTACAACTCTATTTTTTTGCAGTCCTGTCTAACATTACTGGAAACATAAAAAACATAGAATTCTTTGCAGTTTGAAATGTCTAATCAAAATTATACCCAAGCATTACACGTGTATAAAGCATACAGATAAAAATTACCATGTTGTTAGTATAATTGCAACCAATGTCTTGCATTGATGAGATGTTAAATGTCTTGGTGGGTTTTTTTTTTTTTGGAGGTGTTGTACTATTGAAAGCATTAATTAGAATGCAGATTGCTTTGGAAATACAAATAGGCATAGTATAGGCATGGTAGGCAGAAATACTTGGCACTAATCCTAATTAGAATTTTATCCCATATAAACACTGTAAGTCAGATCACTTGTTTTTGTGTGAAGGCATACATAATAAAAGTTTTACACTGCTGAAATTTGGTAACTAAGAAAAGGGTAATAAGGGACTTAAAAACAATAAACAATTTAATATTGCAATACCTTTATTGTAAAATTACAATTATTGTATTCTTTACTTATTTGAGTTATATATAATCTACTTACAAACCAACTTGATACCTGTATGCTGATGTGCTGACTTTCAACATGCTCGAATCAAGATGTTTCCTTTTCCCACAAATTGTACATAAAAGTAAGATAATCTGAAAATTATGCACTATAGTTCCATCTATGACAATATTTCAGAATGGACAACTATATATGACGATAATTAAATATATATTTGATACATGATTGGCATTATTAATAATATTGAAATCAAACTTACTTAATATATTAATGACAATACTGGGTATTCTGAATAAACGTTCATGTTTATCCAAGCTTAATCAAGATAATATCAAAAAAACCCAAAAAAAACACAACACAGTTAATATGGAAATACAATCACTGGTTTATAGGCATAGCGCGACGTTTCGACAAGTATTCTCTTATCGTTATCAAGATCAAATGATAATATCACTCTAGCTTAATTACACTCAATTAAAACCTCTGCGAGATTTAATTTCTACATATTTTACTCCATTTATGAAGATATATGTCAATCCTTTCTCATTTCATTTTCGTCTTTCTAATCTCTAACAATGAAAACAAAAACTGGACCTGTAAAACTAACATGATGTAATGTGGAGACTTTTTGACAGTAAACATACACAAAATATACACATATATTTTATATGTTTAATAGCGCTTAAAAACTTTCAAATGTAATATTGAAAGTTTTATTTTTTCTTTACAAAACACTTAAAAAACTTAAAATACACTTTTTGAAATTCCTTTTTTACATATTTAACAATTTATTAACAAACAATGATTAAATATATAATTTATAGATCAGGGAAGGCTATGTGATATACATCGCCATAATGCTCAACAAAATAAACTTCTAAACCATCAGTTATAAAACTGGCTAAATCAGCAAAATCTTTTCTATTTTCTTCTGGTAGAATTATACAGTTGACACCCACTCTTTTAGCCTAAAATTTATAGAGAAAAGCATTTAGATTACAGAAAAGGTTCAACACTCTTAAAATAATTGATTTTACATATTACATTTTAAAATGACCTCTTATTGAAAATCCAAGCATTGACCTAATAAAAATGTACAACTTGAAATGTATATCTAAGCATTGGCTTGGCAGAATTATCACAAATTTTGCATACAATTTGAACATAATATAATTGTACAGTCAAAACACTCCAAATCAGAATTACATTTTACCAACCGATGAAGTCTTCCACTGTAATTAACATACATGTAGTTTGCTCTTAAACTTTAAAATCTAGTCTAATAGCACTTAACAATTATTTACTTGTGAAAGGAAGGTTCTCACAATGCCATTTTTACTTTCTTATTCAGGGTTTGCTCAGTTAGTGTATGCCTTCTTTTATCGACTGGAATGAATTTAATTATAGAACCTCTCATCAAGTATTGCCTTTGTGGTTTTTCACAAATAAATGTTATCTATGACACAAAGTAAATGTGAATGATCACCATGGCAGCATCTACATGTATGTATTATGATATATTTTTAGTTTAAAAATTAAAATGATGCAGTACCATAAAAATTATTTTTCGCTAATTCTAACTTGAAGCTTAATTATACTTACGGCAATTACTTTCTCCTTTATTCCCCCGACCGGTAAAATTTTGCCTGTTAAAGAAATTTCCCCAGTCATAGCTAGATTATGACGTACAGGTTTATGTAGTGTTAATGATAATAAAGCTGTAACAATAGTACATCCAGCACTGGGCCCATCTTTAGGTGTTGCACCCTGAAATACATAAATCAGGATTATTTTTGTTACTGAAAATCATAAAATAAATGTCATGTATATGAAATTTCCATCTGTATCATCAAATTAATGTTTACAAATGGGGAATTTCAATTAAAAATATCAGGTGAAAAGGAGGTCAGGAGAACATTTTTCCAGTTCTCTACCAAAGAATGATGGTAGCATCATGCAGTGACACAGCTTATTATTCTAAAATTTCTAAATAATTCCATTTAATATCATAGTCAACCAAATTAAAAGCGTGTTTCTACTCCCCAGTAAAAGATAAGACTCTAAATAATTACCTCTGGTACATGAAGATGGAGATGAGCTTTCTGTAGAAAATCATTGCTTGGATGGGCTTCTGTGAGAAAAGCTTTCGCATATGTATAAGCTAACTGAATACTTTCTTTCATTATATTACCTAGGTTACCAGTTGTTTCTAATGCACCTGGATCTTTGGAAGTAGAATCATATGGCTTTTTCAATACACTTTCTATAAATAATGTTGAGCCACCTAGGAAAAAACACAATTTAAAATATATTACCATGGTATATACTGTGATGCAATGAAAATGCACCAGTGATTTGACTGGGAGTGCTGGTGAGACATAATGCAGCTGAAATGTGATTTTTGGTATGATTGTAGACTTGACATTTACAAACACAAGAAAATCAACAAAAACTTTACAACACTGAGTCAGAGCTTTATTTATTTTTTTGTGTTAGAGAATTGATCTATGGTGAGTTTACAATCGTGAAAACATCGCTCTTAGATCTTGTACAATGACTGCATGGACTAGACATTTATTATAAGCAGGGCGATCAATATATCCTTAATTCAAATACTAAAGATAAAAAGTCACTTATTTACCCATTGCCGTCCATGCTAATCCTGTGACAACACCAGGAGGTGTTGTATCATATAATCTATCGGACGTAAAAACAGGTTTCCCTACAAAATCTTGTAGATTATTTTTTGTAATACTCAATTTCTCTATTTGATCACTTATTATCTTTAATGCTGCTTTTCTAAATATCTAAAATATAAGAGATACCAAATTAACAAAAATACATCATAATTTTCTCAAACACTTTTACGTGTCTGTTTGCTTTACTTAACTATTCGTCCTGTTGTCCCACTACTAATGGTTATTGGGTGGTTCTTTGTGATTTTCCTGTGTCATTACTGCTCAAGATTCACACCAGTGAATTTATTCACCACATATGATGTTATTGTTTTGGTTGCATCTATCTAGCAGCAACAGGTTTGTAGCTAACAATTACTAATTCAAGGTCAATGTCCACCAACATTTACAGATACTTTCCCCGCGTACAAACTGTGTGATTAGATGATATATTTGGACTAAAAACATATTCAAACTAATTAATCTATCAAAAATTTGCTTCAAATCCCTCTCAAAACTTTGTATTCATGGGGAGATACCTCAAGCTATAAATAAACTTTTGTTAAAGGCCATAATTGTCACATTACTTCATTAAGTGGACGCTTACGACTAAGCCCCTGGATCCATTCACTTAATTTGATATGTTCGTTTGTTTGTGATTTCTATATATTGTGTCTTGTCCATAGATTTGGTTTACTGTCCATTTACCATACATATTGAGGCCTAAGTAAATTCTAAATTATTTTCTGTCAACTTCTTTTTCCGCCGTTTAATTGCAGAGTCTTTTTTATGTTGACACACCTCAATGTTCCAAAAACTGCCTAACCATTTGATCAAGACACATTAAGCTGGCATACAACAGTCGGGGTTGCCAGTTAGTGATACCCTGACATATTTTTCTAGTAAGATTGGGCGTCTATACTTTCCATATATACAAAATTTGCCATACTTTTATTGGAAATAACCACCTGACAAATACTTTCGGGACAATGTATCCTTAATATTCCTGATATATTTAAATAATTTGTTGAATAATATAAGATACAGAATTTGGTGTGCACTAAAACAACAAATAAAGTTCACTCCAGTATGCTTTAAAAAAGATTTATAATATTACCTTTTCAATTTGTTTTTGAAGATTTCTGACACCACTTTCTCTACAATAAGATTTAATCAGCACTTCCATAGCATCATCACCAATAATTACTTTATCTGATGTCAATCCACTTCCTACTTCAGCTTGTTTTACTAAATATTTCTACAAAAGAACCATTTTTTTTATTTAACTGGCCATATTATGTCACCAAACATTCTTCCTAAACCATTTTGGGGAGTTTTAAATTTCAAATAGATTCACACTTTTAACCACTTTCGCACTGCATGTCATCAAAGATAAGATTTTGTCCCAAAGGGTCAGCACTCTTTCTGTATATTTTTGATGAATAATGAAGTTAATAACGTGGTTAATATAAAGAAATCTTACATTAGCTATAGCTAATTTTTCTTCTGCCACATAACCTGACACATCTATCATCTCCATTCTATCACGTAATGGTTCTGGTATTGTATCTATAACATTAGCTGTGCAGATAAATAGTACCTGAAATACACAATTACAAATCATTAACTTATCAATTACGTCTTTCTAATGACATTTTACTTTCACTTGATAATCATCACTGTATTTTATTAGATATAGAAAATTCAGTCTACATCAACTGAAGGCACTATTTCTTTTATGTGTAGATGTATGATAATCTGTTATTTGTAGTGCCTATACTCAACTTTCCTGCACTAATCCCTTGATACTAGTAATCTACAGTACATACTACATAACTTACTTTTGACATATCAACAGTTACATCTAAATAATGATCAAGAAAATTAGCATTTTGTTCTGGATCTAAAAGTTCCAACAAAGCTGATGCAGGATCACCTTGATAGCCTTTACCAATTTTATCAACCTGTTTAGTAAATAATCAAATATATTATATACATTTTATCAACCTGTTTAGTAAATGAGTAGTAAGGTTTAGTAGCTGTGCAGGAAGTGCTGAATGTCAGGTGACGAGTAAACCACTTGGTTGTCTGGAGAACGTTTTAAGATTTTGAACTAATCTTATAGTTATAATCGGTTACAAAGCTACCTAAGGAACCAAATAATTATCATACTATAGTCAAATTTTTGTATGCGATTTATATACATTTTATCAACCTGTTTAGTAAATGAGTAGTAAGGTTTAGTAGCTGTGCAGGAAGTGCTGTATGTCAGGTGACGAGTAAACCACTTGGTTGTCTGGAGAACTTTTTAAGATTTTGAACTAATCTTATAGTTATAATCGGTTACAAAGCTACCTAAGGAACCAAATAATTATCATTCTATAGTCAAATTTATGTATGCGATTTTGAATCCGTTTTGCTGTTAAAAATTATTTTTAAATCTATCCCTAGTTATTAGTAGAAGCATCCTTTCACGTTCAGGGAAGCACAGCACAAGAGAATTTTTTGCAGTTTTGAGCGCATTTTTGTTTTAAAAATTGCCACTGACAACTCGAATAAAGCACTTTTAAATATTTGCCCACTTACAACAATAAATCTGTTAATAATATTCAATATTTACTTACTTCATCTATTAGGATTAATGGATTCTCGGTTTTAGTCTTTTTTAAGCACTGTATAACTTTACCTGGCATGGCACCAACATACGTTCTCCTGTAATAATTAAAATGTTCCATGCTATCCTTTATCAAAAAGTTAAACCATTACAATAGTTTAGTGAGTAGTTAAACATCAACATATAATGCTTAAAATACTATTTCTGTATCTGTAGAAAAAATGATTGGTTGATAAATATTAAGTCATGTAATCATGTAATATAGATTACATACAGTCAAATATAAGTATTATTAAAGTTCCTATATTTACCTATGTCCTTTAATTTCTGCTATATCACTCATGCCGCCAACACTAAATCTAAAATACTGAGAGAAAAAAAAAATCACAAAATATATACATACTAAGATTTATTAGTGGAGATCTATGATGTTAAATATATTAAAATTTATCTCTGAAAACAAGCTACATGATTTTCTAGCTAAAAGTATGCTACTAAAAAGCTTTAGTTTACTTATCAACGTATACAGAAATGAAATGAAGTGGGGTTTAACGTCCTACTCGGCCTGGATATACAACAGGAAATTTTGCACCGAGAGGTGCGCTATGGCCTACTTTTATATCAAATTCCAACTGCCAAGGGTTATTTTACATGCATGCCAAGGGGGAACCACACTCGAAAATCCTGATGAACTTTCTCGGCCAAAGCAGGGATCGAACACGGAACCTCCAGGTTAGCGAGCTAATGTCTTACCCACTGAGTCACCACAGCTCCCTTATTAGCGTATACAACATTTTAAATAAAGTTAACGATAAAAATAAGAAAGACCAGACTTATCAATTGTTAAAATAACTGTACTGTATCTTCATCTGTAATTGGTATATAACTTACCTCTCTATTTAAAGCCTTGGCTATAGATTTAGCTATACTTGTTTTACCCACACCAGGTGGACCATAAAAACACAATATTTTACCCTGGGTACTTCCTTTTAATTGACTTATGGCAATAAATTCCTGAAAATACAATTTATATGATGAGTACAAGACACTTTTTTTTCTTTTATAAATTCTGGATGTCAATTTTTTTTGCCTTCATCTAATTATTAGTCGATGCAAAGTATAAGACAAAGACCTGACTTCTGTGGAAAGAAGTATCGATGCAAAGTATAAGACAAAGGCCTGACTACTGTGGAAAGAAGTATCGATCTATACCCCAAAAAATTCTGGAGTAAAGTACTGGAATTACAAGAAAGCTATGTTTCTAAAAAAAAAAAAAAATCAAAACAAATTTCACTTACTAAAATTCGTTTTTTGAAAAAAAATCAAAACAAATTTCACTTACTAAAATTCGTTTTTTGACATCATCCATACCATAATGATCTTCTTCTAAGACTTCTTTAGCTTGTTTTAAATCTAAATTTTCTTCACTATATTTACCCCATGGTAGAATTGTTAACCAATCTAAATAGTTTCTTGTTACACTAAACATACAAATAGATATCATAATGAATAATATATTATGTACACAAGGTACAATTTTTATGGATACACAATTACTAGTGTGAGATTTTGCCTTGAAACAGAATGGTTATTCTGATGCCAGAGTGGTACCGGTAGGTCTTTGGCATTCTAGACTTGTGTTGGTTCTCTATGGTGGAGGCGATGACATCATTAACAAGTTGGGTAGGGTAACTGTTATTATTTACAATTTTTTATAGGAAACCAATCCACACTGACAATACATTCACTTTAAATTAAATCCTTTGCATCAAATTAAGAAATCTATCATCACCTCTTTAACCAGGCGCACCACCAAGATATGTGACACAGAAAATTTACCTGCTGAATTAAAACATTTAAAAAACGAGTAACAATTACCCCACCTAACTAGTTAATAATGTCATTGCGTCCACCATAAAGAACCAACACAAGGCAAAATCCCACACCAGATTAGAAGGTTGCTGAAACAAGAAGTGGGCACAGACATCACCTACCGTGGTTGTAAATGACCCTCTAATCAAAGGTGTTAAGTTTTAATTGTATTTGATTGTTATTTTTGTTGTATATTCTGTATATGTCTACTATTCACATATTTGCATCATTTGCTTTATAAAGACGAGATAGTATCCTAGTCAAAACGTCGCACAACAATAAACTCAGTAATTGTGTATCCATAAAAATTGTACCTTGTGTTAATATGTTTGATTATTAAATGCCTATCAAAAAGAGAGAGAGAAATGGGGTTTAACGTCCACTCGACACAAACTAGGTCATTTCGGGCCTAACATATGATTCAATTTTATTTCCATAATTTGCTTGCACGTAGGGGTCTTTAGCAGTGGGAGAAAACCCACGAGGTTGGACAGGTGACCCTACTCCTTGTCACGTACAACCGAGGAATAGAAACCACGCCAGTTGATTCAATGACAGACTTTATGATGGTACAGAGCGCACATGCTAACCATTCAGCCGTCAAACCCCCCAAATGCCTATCAAAGAAGCAATAATGTTTACAAAGATATAATGTAACAACACTTTGTAGATGTTGGAACTTGTCCCAGTAATGTTGTCATGTTTGCTTTGCTACATTTCTCTTTGCAAAGCCTTTGTAGTGATGGTATACTTTACTAATCTTTGGTTGTGATCATAAACAGTAGCAAATATCTTCTGAACTCTGGGAAGATGTTACAGAAACAGGACACAATTATGTTTTTATTATACAATTTTATCAATATACTGTATTCTGGCATACACCCAAGTGATCAGAATGTAGACTTGGACTTTATGCAGACAGAAGGTTTAAGTCAGGAAATAATAGACATTCTTTTAATAATAATAATAATAGTGAGATATTGAGCACAAATCCATTAAAATTAATGCTCAAGATGAATTTAGCTCTCCACTTATCACAAGATAAAAAAACCCAGTTAATGATTAATAAGCAGTCGAAAAAAGATGAGTCTTTAACTGCTTCTTAAAACAGCCAACAGATGGTGAATTCCATAGGTTTGGTACAGTGTATGAGAAACATCTATGACCAATAACTATAGTCTATAGTTGGGTACCACAAGACGAAGTTCATGTTGGGACAAGCATTGAAGAGATTTAAACTGTTTTACATCAGTTTTGTCATATCACCAAGATATATGGTATCAGTGCAGGTACCTTGTTCAAACAATGATGTGAACTCATAGAAGAATGAAGAAAACGGGACACGATTCTTCTTAGATATGGGAAGGCCTATATATGCACACTTAGGAGAAAGATCTTGACAAATGTCAAATATTTAGATTTAGCTCTTCAGAGAACTGAAATCCAATGAAGTATGACCATTTTTAACTGCAATGGAAGTTTCGTAAAGTACTGCAATACCCCCTCCTCTGGAAGAGACTCGAGGTCAGTGAAGGAAACTGTATGATGGAGGTGTAAGTTCTGCTATAATAGCCTCATCACTAGTAGCTTTTAACCAAGACTCAGTTAGGATTAAGATATCTAGGTTATAATCAATAACCAGATCATAGTAAAACAACAGGCCAGTATCCAAGCTACAGCAAAATGACTGATTTCATGCTTCATTGATTATTCTTTAACACTGTATTTCACTCCATGATTTTCAAAAGTCCAATTTACTCCAAGACACTATGTAATAATTACTCAGACCCAATATAATAATGTTCTCTATATCCTTATATACACAGTGGTTTAATTTTCACAAGGTAAAAGTCAGCTGATCAACTTAGTTTACAAAGATAGTGCAGAGCTAAAAAGGAGCAGCCACTACAGTGCAGAGCTAAAAAGGAGCAGCCATTACAGTGCAGAGCTAAGAGCAACAATGCTTCATTATATATAACTTCACATTTTCAGGCAAATGTAAATTGTATATCGCTACACTATGACCTTGTAAATATTATGTATATTCAGATATCAATTAAGCATTGCTATTAATACCTACATAAATTTCTGGAATCTACAGCAAACAGTTTTCCTGTGTTCTGGTTAACTTACTTGAATTCTGATGAGTGATTATCTAAGAAGGAAAGTTTTCCTATTTCTTCATCAATAACTTCTTTAACATGTGGAGGTACATTCAAATCCTGTTAAAATATTACAAACACCAGAATAAATACACAAATAATTAACCCAAAATAATAATAAAATTATCGACAAAATTAAATTAACTTGTAAGTTCAGTTTATACGGAAATGGAAATTCAAAAGTTACCAAAGAAAGAGCTCTCTTACCTTTAATCTGGCTCGGAATTTTTCTTCTATGGCATCTTTATCATCTTTCTCTAAACCCAGTTCTTTTTTGATTATTTTAAGTTGCTCTTTCAATATATATTCTCTATGTTGTTTTTTTACCTTTTCTTCCACCTAAGACAAATATCAATCAAGTACTTTTTACTTATTAAAATATTATGCTGTACATACTTATAACTTACAATTAAGGGACCCAAGAGTTTCACCGTGCCACATTGTCTCGATATTTATACAGTGATCAGGGGATCACGTGGCTAAGTGGGTAAGACGCTGGCTCGCTAGCCTGGAGGTGGGGTGTTCGATCCCTGCATTGGCCGAGAAAGTTCATCCAGATTTTCCGGCGTGGTTCCCCTTGTCAGTGATGCAGGACGGATGGCCTGACAAGGACAGCTGTCTAGTCCTTCAGATGAGAAAACATTGGAATGCACGCAAAAGATCCCTTCGCAGTTGGAATTCGATATAAGAGTAGGCGATAGTGCCGCTGCCCGAGCAAAATTTCCCTCATAGCACACTGTATGGTGTATGCCTGTCTGCATTAGCCCAGTATAGGAGCAGAACAGTAGGACGTTAAACCACATTTCATTTCATTTCATTTATACAGTGATCAAACTGAGTTAAGCTCACATATTTCTTACTTATTAGGACATCTAATATTTAAAAGTTAACTTTCCAAGATACTTAACGATTTCTTCCTGGGTAAAAACTGTGTGATTTGATGATATATTTGAACTAGAAACATATTCAAACTAATTTATCTATCAAACGTTTGCTTCAAATCCCTCTCATAAGAAGCATCCTTTACGTTATTTGAGGAGACAGGCTGCCTTTTAGGGATACCCTCACAGTTTTCTCTTGTCCTCACCCCATTGGTTATTTTCAGGGAATCCAGTATTTTTCTAGTAAGATAGGGTATTTTTGCCATACTTCTATTTGAAATAACTACCACTTTTGTTGGAAAGTATGTTCAATTCCATTTTTGTCTTAATCAATCTAACAGCTAGCAGATATCTATAGTATCAAACAACTATTCACAAGATAAATAGAAATTTACTTACCTCACGTCCAATTTTTTGCTGTAATTTACTTAATTCATATTCCTTTTTTAATAATGATAATGCCAGCATTAAACGTTTTTGAATCTAGATTAAATGAAAAATAATATTTCAGAAATAAAAAGAATTGTTAAAATTTTGGGTTAAATAGGTTGTAAAGGACAAATATTATTCAAAAAAATATTATAATTCATTGCTTACATTTCTTTCTTCTAACACATCTTGAAGTTCTGCAGGTTCAGCCGAAGTTAAGGCAGCTCCTAAAAAGAAAACAAGCTTAGTGATCAGTAAAATAATTCAAGAACCAATATTCATTGCTTAAGGGCGTATGACCAAGACTTCACTGCCCCTAAGCATCGGCCAGTCAGATTGCTTATCTCTGCTTAGCCGAAGCAGAAAATGCTCAGCCACATATTTGTTCACGGCATTTACCTAATAAATGCCTTCAAGGCTCTTAAATCTGCTTGCCTTAAACAATCCTGGTCTTCCCAATTCTTTATTCTTGTCAAAATTACCATGTTTCAAAATAGCCATTTTTAAAAGAAAGGTATTTGTAATTATATTGTCACAATCTGAAGTGAAAGGTTTCTTTTAAAACCCTGTTCTGATTTATAGTAAAATGGACTTTATTTTACGTACCCCTTCTGGACTCACCGAGGTGCTTTGAGGTTTATAGAGTGAATGTTGCTTACTCTGTTTGGGTCGAATTGAACTTTTTATACCTGGATATTATTACATGAAAGTGAACATACCTAAATCACTAATATAGACAGGATTATCTATAACTCTTTGTCCAGCATGTATTATTTGAGCCAAATTCTCCCTATAATAACAAAAACAGTGAAATAATTTGATAAAAGTTCAATTTGGTTTACTGATATATTGATAATTTGTTCATTCTCCACTAACCTGAACCAAATACGTTATACATTGTCGCCCGTACATTTTAGATAACAAATATCTATTTGGATAACGATTTTTAATTCTAACATGAAGTTATTAGTCTACATTTGATCACACCAACATGTATTACCGTCCTTACATGAGGCAATTTTCATAATCGGCTCTTCAATAGGCCATTTTTACCATATTTTATTGTTAATAAAAGTTATCGCATTAAAAGTTGTTATTTTTTATATTATTCCATGGTATATAGCGCCATTGTTTCGAATAAAATCCATTTTACACCCCCCATATTCTTGGAATTTAAATTTTATATGTTAAAACCTTGTCGCAAATTTCGCAACAGATACGTGACCATATATTTGGAGTGCTTAAATTTTGTTGTATAGGGTTTGGGGAGGTAAGAATGCTCCCAGAATAACCGATTGTGGCATTGTGTTTAATCATTTATAATAAGAAATACCTGAATTAATTAGGATCTCTGCTATATACATCCCATAGATATGTGATCATACTGTTCTTAGTTTCTGTAAGTAAAGCCACGTACCAGATGATTCATGGTTTTCATTACTATATAGGTGGCAGCTATGATTTGTAAGACAGTGAAAGAAAACTGCAGATAATAAAATATACATCTCAAGTGATGGTATAGTTACGAAAAACAGATACGTGATAAACAGATACGTATTGAAAATTAACGCCACTGCCCGCTTAAATAACATGATATAAAACGAGAATCTGACAACCACGTTTCCTTCATACCTTGAAGCCGCCATCTTAGATTTAACGAGCAACGTTAACGACAATATAAATTCAGATATTGAAATCAGAGCAGTTTTGGGTTAGTAATACTACATTTTCTGTGTTTTACGTATTTATTTACGTCGGTTTCTACTATCAACAATTTAATTTACAATTTTTAAGGTGAAAAATCAAATAATTTAATCAAATGAAGTGCTACGTTAGAGCAATGTTAAGTAACGTATCTGTTTTATGGTGGTAACATATCTGTCAAACCTAACTTTAAGCCAGTTTGATGGGCAAAAATCACTGAAAATTCTGCTGAGCTGTATCAGTAAGGTTCTTATTACATTTATATATGTTCGTACTGAACATACTCAGGCCATTTTTATTTATGATAGATTACGTGCAACGCCATAGCGTTACTATAAATATATCAAATACAACATAATAATATTTACATATTTCCACATTTAGTAAATAATCAATAAAAACAGAAATATTTAATGTACTGATCTCTGCAATGGCTGGATAGAACATAAACTTACGTCTTCTTCTTCTGTTTTTGGCACTGATATTATCAAAATGGAAATGAAATGGAATGGGGTTTAACGTCCTACTGTTTTGCACCGAACTGGGCCAATGAAGATGGGCATACGCCATACAGTGTGCTATGAGGCTGATATTATCAGTTATCGGACGCGGATTAAAATGCCCTTAAAGAAACAGATACGTTACCCTAAAGTTTGAGATACATATATGCAATATTTTATGGTAACCTGTTTATTGTTGTTTTTAGCAAAGTTAAAATGGTTATTTTTTTAGTTTTGGCATTGTCTGAAAAATCAAATTATTTGCAACAGATACGTTACCGCTACAACAAGTGATACTAAATTTTATATGGAAATTTGTCATTTATACAAGATCGCTCGATGAATTCCATATTTATAGTAGCCTTTATTTGATACAACGATCATTATGCTCTTACCCTGTTTGATTGTCCATCTTATATTACACAATAAAGACCCAAATTTGTCAACATTATTTAATTTTAAACATACGGAAACCACTGTGCATTATTTGAGAAAAACAACTTTTCCACCAGTGTCTTGATCTAAATGATACATTATGGTATTACATCACAATTAAGATAAATACCTGGGTTCTTCGTTGATTAAAATTAATTGTATTATGGGTAACGTTTATTTGTTTGTGTAACGTATCTGTTGCACGTACAATTTCAGGTGGGTCGAGACAAGTTGACACAAGTTTCTCCTCGGACGAGATATTTGGAAGCCCTTTCAGATTTTTGTTCCCAGATATATTTTCTTTTGAAATAAAACGTATTTTAAGTTACATTTCCAAGTTCACTTTTGTACACTTTGGTATACATTCCAATTGGCTCAGTATAGTGGAGAATGAATGAGTTACCTTTCTTGTTAACATTAAATTGTTTATTCACATTATAAAATATGCATTTTGTAAGAATTAGATAAAGAGCTGGCCCTTCTTGCTATAATAGTTAAAAAATAGATAATGAAAAATGAATATTGAAAATTTCATTCAAATTACTTTATTCTGAGCAAAGTTATGTGTGTTTGAACATGTAGCATAGATTGTTTCTTATTGCAGCAACCATACTTGACAATCAAGACTAATTCTTGATTATCCATTTTATCGTTAAATTTTAACATCGTTAGTGTTCTAATCCATTTAAATCTCAGCGTTGATTATAGGCTTGCCATGTGAATAAATATCTAAATAATAGTTTATATAACATTTAAAGCCAAAACAAAGACCTGCAATATGCAGATTTAGCACTTACATAATGGGAGATTTAAACAAAACTATGCTATAGTCAGCAGCTTACCATCTCGCAGCAAAATCAATCTCAAATAATTCAGCTATAAGTTATCAGTGCTGCTTCTAAAATCAGTGTCAACAATTCCCATATTTTAAAAATCTATGATGATATGAACTCAGCTTTAAAAGTAACAAGCCACAGTGAAGTCAATAACAAAAGAAATCAACTTTCTTATCTCTAATTATCCTAGGCAGAAAAAGCTCATGATCAACCTTAGTCAAGGCATTGATGTAGTCAAACTATACACCAAGTTTCATCACACACACCCAATTAGAATCCAAGTTATCTCAACCAATTAAATTGCTTAGCAAATGATCATCATCAAACCCAGTCAAGACATTCATTTAATGAACAACTACATTAAGTTTGAACATTCTACCTCAATTAGAGTTATTGTGTTCCAAAAAGTGTGACAATCGGAAATCTGAACATAAAATAGGGAGATAACTCTGAAATTATCAAATGAAAAATTTGAGAATTTGATAGGCTTATTTTTTACAGTCAAACGAACAATCACTAAGACATGGAAAAAAAAACCATGACCCTAACAAATTTTAATCATATATCTCACAGGTTGTATTTCTGTAACTTACCTGTATAAAGGACTCATATTTATTACATCTCTTATAGTCTTTACAACTTCAGATGTCATAGCCTGAAATATAATTAAATCATTCCATGAGAAAACCATGCAGATTGTGTAAGTAGTTGCCAAAACACTTTTTCAAAATATTTAGCTGCTTTGGAGATCATGGAGGTAAGCCGATTTCAGCCAGTTTTTATCAATTTTCAGCCCAAATTTTAAACCTTTATAGCAGATCAATATTCAGGCAAAGAGCGAGTTAATCAATACATTGATTGTCAAAATAATACAATCAGGAAAAACGCCTCATCCCTGTTACTCCAAAACACCTAAATATATTTCGAAACTTTGTAAAATTTGCAATCCTGGAAATAAGACGACAGGTTTTGTCAGGCACAACCTTTCTAGTGCCTGTGATTTTGTCAGGTTCAGATTTGTCTTATTTCTGTATTGTCACTGATACCTTTAATACATGATCAACAATTCACTAGTTAGACAACTTGGTCACCCAACCTCCTTTTATAATGTGAAACAAACCTTGAGTTCATTATTGCTTTCATAAGCTTCATGATAGACATTTTCAACTTCTACCATTAAAACATTCTCTATTTGTTTCAACACAGGTTCCTCTGTTGGTACATCCTTTATCTCTTCAGTGGAATCCTTTACAACATCACCACTTTCTACTTTCACTTCTTCCATATTTTCTTTTAATTCATCACTTTTGTCTTCTTTTTTGCCATTCCTCCTTCTTCTACGTTTCTTTTGATTGTTTGTGTTAGTGTCAACATCTGCGATAACAAAGAACGTTTTATTAATTAGTTGGTTATTAATCATGGTCTTCTCAAAAAGCAATCTAACAAGTTATAGTGGGAGTTCACGTTCTATGACGTCAGGTACCAAGCAAGCGACATTTGACCCGATTACGTCAGTCATTCGATTAACCAATTAGCGACCGCCATGTATTTTTTATCTACTTTTGCTTTGTTTTGATTTCTATTGCCGCTAATGTCTACCCACAGTTCCGCGCAAAAAAGGTCAAACGCTCGATTCGACAGACCATTTGATTGGCTGACCCCTCATTTCAAGCAGAACATGAGTAAAATAACAATGCTTCCAGATCCAAGTGTAGTAAAGACAAGCAAAATCGAAATTTTGAACTATAAAAACGAAACGAAATTGGATCTGTGTTTTAATCAGATTGCTCAAAAAGCAAAAAGATTTTATCTGCTGTTCTGTAAAGCTAAACAGATTACATTGCTCCATTCCAAAAGAAAAATGTATCACACATGGCTGATGTACATTGACAGAGTTGTGGAAGTTTCAGCAAAGAAAAGAATCCCAGTGCAAAGATGTTTAATAAATGTCCCAAGGTCCAAGGATGAATTGTTACGTAAAGATTGGGACAAGTTTGTAAATAATTAATAATAATAATAATTCTTTATTACCTTACAGGAATTCTTAGACATAGACAAGAGATGAGAATTTGATACAAAATAATAAATAAATGAAGTTTACCCTTAATCTCTGGAATTTCTTCTATTTCATCTGCTAGTAAACCAGTTATTTTAATTCTGTAAATCAAATGTAAAACTGATAAAAGTAGACATACTTTTCAACTTAAAAAACACTGTATATTGCGAGCAAAATCTGTAACTACAAATGAAATGTTCAAACCTCTAGCGGTGTGTTGAATCCATGTGACCTTGAATAACACACTTCATCCTTGTATTCCTATCAACCCAGCTGTAATTCGGTACCAGTAGAATATATGTAACGTAGTACTGGTACTTAGTAAGTTTAACATTGCACAAAAATTATATGGAGGTAAGAATAATACAGTATTTCCTGTATAACCAGGGTAATGAAATGCAAGTCATTAGGCAACTTCGCCCAGAGCAGGACGACAGCCATTAAAATTACATTAACTACATTATAATCCATTATACCAGTCTTAAACTAACAGAGTGTACAGTTTATACAACTGACATGTCTTTTAAATAGATTATGTATAGATATTAATGAAAATATTATATCTACCTTCTATGCCCAGTGACTATAAGACGAAGTCTATCACCGAGATCTTGCATTTCAGATATCTGTACAAATGTTCCAACCTGATAAATATCGTCCATTTTTTTAACAACTTCAGCCTCATTACTGGATCAAAAAAAAAGAAGATAATCTAAGTTACAGAAAGAGATGTTCAATTCAATATTCAATATAGCAATCAGTTGTTATACAGTGTCTGTTCAAGAGATTCAAACTGTAACAATTTTAGTAAGATTTTCATTCTGTGCTGGTGTTATTGGCTGGTTTTATTTTATTTCTTTTTTCATTATTTTTGGGTGGGGTGAGGGGTGCACATGTACCTCTCTTCTCGTTTCAAAAAGACTCCAGCATAAGGTAGATTCAACTTCACTTTTCGTCTTAATAATTCAACTAGAGATTGGTCAGTCACCTGCAAGGTAAGAACAAATCAGAAATAAATTCTAAGTACCCGGAATGTAGATGGATTACAGAATTTGTCCAAACTAGTACCACTAGTACACAGTACACATTTGTCCACACTAGTACATGTTTACCATGGCTTGTATGATACCTAACTAACATGGATGTTCAGTACACAGGAAATATGGCAAATCTAAGTGACAAATCTATTTTGATGTCTAGTCTTTTACATTAAGAAAATCCTTCCATAATAAATGAAAGTTTGATTTTAAAAAATTATGATTTATCATTTCATTGTATGAGATATTATAGTTACACAATAATTCACTAGTTAATGTTAATGTTTGTTCCGGGTTAAACTTCGACTCCAAAATTGCTTGTCATTTCTTCAATTTTTAAATAAAATGGCTATAACTTGGTGATATACCTGGAATATTGTCACCCCTACAGCGTGGAAACTAATTTTCAATCAATCTATATAACCCTTCTCCCTTGAAAAATTGGGGTTTATTTACATCGTGGTACTGAAGATCAGCCATGTTTGACCTAATTATCTGGAACAGCCCAAGAAGACAAGAGGTGTTGGTTTGGCTTTGAGTCGTTTCGGACTACTTGTAAGTTTAGTTATTTGTTTCGGCCCAGTAGAATATAATTTTTTTCAAAGAGCTATTTAGGGCATCCCAGACCACATAAAACTATTATTATATAATATTATTAGTATACAATATAGAAGATTAGATATAGAGCTGACAGTTCTCACTATAATACATGTAGTTAAAAACTAGATAAATGGAAATATGCTGAAAATTTCGATCAAATTGCTTCATTTTAAGCCAAGAAAACCTTATTTTAAAATTACTGTAGCCTCGATTTTCATTGTTAGCGCTGACATGTTAATTAACAAAGTCTTGATTATCTATTTTTGCATTTAATCATCAATGGGCATTGAACAGCAGATCGGATTCAAATCCAGTGAAAATTGGACACATAAGACGGCATCGAGAGATGATTATGGTCTTTTCATGTTAATAAATGTCTAATTAATAGTTAAAATAACATTCCAGACCTAAAGAAAGACCTGCAATAGGCAGATTTAGCTCTTGCATAATGTATGTTTATATAGACATTTCTTAAATCAAGGTTATGTAATGCAGAACATGGCGTATGTGTCTGCTATTGAATGAAAAGAAATGTGCTTAAATACTGGTCATTACCATGTAGTTTGTAGATGGAAATGAAATGAAATGAAATGGGGTACTAATTTGTGGATGGTGTCTCTTATTAGGTCTGGTCAAAATTATCAAATTTTAGTAAATCTTTCCTAATTTTTTTTCTGGTTTTGTAGATGGGTCATTCGTTTGGACACAGATTTTACGGGTATATTTAATCAGAAGGCAATCTTTTTTTCTTTGTTTTCTAAACTATATGTTTTAGAATTCATTTGATGCTGCGTTGCTCGAAATAACTAAAGAATTGTTTGATCTATTACTTGACATATCGCGTAATTTTCATTCTGAAATTGTAGATAACAATAATCAATTATTCGAGGGGTCATATTTTCTAACATTTGTTTTTTTTCTCTTCTACATTAATATGTGAACCAAATCTAGGCTACTTTCACACTATTTGCGTATAATCGCTAAAGTTAGAAATTATCAGTTAAAGACATTATTTTTAAAAGGTAACATATAAGACTCTTTAGAAAAAATAAGCTATACATAAATGTGATACATGTATGGACAAAACAATGGAAAAAAGTTACACTTGGACAATTGTCTATTTCTCTGCAATGACTTAAGAAACTATCTTTTGATATCTTTACGTTTGCATTGATTTGGGCTATTCGATGAGTGGAATATACGATTCCAGATTTAAATAAGTAAAGAAACATGTCCATTTGAAATAAAAATTTGTTGAAATGGTTAAAACACAATTTTTGCCAAAATGACGTCATTTCCAGTGACCACTTGGTGACATATAATGCACATTCACATTTTATGAAAATCAAACAAGAATTTATTTGTATATGGGCATAAAAACTCTCACAAAATTGCCTATTTCTCGAAAATGAAATCATCTCCCGTCTCACTCTGCTCATTTACAAGGGCTATACAGATCAGCAAAACGGAGATATAAGAATTATGACACTTCCGGTGAGAATTTTAGAAATTGTTTGTCAATAATTATTATAGCCGATGTCATTGTGTATCATATGCTGTTACATGTAATTCTGTCTCAATCGGATAATAATTACCAAGTTTATACGCTATAAACTGTATATCCAAAGAGAAATAATTTAGATAAATATTTTTTTATATTTATTTCCAGTTGATCAGTACCATGTACTCAAGAAGTAAATTTTTAAAACTAAAAAACTTTTTTTCAAAAATGTCACATTTCAAGACTTTGCTCTCAAACACATAGTGATCCAATGAATAGTTTCAGCAAAATAAGCTGAGAGGAACTGAAAAAAAAAAAATAATAATATATATCTGAATAAAAACAATATGAGCTTTAACAGTTTTCCCTTTTGACATCATTTTCGGTCATGTGCAGTGCCTGGCCTTATATACTCACAGAAACTTATAGGTCGTTACATGTTTTTTGAGTGAAAATACCCTTGTACCAATAGCATGTACCCGGTATTGCTTTAAATGGAACTGACAACTATTTCCATTTAGGTAAAAGGTTCACCGACCAGTACCAGAAGGTAATATTGTTTCTTTATTTTAGACGGGTTAATCTGCGTATAATTCTTTCACGGAACCACATTTCACCTCTTTAATCCGCTATTTATTTACTCTAGTGCTCCTGTTTCCATGCATTTTACGACCAAACAGATGTTATCTATTAATTGCAGGACAATTAACACAACAGATACCGTTTAGTTTAAGATGTTGTACATCTCTATATTCTTTTGAAAAAACAACTTAAAACACATTTATTTAATCAGGCTTTTAACCGACTCTGTATACAATCGTTAACATGTCCATAATCTTGTTGTTTATTTATGATTATATTGTCACTTTGTGAAATGCCTTTGAACATTGTATATGAAAGGGTGCACTACAAATATGTTGTAATAATAATGTAAAGATATAAATGCTTTATCTTATTTACATTCAACGGCCGGCTGGACAGTACAGGGTTCGTAGATTTACCTAAAACAACCTGTATTTTGAGAGAGAGAGAGAGAGAAATGGAGTTTAACGTCCACTCGACACAAACTAGGTCATTTCGGGACTAACATATGGTTTAATTTTATTTCAATAATTCGCTTGCACGTAGGGGTCTTTAGCAGTGGGAGGAAACCGGAGGACCCGGAGAAAACCCACGAGGTTGGACAGGCGACCCTACTCCTTGCCACGTACAACCGGGGATTCGAAACCACGCCAGTTGACTTAATGACAGACTTTATGATACAGCGTGCACACGCTAACCATTCAGCCATCCACCCCCCCCTGTATTTTGAATAAACAACACATTTTTATTATTTTTTTTTTCTTTTTATATGCATAGATGAGTAATATTCCCTAAACTTCACTGGTTTTTTTAACAGTTCTGAAAAAACAGAAATAAATGGAAGATTGATGGAAGAAAGACAACTCTTATTGTTACCGTAATTAATGTTAAAAATTTTTAAAAAAAAAGGGAAGTTTAGGGAATATTAATATAAAAAGAAAGACATCAATAAAAATGCGCTGTTTTATTCAAAATACAGGTTGTTTTGAGTTGTTTGTGATTATTTTGGGCAAATCGATGGAAGAGACAGTATGTGCAAGGTTGATATATATCGTCTGCTATATAGCGCAGCATGCTACCCTACAGTACACTATACATGCTACTGTATGATGTTGGTCATTGAGGCTATCGATCTAAAAATAATTCCAGCCAATAATACTATAAAGTATGCAATATGCAAATAAGATTGTTTGCCTCCGTGTGTGCATGCTGTTAGCCAATAGCTACTGTAGATTTTTTGGCGGATTAAAAATTCAGCCATTTTTATAAATTTCCTCTTGATGAAATATGAATAACAGAAACAATAAAACAATGATTATGTCGAATCAGTGAATAATTTTTTAAAAATCTTTTGTTTGTAACAACATAGATCGTCTTGGCTCAGCTTTTGTCAAATTTTAATCCAGTCAGTTTATCTCCATTGCCGCAACCAAGAACAATATATTTGTGTCTCATTTTATCCAAATTTCAAACTCAGTATGGTTCAGAGAATAACTGTTGAATGAAAATATATAACTGGATTCGATGAATTCTATACAGAATTCTTTCTATTTACGTGATTATTATTATTTCATTTTATTTATTTTTTTTGAAGATGTACTACGGTCGTGCCTAAATTTTTATATCATCTTGAATTCTTTCGTGGAACCGCAGGTCACCTCTCTAATCCACTCTATTATTTACTCTAATGCTCTATTTCTTGGCATTTTACAAACAGATGTTATCTATTAATTATTTGCAGTAAAATTAACAGAAAACATATAAATCGGCTTCATACACCAATGTAAAAAAGTTGTTTTCCATATCATTTACCATGTTAAGATATGTGAAGAATAAGGCCAGTCTTCCAGAGCGCAAAATAAACACCGAAAATATAGGTCATGCGTAAAAGCTCATATAGTAAGTGCAGGGGGACTGCACCACACACAAACAATTACAGAAAACAAATTTACCGACCAGACACAATACGCAGAAATCACAAAAAAACGTATAAGCTTCAAAGTGTGAAACCCTAATAAGTATTACTGCCGCAAAACAAACGGATGAATGTTCCTTTGCTAGACATTTCTAAGAAAGCAAACCAATTTGTCAATATCTGTCAACCATTTAAATTTGAAGTGCAAGTGTCCCATGTTTATGTTCTGAGAATGGTATAATTTTGTCAAAATATGTATGGATTTTATTGAACTTCTAGGCGTTAATAAGGTTCGACGAAGAAAGCAAAGAGATGAAAACATTTTTATTAAAAATTGAAGAAATGACAAGCAATTTTCAAGTCAGGGTTTAAACCTGAAACATCAGTCTATACACTATATGATTAATTATCATAACAACATAAATTCAGATACCTGATAGTTTATCATAATATACATTCAATTTAATATTATTATTTTTATAAATTGTTGATGTAATAAATTCTTATATTACTGATTAATATAAGAATTTGTTTCTGATGAGTTGTTTTCTAACTTGGGATGAGTTGTCTTATATAGGAGCTTCTACGTGTGACGTACTTCCGGAGTCTATTTTTAGTCTGGCCTTTTTTTTCACGTATCTTAACATGGTAAATGCTAAGGAAAACAGGGTTTTTAGTCTTTTTCTTTTAATAGAAAATGTATTCTTGAATGCCACTCTTGTTGTAAATGCGTGTAGCATTCGTAATAAATTAACGATTTTAAATCATGTCTAATTTTTTTTTTTTTTTCGTTTTATTGACGATATGTCAAGCTCGCCACACGGTCCAGTTGACCGATGTACGCAAAAGCATAAACAAAGATGCATTGCTGTATTGTATGAAGCCGATTTATATGTTGTGTGTTAATTTTTACTGCAAACAATTAACATATAACATCTGTTTGGTTGTAAAATGCCACGAAATAGAGCATAAGCGTAAATAATAGAATGACACTTCGTTATTTTTGGTTATAGATAATCCCCCCGACACCCTTAATACTTTGAATAATGATCTAAAGAAAATTCATGATTGGTCAGAAAAGTGGAAGGTCGAATTCAACCCAGACAAAACTACCAGTCATACATTTAGTAGAAAAAACAACCCAACTTTGCTTGTCGCTTCTTTTAATGATATCCCTTTACATGATGCAAATACCCACAAACATTTAGGTGTTATTTTTAACAAACATTGTAAATGGGACAATCACGTGGATTTTTTAATTAGTAAAACCTCAATCATGGTCGACTGTCTGAGAAGTTTGAAATTTAGACTATCGCGTAAATCATTTAGTATTTTGTATAATTCTTTTATTCTTTCTATCTTTGACTACACTGATATAGTTTGGAATAATACTACTGAAGTAAATTCACAAAAATTAGAAAAGCTACACTTAGACGCGTTACGAACGATAACTGGCCTGCCTCGTGGAACCTCCCATAATACACTTTATACAGAATCCGGATTCTCATCTTTATCAGTGCGACGTCAAGCTCATAAACTAACAATGTTTTACAAAATGGTAAATAACATAGCTCCCAATTATCTTTGTTGTCTTATTCCGCCAATTACCTCTTCCAACAACCCTTACAACCTACGTAACTCCGACCACATTACGCAAATTAAATGTAAAACTAATATTTATAAAAACTCATTTTTGCCGTCTAATATAAAAGCGTGGAATAGTTTAGATAATGAAATAAAAAAGGCCTCGTCTGTCTCTGATTTTAAAACTAAGCTGTATCCAACCTTATTTCCCAAAGTTAACAAACTGTTTTTCTATGGTCAACGACAATTCCAAATTATCCATTGTAAACTGTGTAATAATAAAAGTGATTTAAGATACCATAAGTTCCTTATGCATATATATGACATTCCTCAATGTGACTGTGATCTCGACCTTGAAACCACTGAACACTTTTTACTCTACTGTCCAAACTACACACTTCAACGAAATAATACCATTCATTTATTACCAATGTATTTTAGAAATATTACTTGCCTACTCTATGGTAATGCCGAATTATCTTCAGACGTCAACAGCGACATCTTTAAAAGTGTTTACAAATATATTAAAGATACAAAACGTTTTACTCCGTAAAATACAACATTGGGGTGAGGAATTTATTTATTTATTTCTTATTTATTTTTTATATTTATTTATTTATTTATTTATTTACTTATTTATTTATTTATACAAAATCATTTATCTGCTTATTTGTACCATAACTAAAATAATGTAATTAGTTTTTGTATGTATCATATATAATTCGACATTGTACATATATTATACACCCAAACCAGAAGGAAGCAAATTAATATAAGCCTACTCGGCTTGTTTTTGTATCCTATTATTTATGCCTTTTACATTGTATAATATTCTCGAAATAAATACTGTTTAAACCAAATAATAGAATGGGTTAGAGTGGTGACGCTGCGGTTCCACGAAAGAATTATTCAAGACGATATTAAAATTTAAGCACGACCACAGCACATCTAAAAAAAGAGAACAAATAATAATCACACTGTAAAAAATAATTCTGTATAGAATGCACCAAGTCCAGTTATATATTTGCATTCAACAGTTGTTCTCTGAACCTAATGACTGAATTAGAAATAGATAAAATGGACACAAATGTATTGTTCTTCATTCTTTGTTGTGACAGTGGAGATAAACTGACTGTCAAAAGCTGAGCCAAGACGATTTATGTGGTTACATAAGAAAAAAAGGTTTTAAAAAATATTCACAGATTCAACTTGATCATGGTTTTATTCTTTCTGTTATTCATATTCCATCAAGGGGAAATTTTATAAAAATGGCCGAAGTCTTACTCTGTGCATCAAACAACTATTTTATCATTGGTTAGAGCCATCTAAACGCGGGGAAATTTACAGTAGCTATTGGCTAACAGCACACATAAACAATCTTATTTGCATATTGCATACTATTTATAGTATTATTAGCTGAAATTATTTTTAAGTCGATAGCCGCATAGACCAGCATAGTACCATGTTTTTTGCAGAGTATAGCATGCAGTGCAAAAGCAGACGATATATCATCAACCTCGCGCGTACTGTCCAGTCGGCAGTTGAATGTAAATAGGATACACCATTTAAATCTTTTGTGTTAATAGTCCTGTAATCAATAGATAACATCTGTTTGGTCGCAAAATGCGTAATAACTTGACCAAGTTCTAGTTCGGGTCATGAGCACAGATCAGTCATCCACTTGTTTTCCTCAATTGCATACGGCCATTACGGATCTGGTAAACTTGCCGTATCTTTTTCTACATCGCAGTTTTTGTAAATATCGTTTCGGGCATCGGTCGGTAAACCTTACACGTATGTAGAAATGGTGATTTTATGTAAAACAAGCTTACTATACGACGGTATTTTCACAAAAAAAACACACAATGGCCTATGGATTTCAGTCTACGAATAAGGCCAGGGTCTGCACATGACCGAAAATGATGTCAAAAGGGAAACCCGTAAAAGCTCCTATTGGGATGAGTTGTCTTGCAGTGAGTTGTCTGTATACTAAATTCACCTCAATCATTTTTACAAATCTTGGAAAAACAGGGTTTCTGCTTATAGCAATAACTGGTACTTTAGGGAAAATGTCAGGAATAGTCATTGATGTAAGGGCTCCAACGGGATTTGGGGGGCCTTGTTGAATAACTGGTGATTCTGCAGGGTCACGATTCCCTTCTCCCCCATCATCCCAATTTGATCCAGTAGAAAATAACCGTGACTGGTACCACGATATTACTCTATGATGCAGGAATTTTTGCCTTGGTCTTTCATACCCGGCATATACAGTGTTCTTAGAAAGTAAATCATGTTTCATTTGACTTGATGAAAATCTTCTTGTTGAACTTGATGGAGTTTGATTGTTCGAACTGCGTGCACTATTTATTTTTTTTCCACACCTACAAGTAAATCCGTCTGAAATTCTACTAGTGTTTGCTGCCTTGGCAGATACAGAAATTAACTGCACTAATCTGTCTATTTTATTAGTTGGGGTAAAAGATTTTGAGCACATGCAATTTAATCGTAAAAGCGATGCCATCTTTAGAGTCTCATGCAACTTCCTGTTTTGTAACAATTCGCCATGGATCGGACATTCATAACGGAGATTGCCGAGTGGTAACTTTTTTTTTTTCTACATTCGGACGAAGCGACTCATTCTACAGATCGTACAAACTCCCCATTGGTACGAATGATCTTTACATATTGGGGGCGCCACAAATTTAGCGAAATCTTACGGAAGCGTGTAAAGAGAGAAGGCCTTGTGTTTTTCTCTTTATTGAAAATTACCGAGAGAAGGGCTTGTGTTTTTCTATTTATTGAAAATTACAAGCTGTATCAGTTTATCTAACATGATGTTGATGGTAGGTTCGGGACATAAAAATACTAACATAGGCCTTATTCTCTTGACTCTTCGTGTATTTATACGTTTAGCTACGAGAACGTAGCTAAAAACGTTGAGATATACTGATGTGTTTGTTTTTAGCTACGATTGGATGCCTTTAGTTCCAAGTGGCAAACTCAATTTCTTTATTAATGCATGTAACATCTTTAAAATAGATAAGTTTATGATATTATGATTAATTAAAATTACAGAGGCCAATGTAATGGCACAACTGTCGCCTAACTCCAAATATTCGCATTTAAATTAAAGAAGCGTTGTTTTTGTCTGACATTTCACCGCCATCGAAATCCATTCATAGTTACTGTGCTTTCGATTGTCCTTTTGATTGGCTGTTATAAAAGCCTTATATTTAGCCCCGCCTTCATGATGACAGTGTATCGTTTAAAAAGATGGCGGTCTTAGTAACGGCTTAACGCCTTGATTTTAAAAACGACGATTTGTACCCGTTTCAGGTAGGATTATATGCTTAATTGTAGTTGAGTGTTGTAGAAATATTATAAATAACAATAATCAATCGTTGTTTTGATTAAAACTATTGTCAATTTTGTTTAAAAATGACGGGTGTGAATCGCTCCCGGAGCTGCAACGTTATAGGTAATGGGCTCATGTCTTATCTCGAAACTCGGAGGGTTGAGAGATTAAGGTTTGTTTTCTATTATACGTTATGCTACAGCTATAGTTAGTACGGAATAAAACTGACTACTACTGCTGCCTGCCGCCAGGAATTTGGAAATCACAAGTGACAAAAGCAGGGCTGCCAACAACCAGTATCGCAGCGCAATTTTGTCCGTTGCTAATCAAAAATTAAACTCTAAAGTTTTTGATTCGCAGTAACTGCGAATCATTAATATGCCTGTCATTTTGGATATTGACACAAGGATAATCGGCATTTGAAGACTAGAAGGCTTTTTCAACACTTTCAACGTTTATAAAATGTTGAATAAAATTTTATAAACAAAACTGAATTCTCCGAGTGACATTTTCTACTCGAACTACCCAGACACAATTCATTATACGGTACTATACAATACAGGGACATAACTCTATGAATAAGGACTATTAAACCGGAAATAGGGAATCAGGTAGTACCACTCACGTTGCGAGACATCAAGTAATTATATCATATTCATTTTGAAAGAAATAAATCCAGTGTATCCCCCACGTATTGTAAATAAAATATAAAAAAATAAATATATGTTAACGTATTGTAAAATGATAAATCAAAGTAAAAATTCCCGTAAAATATCGCGTGTGTCTAGTTAATCGAAGTGCGTCCGATTTAACAAAAGTAGCAATACACGATAAAAAGCAGACGAAATTGTTTTCTAACGAAGATTTCTAACGTAACAAAAAATAACAATTAAAATGATTGGGGCTTCGGAAGTCACTGTTAAGAATTGGCTTTAGACATAAGACCTAACTAAATGTCTACATCACATTCACAAACTGTCACAAGTACTTGTGGCAGTGCTAAAAAAATCTAAGAATGGAATCTAATCATATTTGTTATGAACTAAAGTAATATCTTGTTATTTAGGTGTTTTATGTTCAAACTGAAAAACTGCTAATCAATTTTTAAATTTGCTAATCAAATTTGGCAAAATTGGACTTTTTGATTAGCAGTGACTGTGAAAAATTACCGACAGCCCTGGACAAAAGCCTTATTTATCACGATAGGGTCATATCATCATTGCTAAAGTCACATTATTGACACTGTTGATGAATATTTACGTTTTTGTACCCAACAACACAGCATAGCCAATAAATGATCAATGGTTCAACTCTGCTTATGCCTGGTTATAGTTACTAGAGACCCCTAGCCAGGGTTGTAAAAATCCACTAATTTAAATTAGCCCGACCGCCGGGGCTATCAAAAATAACTTACGGGCTAGTGATCTATTTAGCCGTTTACCACCCATTACATGTGGCACTGCTACTGACCGGAATTACGACCGATTTCACATCGGATGTTACTTATGTTGTCAAGAATGTTAAAAAAAACAAAACGGAATTATTAAAATCGCACAAAAAGGCGCCAGGTTATAACAAGAAACATTTCAACCATGAAAAATTTTCCTTTTAACATTTTATGTGTTGCAGAGAACGTTTGGTTACCAACTGATTTTGATAAAACTTTCAAAATAAGCAACTAATGTCCAACTTAATCGTTTGCGATCAACATTATCATATTCTGTAAGTTTCATGGATATGGGTTCATAATTGTGGTCTGCAGTCGTGCCACATGAAATGTGTGGTAAACTGATATCTCGAAAACTGCTAACCGGAAGTACTTGAAACTTTACCTACTCTGAGATGTTATTAATGTAATTATAATCTGCAAGTTTCATTGAAATCGGTTGATAATTGCGGACTGTAGCCGTGCCACATGAAATGTGTGGTAACCTGATATCTCGGAAACTGCTGACCGGAAGTGGCCGAAACTTTACCTACTCTGAGATACTATTTTAATGTAATTATAACCTGCAAGTTTCATTGAAATCGGTTGATAATTGCGGTCAGTAGCCGTGCCACATGAAATGTGTGGTAACCAGATATCTCGAAAACTGTAGATGCTAAAGTTAATATCTGATTGACTTTATATTTAATTAATACAGTGTATAAGGTCATGAGACGAAGAAGCCTATCAATTTAGAACGATTTCCAATGATTATGGCAATTGATATTAAATGTTTTGTATGCTAAATGTTAGAATAGGGCAGAACTAGAAGCCAAATGGGTTGTTAACTCGTAATCAGATTTTAATGTGTTGTAAATGTTTTCATTTCTGACAAAAGAAAAAAATATGTGACAACCTTTGTTGACTCCCCCTCTGACTTAGTTGCTGTGGGTGTATGTTTCATTCTTAAATTTGTGCGTGGTGTATGGTGGTGCTATAGTGGTAATTGAGGCTGTGATTGTAAAGGGACTCCATCACAAGTCAGTGAAATGTAAACAAATATTTTTGGAACTTTTGTTTATTACATTTGTATTTATTTTAGGTTTGAGAAACAGACCAGACCAGAAGTTGAATTGCTTTTATGTAATTCTCTTAAAATAATTTAGGAGAAATTCTAGTAAACAGATTTGCCATCTTCTACGGAAGACTGCCATCTCATTTTCAATAGAATTGTCGTCCAAGCCGTCCCAAAGACAATAGATATTCAATATCTTTGTTCTATCTCTCAGGTAACTGTCCGTCCGTCTGATAGTCTATCTTAGACTGGCTTATTAAATCTGCTTAAATATTTTATTGTTCTTGTAAACAAGATCTTTTCAAAAACAAAATAATTTAAATAGTCTCAATTGCAGACCTACATTGTACCAATATTCTTAATGTTCTCTTTGTAAATTGTAAAAAGAAGTAGGATGTTAAACCCCATTGCATTTCATTTGTAAAAATAGATCTTTTGTAAGTAAACTAATTTGAAAACTAATTTGAAATGCATAAAGTGATCTTTTGAACCACACTTGTACTTACCATGTCTCATTGGGTACAAAATAGTGCAAGATGAAGTAAAGTATTCTACTCTTACCTTAGGATAGTTGGAGTCCATTTAAAAATGCACTTAACAAGAATAACCCTAGAAATTAAAACAAAATGTGTTGATTTGTCTGTATTAGAAATTTGGAAATATCCTATTATGAACCAATAAATATATGTTCGACATGCATTTATGTTTGGTGATCTATATTTTTCAGTTTGTATCAAATAAGATTATACAATGTCCAATAGTGCAAAAGAACAAGGAGGTTTGGATTTTTGAAATTTTCTTCATATTGTAATATTGAATAAATTGCTTTTACAGTATACAGTATAAACGTTTCTGTAGTTCAGATTTAAAATTAAATGTCTCGGCATTTCAGTCAAGAGAAAATTCAAATCATCGTAATTTGAACTAGAACTGCGATGCAGTAATGAGGGGTTTCACCGATTCCATGTTACGCATGAATTTATGTCACTTTCGGTGCCACATTACACTTGAACTTATGTCAGATCCGGTACCAGTGAAACCGTTTAACAGATTTCCACATAAGCATTGCACACATGTTACAAAATAGACGCAGAATCAACCAAATCTAGTAATATTAATTCCATTTTTATACGCCCACATTTTCATGTGGACGTATTATGCCGTCGCCCCTGTTTGTCCGTCCATCCGGACGTCGTCCACAATTTGTTTGTGGACACTCTACCGGTCACAATTTTTATCAGATTTCAACGATACTTGAGATATTAGTTTATCTCCCTAAGATCTTTGTTCCTTTCAATATTGGCATGTATCTGATCGTAACATCAGGGATTATCGCCCCTGATTGTATGAAAAATCGCGTTTTTAGCTTGTGGACCTTATAGAGGTCACAATTTTTTTCCGATTTTGTTGAAACTTAAAAAGTAAGTTTATAACCCAAAGATCTCAGTTCCTTTTGATATTTGCGCATATCGGACTGTAACTTCCTGAATTGTGGTCCCTGATTGTACGTAAATTGCGTTTTTAGCTTGTGGACCCTATAGAGGTCATAATTTTTATCCAATTTAAAAAACCGTTTCAATATATCACCGTTACACTCTAAGGATGGTTGAAAATCGGCCCTAAACTGACAGACAAAGTGGCCGCCCCTCATCCTCAAATAGCATAAAAATATGGTATATCAAAGTTGTGGAACCTCTAAAGGTCACAATTTTCTTCTGATTTTGATGAAACTTGAAATGTAAGTTTATAACCCAAAGAACTTGATTCCTTTCGATATTCGCGCATATCGGACCACCGTAACTTCCTGAATTATGGCCCCTGATTGTACGAAAAATCACGTTTTTAGCTTGAGGTCCCTCTAGATATCACAACTATTATCCAATTTAAAAAAACGTTCAAATATATCACCGTGATGTTTGTTGAGTTCGAATTTCTGAAAATTGGGCCAAAACTGGCGGACAAAATGGCTGCCTCTTGTACGCAAATAGTGTATAGGATCTGGTATATCTAGGTTGTTGACCCTCTAGAGGTCACACTTTTGATCCATTTTTGATGAAATACATGTTTATAACCCAAAGAGGGTTCTCACGTGGCTAAGTGGGTAAGACGCTGGCTCGCTAGCCTGGAGGTCGGGTGTTCGATCCCTGCATTGGCCGAGAAAGTTCATCCAGATTTTCCGGCGTGGTTCCCCCTTGTCAGTGATGCAGGACGGAGGGCCTGACAAGGACTAGGACAGCTGTCTAGTCTTTCTGATGGGACGGAAAACCGAGGTCCTGTGTATACATTAGAATGCACATAAAAGATCCCTTGGCAGTTGGAATTCGATATAACTATAAGAGTAGGCGATAGTGCCGCTGCCCAGGCAAAATTTCCCTCATAGCACACTGTATGGCGTATGCCCGTCTTCATTAGCCCAGCATAGGAGCAGAACAGTAGGACGTTAAACCCCATTTCATTTCATTTATAACCCAAAGATCTCGGTTCCTTTCAATATTTAGCTTATGGGATTGTATCTTATTGAATTATGGCCCTTGAATGTAGAAAAAATCACGTTTTTAGCTTGCGGTCCATGTAGAGGTCACAGTTTTTATCTGATTTTAAAAAAAACATGTGAATATGTCACCATTACAGACTAAGATCTGGGTTCCTTTTGATAATCAGTATATCCGAACGTAACTTCCTGGATTATGGCTCCTGATTGTTCGAAAAACCGCATTTGTAGCTTGCGGCTTCTATAGAGGTCACCATTCCACCATAATGAAGGTTGAATTCAAATTTCGGGAAAATCGAAATGAAACTGCCCGACAAAATGGCCACTCTTTGTACGCAAATTGTGTAAAAGTATGCTACGAATGTTGTGGACCCTACGAAGGTTGTGGACCCTCTAGAGGTCACAATTTTTATTCGATTTTGATGAAACTTAAAACACCTTAATATCCCAAAGATCTCAGTCCCTTTTGATATTTACGCATTTCAGACCATAACTTTCTGGATTATTGCCCCTGATCGTACGAAAAATCCTGTTTGTTTTTATCTTGTTCTCTATCCATCTCTTGCAAAATGTGGGCGTATCCTGCCTGGCAGCCGCTGGTTACATTTGTTACCATGTGTTACATATTTCAAAAAACTGATCCGGACAAAATTTGTTACTAACTTACCGCTAAGGTAGCTGACTTTCTGATGGGAAAATAAAATCCGATAAAAGATTCTAGAAGCATTTTTGGACATCTATATGATTGTATTGATCCAATCTATATGTCCATTGGAATCAAATATCATAATGTTAAATGAAAAATAAATATAACTCACTTCAAAACAATATTTGTTTTGAAGGCTAAAAATACAGTTTTTGCCAAAATGACATTACTACCTATGAAAATGTTGAATTAGTTCTATGAAATCATAAATAGCATAAGGAATTACATGGTGTAAAGTTTACGAAAATAGAATAATAATTGACACTGTTAGAGACCAAAAACCTTAAAAAGTAACTAGTAGAAAATCGTCTAATTCTCTGCAACCGTACAAGTTAGAATCAAACATTACAAATCGGACTCATTTGAATAAAATATCTGTTTTGAAGTCTAAAAATACAGTTTTTGCCCAAATGATGTCATTTCCAATGACAGTGAAAATGTTAAATTGGGTGGACCTAGTCAAAAGTGGCATTAGGCATTAAATGGTAAAATAAAATTGAAAATCGAATGACATTCGGCTCTTTTACAGGCAAAATAACGTGAAAAGTGACGCATGCAAAATTTTCTCGGCAACTGTGTATATAACACATATTATTTTTCGCATCCATTCTCTTCGTATGAGGGGGGGTGGGTGGGGGGCCGAATGTTTAACACGTGCGCGCTGTATCATTAAAGCCTGTCATTGAGTCAACTGGCGTGGTTTCAAATCCCCAGTTGTTCGTGACAAGTAGTAGGGTCGTCTGCCAACCTCGTGGGTTTTCTCCAGGTCCTCCGATTTCCTCCCACTGCTAAAGACCCCTACGCACAAGCGGATTATTGAATTAAATTCAAACATTATGTTAGTCCCGAATTGACCTAGTTTGTGTCGAGTGGACGTTAAACCCCATTTCTCTCTCTTCTCTTCATATGGATTATTGCTACCAGTTTATGAAAGTTACGAAGAAATATCTTAAAATATGAAGACGTTGAATGGGTTGTAAATAGCTTAATTTTACACCTTTATATACACCCACATTTTCATGGGGACGCATTATGCCATTGCCATCCATCCGTCCACAATTTGTTTGTGGACACTCTACAGGTCACAATTTTTATCCAGCAGAACAGTAGGACGTTAAACCCCATTTCATTTCATTTATCCAATTTTGACGAAACTTGAAATATAGGTCTATCTCCCAAAGATCTCAGTTCCTTTCGATATTGGCATTTATTGGACCATAACTTCATGGATTATGGCCCCCGATTGTACGAAAAATCACGTTTTTAGCTTGTGAACACTGTAGAGGTCACAATTTCAATCCTATTTTGATGAAACTTGAAATGTTAGTTTATAATCCAAAGATATATTGGAACGTAACTTCCTGAATTATGGCACCTGATTGTACGAAAAATCGGGTTTTTAGCTTGTGGACCCTATAAAGGTCATAATTTTTATCCGATTTAAAAAAAAAACGTATTATTATATCACCGTTACACCCTGAGGACGACTGAGTTCGAATTTCGTGAAAATCTGCACAAAACTGACAGATAAAAAGGGCCGTCCCTCATTCTCAAACAGCGTAAAAATATGGTATATCAAGGTTGTGGACCCTATAGAGGTCACAATTTTTATCCGATTTTGTTGAAACTTGAAATGTAAGTTTATAACCCAAAGATCTTGGTTTCTTTCGATATTTGCGCATATCAAATTGTAATTTCCTGAATTATGGCCCTTGATTGTAGGAAAAATCACTTTCTTTTTAATTTTTAGCTTGTTCTCTATCCATCTCTTGAAAATGTGGGCGTATCCTGCCTGGCAGCCGCTGGTATGTCACTTCCGATGCCACGTTACCCTTGAACTTATGTCACTTCTCGTAGCAATGAAAACCGTCACAATCGACTCATTGGACGCAGACTCGAAAAATACAAAAATTCTTCTAAATGCTCAAGTGGAAAATAAAAGGGGGTAAAAACAATCATCACTAGAACTGTGACGTAGTAATGACAGGTTTCACTGGTGCCACGTTACCCTTTGATTTTATAGCACTTCCTATGCCACGTTACCCTTGAACTTATGTCACTTCCCGTACCAATGAAAACCATCACAATCGACACATTGGACGCAGACTCGAAAAATACAAAAATTCTTCTAAATGGAAACGAAAACAGTTATGAAGAAAACATTGATCTCTTCCGAATTGTTTTTAAATCCATTGAATTAACCAAGCGTTTTAAATAATCGTAATATACTTGTTGTATCCCATTCAATTTACATGTACTGAGGAATATGAAATTACTAATATAACAAGTCACTAAAAAATGTGTGTTTATTAATAAGGCTTCAAAAACGCCATATATTAAATTGAGACCTTCCGGACATTGGTAACTGATGATCGATTCAAGGTTGGAATCATGAAATGAAATGATTATGTTACACCTCTAAAATAATCATTTTCGTCTTCTGTGTGGTTCCTCTAGAGATCACAATTTTTATCCGATTGAAAAAAACGTTTGAATATATTACCGTTGAGATGGCTGAGTTCTAATTTTGTGAAAATGGGACCAAAACTGCCAGACAAATGGCAGCCCCTTATACGCAGATAGTGTAAATATATGGTATAGGATTTATAGGATGATTGTGGCCCCTCTAGAAGTCACAATTTTGATTCGATTTTGACGAAACTTGAAATATATCTTTATAATCCAAAGATCTTGGTTCCTGTCAATATCCGCTCATATTACAAACTAATTTCGACATAGATTGTCTTCGTATAGATAGATGCTACAAATTTATGAACATTCAGTACAAATAGTTTAAAAGCTTGAATGGGTTGTAAATTGCTTAAATTTTCTCCCTTTTTCAGCTTAAATCAAAATTGAGCAAACACAAAACCAAAATTTAAAAAAAATGAGTTCGACATTTTTTGCGTCTGTCTTGGGGCATTCTTCTTTATATACTAAACAGCAAAAAAAACGTTAGTACGATTCCAAAATCAGAGGGGCACTTTAATCAAATCATTCTAGAAAACGACTTACTAAATGGATCAAAGCAATTTTTTCTGAACAGTATGTTGACACATTAGTAATTAATTCATCACAATTCCAAGACATTACGAAAAGGTTTGGAGTCTATACATCAGTGTCTGGTGTGTCCACTGCGAGTGTTGGTGGCCCGAAAGCGTTGCTGCCAGCGTTGAGCCTTCCAAGCGCCTGGTTCCTCTGAGCTCTTGTGAGTCGTGGCATGCTGCTGACGTTGTAGTGTGAATGATTCAACCAGGTATGGGGGTGCATTTTATAGGGCTGGTCCCGGTGAGCAGCATGAGTTACATGAAAATCATGCAGAACATATTACCATCTCACAAGTCAGATTGCGTTTTTATACGCCCACATTTTCATATGGACGTATATTGTCATCACCCCTGTCCGTCTGTCCGTCCACAATGGTTTATGAACACACTACAGGTAACAATTTTTATCCGATTTCAATGAAACTTGAAATATAGGTTTATCACCCTAAGATCTTGGTTCCTTTCGATATTGGCATGTATCGGACTGTAACTTTGTGGATTATGGCCGCTGATTGTACGAAAAATCACATTTTTAGCTTGTGAACATTGTATCGAGTGAAGTCTGTGTCACCACAGGCCCGGGACTGTACAGCGCAGTGGACACATACGGCTGGCCCCCGGATCCATTCACTTGATTTGATATTTGTTTATTTGTTGCAATGTCTATTTTCTGTCTTGTCCGCATGTTTATCTTGTAGATATTTGTTTTGCGTGTAGTTCGATCCTCCTGCACTTACTAGTAGAGGTCACAATTTTTATCCGATTTGCCAAAAGTTATCACCCAATCTTTTTGAAATTTATATGCATTATTTAAATTAGTGAAACGAAAAGCCTATTTCAGCAATTTCCGTTTACTACATCTAGAGTTATGGCCCTTGTTTCACTTTAATGAACCTTGTGAACGCTCTAATGCCAAAAGTTATCACCCAATCTTTGTGAAATTTATATGCATGATTTAAATTAGTGAAACGAAGAAACCTATTGAATGTAGAGTTATGGCCCTTGTTTCACTTTATTGAACGCCAAAAGTTTTCATCCGATCTTTCTGAAATTTATATGCATTATTTAGATTAGTGAAACGAAGAAGCCTATTGAATTTCAGCAATTTCCGTTTATTGTGTCTAAGAGTTATAATCCAATGTTTGTGAAATTTATATGCATGTTAATTGAACCGTGCTGTTGCCAGCTTGTCATGTGTATATTATGTTAATTGACAATCGGCTTGTGTGGTCCCTATGTCATCACTTGCCAATCAACACAATTATGGCTGTAATCGAAAAATTAACAAGTATTTTAGAGCATTTGACTTACAAATAATTTTAATTAGATTGTTGTGTAAAGTGTATATAGTAAACACTGGCTTCAATCAAGTACATACCATTTTCATATGAATATGATCATTTTATGGGATCTTTAAGCTTAAATAAAGCTGGTTGGTCCCTGTCCAGATGCTCAAACCTGCCTTAAAACTGGTAGTGTGAGTTTTCAGTCATTAGGCACATCAAGTTAGTACATATACTAAAATTGAAACAATAAAGAGTAGATTAGCATGGCCCCTGCGCAAGGATGACAAGCAAATTCATGAAGTGTTCCATATTATTTTTGTCTGCGACATCACCTTGGTGGAAGCGGACGTTAAATAAAGCTATTTCATACACATTCACACAAGATACATGAATCACATTATTAACTATTCATACAAAACTTTTAACCACTATAATTACCCTTTTCTAGGTGGTAAACGGCGGATGAAGGATCTTAATATGGAAGATATTAAAAGAACTAAATTGTCTGGTGGGATGGATCAAAGTACATTGAATCAAATGGTGAAATTCAATGAACAAGCCTTTGCATCATTATCTAATAGTAATTTGACCCCAGCTGAAAGAGATGAGAATATGAAAAAATGTATTCAGAGACAACAAATGTTATTAGAAATGAAGGCAGAAATGATCGAAACCCAGCTCCAGAATACTGATGATCCAATGGAAGGAACTAAGGGCGGGAAAAGACAAGAAATGAATAGTAATTTTGGGCGTCCAGGAAGAGGTGGTCCTCAAAGAGGCGACCTGCCGAGGGATGGTCGTGGTCCTCAAAGAGGCGACCTGCTGAGAGATGGTCCTACAAGAGGCGGCCCTCCAAGAGATTGGCCAGGTCCTATGATGGGAATGGGGTTTAATAGATGTGGAATGGGAGGAAGATTTCCTGGTCCTGGTGGGCGAGGAGGACCTAGTGGTCCTAGAATGTGGGCAGGGCCCTTTCATCCTCCTCATCCCAGATTCTTTGGTAACCAAGGAATGGATATGATGAACTTTGAAGATCAGCGACCTCCAAAATCCAATATAAGCATTGAGGAGAAGCTGATCTTTTTCAAAAACCAGGTGCTTGAAAAATTTGATCCTAATTTATCAGGCTTTAACATGATTATGGGCTGTAAACGAAGTATTGAAGATCCAGAATTCTCTCCATTTATTGATTATAGATTTGAAAGAGATCGAAGTAAGGATCCTGTAGAAATTACAGGCAGGCTTAAGATGAATGGTGTATATATAGCCACTGCTACTGGTACAGAAGATAAATTAGTAAAAGGAATGACCTATCGTAAAGCTCTTTACTATCTGCACACTAAAACTGTCAGTGAAATTTTCTATAATTCTAATAAAATAAATGCCGACATTGCTAAAGCTAAAGGTCCTGGCACTAAACTGATTAAACATCACTTTGTTGGGAACTATATAAAAGACAAACTTAAGATTTTAAACAAAAGGTTATCAAGATCAGAAAACGAAAGAGAGGTGATTCGTGATTTTGATTATGTTTGCGACATGAATGAAATAAGCGTAACATCCATATTGTATCGAAGTGAAGAAAGCGATGGTAAATTTGAGAATCAGATCAAATGTGAACTGTATGTTGATGATTTGTTAATGGGTTCAGCTAGAAGTGCTGAAAGAAAAGATGCTATCAGAAAAGCTTATGTTGAAGCCAAGAAAGTTATTATGCAAAATAAACTGGATGCATGTATCAGTGAAAACAAAAGACTTTCTAAACTGGACAGAAACAATGAGAACATTTTAGATATTGTTAATAAAGGTAAATTTTATGAAATGGGAAGTAATATTGGAAATCTAATAGTTAGTAGGAAGTCGAGAGATTATGAATCCTATCCCCAAAAAGAATTGGTAGTTCTGATACAAACCATGGAAAGAGAACCAGTCCCATATACAATCCTAGAGAGGACAGCGACTGCCAATGGTTTATTACTAGAGTATGTTTTGCATACAGCTGAGAGAACAAAAGAATGTAGAGATTTCAGGTACTGTAATCATTAACAAGGTTTAAAGTTGCTTGTCATCACTTTTATTTCATTCTTCATTGCATTCAAGCTAGCTGCCCTTGGGCATAAGTTCACATACACAGCAATACATATTTGATCATATTGTTTGTCAAATTTCAAATTTCATGCCCTTCTAATAGTGGATTGCAGTACGTATCACATCATTACATTATTGGCAATATACAAAACACTATACTTATTTCAATCGACTTACATCTCTAAGCAATTTATATTTTCAGGTGTTTGATTTATCTGAATACCAAATTGATTGCCTTGGCAACTGGTCAAAATAAACCCCAGGCCAAGTTTACTGCTGCAGAAAATGCCCTGAAAGAATTAACTTCAAGATATTCTCTAATTGAGGTAATTTTTCTCATTTAGCTACATCTCCAAGTAGGATCCATCCAACTATTGGTACCATTTTGAGAATTTCTTTCGTTGTCCCCTGCCTTTCGAAGAAAGGAAGGGACTATTAAAATGGGTTCGTCTGTCTGTCCGTCCGTCACACTTTTTGGGACACAATAAATAACTCTCTTTCTAATTGAGCTAGAATGTTCAAACTTGGTGTAGGTGTTTATTAGTTCGAAGATGAGCATTTTCTGCTTAGGGTAAGCAGAGATAAGCAATTTGATTGGTTGATGCTTTGGGACACGATAACTTTAGTTCTCATTAAGTGAGAGTGATGAAACTTGGTGTATAGTTTCATTACATCAATACCTTGACTAAGTTCGATAATGAGCATTTTCTGCTCAGGGTAAGCAGAGCGATAAGCAATTTGATTGGCCGAGACTTTGGAACACAATCACTCTCTTTATAAATTGAGCTAGTATGTTCAAACTTGGTGTCGTTTCATCCAATTTATATTTATACAATTACATATAATGTTTGACTTTTACTGTCTGCTAAACACACTGCTAAATTGCTGCCTATTAAAACCGTATAGAAAGTAGGGCCCTACGTAAGTACGTCGTTTGAGACTCTATACAGAAATTCCCATTTACAGTGGCACGATCTCAGTGTCGCATGGAATTCTTCGCCTACCATATAAGGCATATCTTACTACGAAATGTGTAAAATAGTTGATTTTGGCACGAAATAGCTGTCAACAACGGACATGATAATCATGGGCATTATAATACATGGACTGAATGCATGCCGCACGAGACAGGGAAGTTGGCTATGCCTTTTTATGAGTGATAAACTGCCAATGTAATTTTAATAAAATACTGTTTTATAAAGAAGAAAACACTGCTCCAGTATAAATTAATTTTAAATCCAGCTGTAATTTATTATTTAATTCACAATCAGAATGTGCCGTTACTGTGTAAGAGACTCCTCTATCTTGTGTACGAGGATCTTCTATTCGCCCCCCTCGGCATATGTCGCCCCCCTCGGCATATGTTGCCGTCTTTTTAAATGACACATGTTCTTTTCTATTTGTGCTGTCTTCCGCGGCCTCTCTTGTTGTTTTTCGTCAATATGATTATCGCTATATATGTTAAAATATTATGTACGGGAATTGTTGTACTAGTGAATTGTAATCTATTGCCAATATTGGATTTTTAATTAGTAGTTAAAGCTGTGGGGGTAAGTCAGAACACGGGAATGTCTTACTCATCTCAATCGCGTAATTAAATATCAAAACTAATGACTTAGTAAATGTTGTTTATTGCCAATTTAAACAATTTATTCCAACATCTATTTAGGACAAACTCAACGAAATGTACTACATTGATATACAATCAGCTATTCAGTGTTCATGCGCCATTTTATAATTTACCTATTAAAAAAAAATCACAAGAAAAAAACCTCGAAGCGCAGTACAGACATTGCCATTATAGATTTATACGGCATCCGATTAATCGGCACCGATACGATTTTTGGCTGGCCGATTAACCGATTCAAGAATTTTGTAATCGTGACAACACTAATCAACAACTTGGCTAAGTTCGATAATGAACATTTTCTGCTGAGGGTAAGCAGAGCGATAAGCAATTTGATTGGTCGTGACTTTGGAACACAATAACTCTCCTTCTAATTGAGGTAGAATGTTCAAACTTGGTCTAGGCGTTCATTAGGTGAATGCCTTGATGGAGTTCGATGATGAACATTGTCTGCTTACGGTAAGCAGAGATAAGCAATCTGATTGGTTGATGCTTTGGGGCACGATAACTTTGGTTATAATGAAATGAGAGCGATGAAACTCTGAATATAGATTCATTATATCCTTACCTTGACTAAGTTTGATGGTGAGATTTTTCTGCTTAGGCTAAGGAGCGATAAGCAATTTGATTGGTCAAGACTTGGGAACATAACATCAAACTTGATGTAGATGTTCATTAGGTGAATGTCTTGACTGAGTTCAATGATTAACATTTTGAGCTAAAGCTAAGCAATTTCATTGGTCGATGCTTTGGGACAAGATAATCTTGATTCTATCTGATAGAGAGTGATGAAACTTAGTGTATAGTTTGATTGCTGGATACTTCTGAAAAAAATAAATGTGTGATTAATTAATATGTGTCATCTTTTTATTTTGGGATTTCGGCGGGGGACGTGGGCCTCACTGTTGGCTTGTTAAAATATATGCAAGAATTTGGAAAAGGTGGATGGCCATGTCCAGTAACCAAGTCATTGAGACCTTGTTAAAATGTGGCCCCAGTGAATAACAGCATATATTACAATATTTGGAATATTCTTCAATTGTTGGAAAAATTATGTGAACTATTTAAATTTTTAGAATGACTAGACCTTTGATTTAAATGAAAATGTTAAATAGTTACTTTAATTAAACTTTACGTTTTGATATATTTTGTTTGTATATGTCTGCATTTAAAATTTCAGGCCTACAGATTGAGATTTTACTGAATTTCTGTTCAGTTGAAATAACACTTCAGATCAACTCGATTCAGTACTATATTTAATTACCTGATACAAAGATGTTTATCTCCTTTAACTCTTACATAAAATCATTTTGAATTGAACTGTTTTTCAGTACCCTACAAGAGATTATGTGGCTACTACCAGTAACGATAGTCTGATTGCACTCGCCCACAACTTGAAAATTTCTGGTCGAGACATTACAAAAGACATTCCTGAAGAATTCAACATGGCTGATTCAACTGATGAACTTGATCCATATGTCTACCGTATATTGGAGAACATGGTACTTGAATATGCCAATGTTGAAACTTTAGAAGAAATGATATTTGGACCTGACCTGCCCGATGTTGTTATTGATTTACTGGTGAAAAAATGTAAGGAGTGGAATATAGATGGTAACCGACGACAGCATAATGGTAAAACTTACATTGTCATTCAAAAGATCAAGAGCATTACAACATCACAAATGAGTGACTTCCTCCTAACCCAACCTTGTTTTCAAAATGGTCGTTATACACTTGTTCAACTGAGACAACCTAAAGGTAAATTACAGGTAATCAACATGTGTTCTAAAGAAGTACGACAGTACATGATGAAACCAGATGAAAATGAAGATGAGGATGAAGAGATGCCTGAAGACTTGGGCCTCTTTGATGTTGACATATAGAAAAAACCTATTTGTTTTATTCAATATGTAACATCCAAATAGAATATTTGCTAGATACATCAAATGTAATGCATTTTTGGAAGAAAATTGACAAATTGAGTTTAGGAACAATAATTTTATATGCTACCTACATAAATCATGTCCAAATTTTTATAAACCAGAGAGATAAATTTGTTTTGGTGTATACAATGTATTATTTCTGAGACAACTGATTTTGTTGAAAAAAAAATGACTTGTGCATTAATCTTAGAATCACTCCAAACTTATTTAGCAAACAATCTTTAATGTTTATATTTCTTCAACAAGCTTTATTGCTGAAATCAAGTATTTTTGGTTTTGTTATTTTCAGAATTTTTATCTTTACTAATTTTAAATGTGAAGATTTTATTTGCAGGATATTAAATATCTGTTATTAGTAATATTACCAAAAATATATATAATTGTTTACGTGTAAACAGTTCCATTTTTGCTAGATTAGAATTCATTGACCATAGGCTATAAGTATTAATATGTAGTTTGTCAATATTCTTGCATTTTTGTTAGGCCACATGTTATGAATGGTGTTTAAGTAATAAATAGTAGGCTTTTTCAAATGTTATAATTATCACTTGGTACTTTATCTATTTATTCCAAATATCACTATTCACGTACATTTACTATATCCTGTGCATCAGGTGATATGAGTATTTAGTTAAATTTTTTCTTAAAAAAGAAAATGATTCTATGTTCATTTTGTTATTTTTCCTTTTAAGAAAGTTACTATATGTTTGAGTTAGCTTAAAGTTTTTTAGTGGATGTGGATTAAAACTAGGTGTTTACCCATGAAATTGCAGAGGTGGGAACTTGAGTCCTACAACTCGTATTCCAGTCGGGCTTAAGTCACATCAAGTACCAAACTTGCTACTTAACTTTAACTATTTATCGAAACTCGGCTCGAACTCAGTAGTCTTGACAAGTCGCAGTGTGGGTACATAAAACATTAACTTGTCTTATTCGCCACAGATTGCTGACTTATTTCAATATTTGATGAACTTGCAACTTGACCAGGACTTGGCAATGTGAAGACATGGCACTTGATTCTAGTCGGCGACTTCAGACTCAACTCAGATTTGCATTCCTGTACCTTGTTCCCACCTCTGTGAAATGGTGTAATGACTTTTACTGGATGGTTTTCAAACCTATGTAATTTTTTTTTTTTTTTTTTTTTTTTTTCTCTATGCTTTTTATGTAAAATGTATAATTGTTATCAAAAATTTCTGTATTTGACTCCGGGTATATGTTATCAATAAATATATTGTTAGTTTGGTTAAGAAAAAGACAAAATTTGATAATTAAGATTGGAATCATCCTCAGTATCCCCAGTGGTATCGTTTTGCTCTACTATACCCTGGGTTCATTCACAGGGTTTTCACAGATTCAAATTATCTGCCCTTGATCATAGGTTGATTCTACAAACCAATCAAAAAACAGTTTACATACCAGTCTTAGCGTCATTGTTTATGATCACTACTATAATCTTAGTTGCAATAAAATGAGTTACTTCCTGTCACCCAGTTGATTGGTCGATCAAAATAGTACAAGTATCAAGGGCAGATAATTTGACTGTCTCCCCCGGGAATGAACCCAGGGTATAAAGGAGTACAACAAAACAATATCACGGGGGATACCGAGGATGGATTGGGATTTTATTTGAAATTAGTACAAACATTTGACTTAATATGGATCTGTAAATTAGCGATGATGTATTTCAATCTCTATGTAATACCATTAATATTTTTTTTCTGTTATTTTAAGCTTTAATGAATTGTTGAAAATACATATGCTAATAGAAACAAAAAAATATTTCAGTGTTTTTATTACTACAAAAATGGTAACTCTGCAAACAATAAATGGTATCATGTGTTCTAGACAGTAAACATACCCTGTCTTGTGGTAGTCTTATCATCCAGAAAAAATATTCTAGGAATATTAGTCTGGATGCGTTGTCAACATTTGCGAATAATAGGTCATTGGTAGATTATCCGGTCTTTTACATTATCATAAACAAAGTGCCAAAACAAGATGTCGACGCCCATGAAATTAATTTAAGCATGCCATTTCAGAAAATCCATTTGATTGCATTGCCAGCTCAATATCCAACACTCTTAATTTTTTTTTTTATTATTGTAAAATTTCTCTCTTCATGGGCCATATCTATGTTTTTTTAATTAATCCTAATTTATCGTCACGATTCATGTTTGTTTATAATAATGCAAGAATTATGGGATTTATTGCGGAAAGGAGCAGACTCTTACTTGACTTGACCAAATCAACCACGTAAAAAACAAACTCCTGGTTACGCAGCTTTTCTGTCAGTCTATTTTTTCAAACTTTTGCCCCTCCATCCAATAGTGGCTGGCACGGCCACTGAGTTGTGGGTGAACACACTTTTGAGTTGTATATATATGTTATACATTATTCGAACGGAGGGACTGGCAAGGACAGCTGTCTAGTCGTTCGAATAGGAAATAAAACCAAGGTCCTGTGTATCCATTGGCATGCACGTAAAAGATCCCTTGACAGTTGAAATTTGATATAAGAGTAGGCCATAGTGCCGTTGCCCGGGCAAAATTTCCCTCGTAGCACACAGCATGGCGTATGCCCATCTATATTTCATTTCACATATTGAGTGGCATATTATTAGAGATTCATGTTCACAATAATGTAGTTTGCAAGTGATTCCTATTGCTTAATAGCCGAGAAAGTTCATGCAGATTTTCCGGCGTATTTCCCCCTTGTCAGTGATGCAGGGCGGAAGGCCTGACAAGGCTAGCTGTCTAGTGGTTCGGATGCTATCAAAAACCGATGTCCTGTGCACGTAAAAGAACTCTTGACAGTTGGAATTTTGATATTAGAGTAGGGCGTAGTGCCGCTGTTCGGACAAAATTCCCGTCATAACACACTGTATGGCTAATGCCCGTCTTCATTAGCCCAGTTCGGAGCAGAACAGTAGGACGTTAAACTCAATTTCATTTCATTAACCCTATTGCTTAAAATGCTGTCAGAACTTAATAGGCCTCAAATTTTCCATAATTTTTTTTTTTTTTTCAAAACCTCATTGTTTCATTGGTTCCAGGCACCACACACTTAGTTTAAAGTAGCTAAGTCCGTAACTCAATATCATCCAAAATCTTCGACATTGAAAACACGAATTTTTTTGCAATTTAAATCATCATTGGTGTTGTAATCTTACCTGGAAAAGATGGGCTTCTGATATCCAATATTTAAGACAAAATAAACACTTTACCATTGGTACACGAATTGTGTACCATAATGCATTTCAGCGCCATTTGTAACAAGGTGCTCAAAGAATGAGGCTAGATATATTCCACAAGTCATGTCAAACGGTAATATCATATCCTTATTTGGAGAGCATGCGCAATAAATAATATCGGTGTTGACTGGAATAACCAGACACTAAAAACTGACTTGCAGTTGAGCCTTCTGGCGTATTTCGCCGAACATAACTGATGACAATTCACAGTAAAACGGAAATGATTGAATGTAAAACAGTTTATATAAATTGAAATTACATTATTATATGTGTTGCGACCCATTTGTGCCAATTTCTAGGTCCAAAATATTAGCGATTTAGCTCCTTTAAAGTGAATTGAACTGAACAACAGACAAAGGTTTATAAGTTCTCTCCAAACATATAAAATAGTTAAATTTTATGTTTACAATAAACAATGGTGGACATATGTATAGGCAGTGAAAAACAACAGATTTATTAAGTATCTGATTCAAATGCATTTTATTGGGAAAGGTGAAGGGGGACATTTATAGATTGCGTGCAAAATACACATTAAAGGTGCCTAGTCTTTTACTCAATATAATCCACAGGCTTCAACATTGCAAACATGACTTATTGGTCAATTTAAACCATCATTGATGTTATCTTAACGTGAAAGTTGGGGTGAAAAGTTGGGCTTCTGATATCCAAAATTTAAGACAAAATGAAAATGTTAAAATTGACACACGAATTGTGTGCCAGAATGCTTTCGAGCGCCTGTTGTATGAAGCGACTTGATCAACGAGGCTAAACATATACCATGTAGGAGACTACTATCGCTGTAGACTGGAATAACCAGACACCAAAGACTGCCATTCAATTCAGACTCTTCACATATTTCGCCAAACATAACTGATTAGAAATTATGGTAAAAACTGGAATGATTGAATATATACATGTGTTGCAATCCATTTCTAGCTGCCAAAGAATAGCTAATTATAACACCTCTAAATTAAGCTGTTAGTCCCAAATGATCGTGTTAAGTTATAAAACATTTCTGAAATAGTGCATAAATTAAATGCTATGTTAAGTATCTATAACAAATTTAATGTTCTTGTATTCTGCTTATAATTGATGTGTACATGCTTGGTAATTTCGATAAGTATGAATGAATTACTCGGGTCTAATGAGCGATGCGAAACAAAATTAGTCCTATGTCTTTGGAATACCCCTGTTTATAGTGTATAGCTTTAAGGAGAACGAACAAATTTAAGTATTATACATGTGTATGTAATACCGATTGGTGATTATACTTTAGTTAATAGTCTTGTCAAAAAGTATTCACCCTGAAAACCCGCGTTAATAATAAATGAGTTACTCGGGTAAAATGGGTCACAATCCAAAATTTCAAGATTTTGTTATTCGACTTCTTATGTTGATGTAGATCTACATAATATATTGTATATCTGAATATCAACATTTTAACATAATGTCTATCTTGGGTTTTAGTGTAATCTGTATTACTGACACAGAAAGTAGGCTAATTTACCGAATAGCGACGTAATTTATTTCCGCCCTAGATAAATGGTGTATTTCCGGTTCTGGTGCATTTTCCGTATCAAAATGGAAAAGTCTGAAGAATTCAGTCAAGTCTTTTGTGCTCGTTGGTTCCTATGTTTACCCTGTTATTAATGTTACCCTCCATAATAGGTCTTCGCTATGGGGAAGCTAAAATGTTTCGAAATTATTCTTCACGACAACAAATCTGTTTTTCACCCCGGAGAACGGGTGAATGGGCAGGTTATTGTGGAGTTGAAAGGGGACATGAAAATGAGGTCTTTGAGAATCTTCATGAGAGGTGTCGCAAAAGTTCATTGGACGGAATCTCGTAGTACAGGCAGTAGACTTGGTTCCTATACAGAGCATTATAATGCTGAAGTTGAATATTTTTTCAAACGGCAGGTTTTATTCGGAGGAGGTAAACTATCGAAAATTATAATTTATATCATAATAAGCTTTCTTTGATTCAAAGTTTGAAAGGTTTTGCTGGTTGCTGTTTTGTTTATGCCATTACCAATGCCAAGCTATAGTCTATAAATATGTAAATAGAATAGTATTTTTAATTCCATGCTTTCATTTACCGGTAGGCCTACCTTTTTGTCTTCATAAATCATAATCTACAATTCAAAAGGGTGCGGGTCAGTTCATCCCACAACCGTTTCATCTCGAGGGTGTTTGATCCCAACCTATTTTTTTATCGGCTGTTTCATTCCCCTGTACTTATCGTTAAATAAACTGTTAAACACGTACCGGTACTTATTGTTAAAGTACCTAAGTCTCTAACTCAATATCAATGAAATATCATCAAAAATCTTTGACACTGAAAACACAAATTATTTGTCAATTCAAATCAACATTGGTCTTGTGATCTTACAGGGAAAAGATGGGCATCTGATATCCAATATTCAAGACAAAATAAACATTTTACCATTAGTACACGAATTGTGTACCATAATGATTATAATGCGTTTCAGCGCCATTTGGAACAAGGGACTCAAAAAACGTGGCTAGACATATTCCACAAGTCATGTCAAATGGTGACGTTATATTCTTAGCTGGAGAGCATGCGCAATAAATACCATCGGTGTAGACTGGAATAACCAGACGCTAAAGATTGTCCTTTAATTGAGACTTTGGCGCATTTCAACGAAAATAACTGTTTAGAAATTACAGTAAAAACAGAAACGATTGAATGTAAATCAGTTAATATACATTCATATTACATTATTGTCCCCCGCCTTTCGAAGAAAGCAGGGGACTATTAAAATGGGTTCGTCCATCTGTCTGTCCGTCTGTCTGTCTGTCTGTCCGTCTGTCTGTCCGTCACACTTTTTGGGACACAATAACTCTCTTCCTAATTGAGCTAGAATGTTCAAACTTGGTGTATGTGTTTATTAGGTCAATGCCTTGATGGAGTTCGAAGATGAGCATTTTCCGCTTAGGGTAAGCAGAGATAAGCAATTTGATTGGTTGATGCTTTGGGACACGATAACTCTCTTCCTAATTGGGCTAGAATGTTCAAACTTGGTGTATGTGTTGATTAGGTCAATGCCTTGATGGAGTTCGAAGATGAGCATTTTCCGCTTAGGGTAAGCAGAGATAAGCAATTTGATTGGTTGATGCTTTGGGACACGATAACTTTTAATTGAGCTAGAATGTTCAAACTTGGTGTATGTGTTTATTAGGTCAATGCCTTGTTTATTTTGATTCTATCTGATAGAGAGTGATGAAACTTAATGTATACTTAATAATCAGTTTGATTGCTGGATACTTTTGAAAAAGATAAACATGCAATTAATTAATATATGTCATCTATTTATTTCGGGATTTCAGCGGGGGACATCAGCCTCACTGTTGGCTTGTTATATGCGTTGCGACCCATTTGTGTCAATTTCTAGGTCCCAAATATTAGCGATTTAGCTCCTTTAAATAAACAATAATGTATGGAATAAATAAGTTTTACTCGTTGATTTTTGTTGATTACCGATCACGACCAAGATTAGTTCACTGCTGTATATTCGTATTGTTTGTTAATTCGCGGTATGATTTTAGGTCAGTTCGTATTGTTAGTTTTAATTGCCGTTATAATTTTAGATTAGGTCTAGGTCACTGATTGTTTGTTAGTTTATGATGTTTAACATCATTTATCTTCTTTATAAAAAGGTATTATATAATTAAATATTGACAGCTTAATAACTTGCCAAAATTTATCACGGACTCTAGTCACTCTACGTATTACCCAATAATCAACTAAATTGCAACAGAGCCCCTTTTGAATAAGAAATAATTAGAAGATATTATTTCGGGACCATAATTAATTTTAAAACTAATGGTTGATTTAATTTCCGAACACGAAATTGAACTTAACAACTCCAAATATAAGAATTCTGAATAAGAATAAATTTAGAATACCAAAATGCAAATCAGAACGCGTTGTGGTCTAAACTGTGTGATAAATTACAAAATAAATCATAAATCAATGGAACCTGTTATAAGGTGGACACTGTATGCTTTCTTTTAACGTTGTGTTATATGAGGCACCAGGTAGTCTGAATATCTGAAGATAACACATGTCGAAAAAGTGGCTGCATGCAATTTTATTCTTTGATCTGTTCTATCACCGGGCATTTCTGAAACCAACCTGCCAGAAAATGACTAATTACAAGCTAAAGCATATGCAAAGGAAGAAGTGGGACACTATTCATGATAAAATTACATTGACTTATTGTTATTAAATAAAATATTAAAAATTCATGTGATACCCATTTTTATACGCCCACATGGAAATGTGGACGTATATTGCCGTCGTCCATCCTTCCGTCGTACACAATTTCTTGTGAACGCTGTAACTCCAAAAGTTATTATCCGATTGTTTTAAAATTGATATACGTGGTTTAAATTAGTGATTTCTATTCATTATGTCTAGAGTTATGGCCCTTGTTTCACTTTGTTCGATCTTGTTAATGCTATTACGCCAAAAGTTATCATCCAATCTTTGTGAAATTTATATGCATAATTTAAATTAGTGAAACGAAGAAGCCTATTGAATTTCAGCAATTTCCGTTTATTACGTTTAGAGTTATGGTCCTTGTTTCACTTTATTGAACCTTGTGAATGCTCTAGATCTAATGCGAAAAGTTATCATCCGATCTTTATGAAATTTATATGCATTATTTAAATTAGTGAAACGAAGAACCCTTTTGAATTTCAGCAATTTCCGTTTATTAAGTCTAGAGTTATTACCCATGTTTCACTTTATTGAACCTTGTGAAAGCTCTATTACGCCAAAAGTTATCATCCAATCTTTCTGAAATTTATACGCATTATTTAAATTAGTGAAACGAAGAAGCCTGTTGAATTTCAGCAATTTCTATTTATTACGTCAAGAGTTATGGCCCTTGTTTCACTTTATTGAACCTTGTGAACACGCTAACGCCAATAGTTATCATCCGATCTTTGTGAAATTTATATGCATTATTTGAATTTGTGAAATGAAGAATCCTATTGAATGTCAGCAATTGCCCTTAATTACTTCTAGAGTTAAGGTCCTTGTTCCACTTTGATGCACCTTGTGAACGCTGTAACATAAAAAGTTAATCTGCCGATCAGTATGTGGTTTCCCCTTGTCAGTGATGCAGGATGGAGGGCCTGACAAGGACAGCTGTCTAGTCGTTCGGATGGGACGAAAAACCGAGGTCCCGTGTACATATTGGCGTGCACGTAAAAGATCCCTTGGCAGTTGGAATTCGATATAAGAGTAGGCCGTAGCGCCGCTGCCCAGGCAAAATTTCCCTCATCATAGCACACTGTATGGCGTATGCCCATCTTCATTAGTCCAGGTTAGGATCAGAACAGTAGGACGCTAAACCCCATTTCATTTCATTTCATTTCCGATCAGTATGAAATTTATATGTGTAATTTAATTAAGAAAAAAGAAGAATCCTTTTGAATTTCAGCAATTTCAGTTTATTTCTTATAGAGTTATGGCCATTGTTTCACTTTGTTGCACCTTGTGAATGCTCTAACATCAAAAGTTATCTGCTGATCTGTATGAAATTTATATGCGTCATTTAAATTAGTAAAAAGAAGAATCCTATTGAATTTCAGCAATTTCCATTTATTTATTATGAGTTATGGCCATTGTTTCACTTTGTTGAACCTTGTGAACGCTCTAACGACGAAAGTTATCATCCGATCTTTGTGTAATTTATATGCATTATTTAGATTAGTGAAACCATAAAGCCTATTGAATTTCAGCAATTTACAATAATTACTTCTAGAGTTATGGCCCTTGTTTCACTTTGTTCAACCTTGTTAATGCTTGATTGATGAAAGTTATCTTCTAGTATGTGTGAAATTTATATGCATCATTTAAATTTGTGAAACGGAGGTCTATTGAATTTCAGCAATTTCCGTCAATCATTGTCCCCCGTCTTTCGAAGAAAGCAGGGGACTATTAAAATGGGTTTGTCCTTCTGTTTGTCTGTCCGTTCGTCCGTCCGTCCGTCACACTTTTTGGGGCACAAAAACTCTCCATTTAATTGAGCTACAATCTGCTTACGGTAAGCAGAGATAAACAATCTGATTGGTTGATGTTTTGGGGCATGATAACTTTGGTTTTGATTAAGTGAGAGTGATGAAACTCCGAGTATAGATTCATTATATCATTACCTTGACTAAGTTCGATGATGAGAATTTTCTGCTTACGCGAAGGAGCGATAAGCAATTTGATTGGTCAAGACTTTGGAACATAACCCTGCTTTTAATTAAGGTAGAATGGTTAAACTTGATGTAGGTGTTGATTAGGTGAATGTCTTGACTGAGTTCAATGATTAACATTTCGAGCCAAAGCTAATTAAGCAAAGCAAAGAAGTTTCATTGGCCGATGCTTTGGGACAAGATAATTTTGATTCTATCTGATAGAGAGTGATGAAACTTGGTGTATAGTTTGATTGCTTGTTACTTTTGAAAAAAGTAAATGTGCGATTATTTATAATGGGTCATCTTTTTATTTGGGATTTCGGCGGGGACATCAGCCTCATTGTTGGCTTGTTGTATTGTCTTTTAAGTTGAAATAATGGTGGATTCAGGTGTGTAGCCCTCAGGGCTCAAAAGATGCTTTCATTCACAGATAAAAATACACAGAGTGGTGACTGCTTCATTTGCATAAAAAGTAGGTCGTGCACTACATCTTGAGGTTTGTCTGTAATGTCACTAAACGTGGCGGCTAAACAAGACGTTTCGCAGTAGAACAGAAGAAAATATAAACATCCGAGTGGTGGATATGGTACCCAGAGTAGGTCCTATGCCGGGTGTTTTAATTTTAGGGACTATTGAGGGATTAAAAAAATTCAGCATTCCTGGAGAAAAAGAGCTCAGTCTAAGTCGCGTCGTCTGCTACGAGTATGAGTACAATGTCGATACGATTCGTCGTCGAGTGCTAGGCCTAGTGCTATAAATATATAATAAATGCTGAGCCATAATAACATAGATCTAATAGATTATAAGAACAGCAATACATATCATCAAAAAATTTATTTTGTAAGAGTACATATTTGGTGAAAGATGTTTTCATATTTGATTGGTTAGGCTTAATTGGCATTATATTGCATATTATGATATATTCCAATGTAGAGTACTGAGTACTGTGTAGGCCTAGAAGAAGTATATCTATACGTCTTTATCTTATGATAATATGACCTCTCGCTCTAACTTAAATCAAATCAAATCAATGTGCTATTAATGTCTGTAGTTACACATGTTCTTTTTACATTCTATATTTTTTGTAAAAACAAATAAAATCTACAAACACAATAATAGGCCTACAGTCTACCGAATAAAATAAATTTAGATTCATATGTTGTCATTAAAAGCAATTGAAAAAGAATCATGTGCGAGAGAACTAACTATATTTTCTGAAGAATCTGTTGTATTCTGGCAAAAGGATAATGGACAAGCCTAATTTTTTCTAAGATTGTGTATCGCAAAATGTGATTCTATGTAGGCCTACAATTACTTGTGGTAAACAATTTAAGTGTTAAGTTTATGGTATGTTATATTTATATACCTTTCCAAATTTCATAAAAATATTATTTTGCTCAATTTTCAGTTGCAATAAGCTTTTAATAAAACAGTAAGCCTAATAGTGTTATGCTATTCAAAATCACATTTCCCCTTTTACTGGTAGGCCTTTATGCAACCAATAAAATATTTACTGAAGCACTATCACTAATTTTAAACCATTCAGTAATTCAAAATAATTTTAATTTACTCTGTGATTATCTATATAGTATCAGATGCTGTATGGTTAACTTCAGTTTGTATGGCAGATAATTCCATAATAGTACACAGTATAAATTAAATTTTCTATTTCTAAATAATCAGTTGACAAAAAAAATCACAAAAATAAAAGTAACTCTGAACACAGATCAGACCTACATGTAATGGCATGGATATCTAGAGCAAACTTCAGATTTATAATAATTTAATATATTCTTGTGCAGAAGTGTAAAATGGACAATTTCATTAGGGGGCCTATAAAGGCCATCAAAACATTACATGACACACAGAGCAATATGCAAAATATTCATTCTCAAGTTGTTTTTGGTTTATACTTTTTTGTAAAAAGAGAAACCAATCAACTCAGATAATGTTTATTGAAAAATGTTATAGGCCTATTTAAATAGAATTTTAATATCTTTAATTATTTTATTTTTTAAAAATGAAAGCCTACATTAATTAATAGAACAAAAATCATAAAAGAACACGGTGAGTCAACGTTAGAGCCAAAGGTATTTTATCTTGGAAAACAACCAACGGCTCAAATCTTTTTATTGGAAAACGTTATATGCCTATTTGAAATTCAATTTTAATATTCTTAAATTATTATTTTATATTTTAATGAAAGCTTACTTTATTAACATAACATAAATAAGAGAAGCACACAGTAATAAGCTCTAGAAGACAAAGGAATTTTTCTTTGGGAGAAAAAATAAATCATGTTGAGTAAAATAGGCCTTATCCAAAAAAGTGCATAGCATTTTGACATTTTCAAATGGTCCATTTTAAGGTGTATGGAAATTACATTTCAAATCTAGGAATGGAAACAACAAGTATTTGGTGGAATAGTTTCAAAGTTAATAAAACCTCTTAAAAATTGACAATAATTTACGGCCTTAAATAGACCAATTCGTAAACCGTCACAAATGCCGTCTCTCGTCTCATTCTCACTTCTTTCATTCCGGGCCGTACCACGCTTTATGCATGTTTTAAAAATATGAATCATGTTTTATAAATTCCCGAAACACACACACAACTAACATATTATGATTGTATGTGATAATTCTCAGTAGTTTTGTTAGCGAAAATACATGTACTATAAAACTACGAAATTAAAGAGATTTAGTTCATCGATACACTGAGCGAACTGTCAGTGTGTGTTTATTACAGACAATTCCCAAGATGCATTGCGCGTCGCAGTGTTTCTATTGGCCGTAATGCGAGTCGCCACTCTGTATATTTTTACTCTGTGCTATCATTGCTATCAATTTCTTTGTATGGTTCTTTTGCTTTAAAATCAGGTTATACCAAACTTCTAATGAATTGTATACTTAAAATTTAAAATGAAAAGAATTGAAAATGAAAGAGAATAATGTATCATAGTTAGGTTTCTGCATTATATTCCTCCAAATCTGAACTGAACAATTGTTTAATATACATGTAGTGGAGTAGAGCACATATTCCGACAACCTAAATGTGCTTCCAAAATTTTAGTTTACAGATTTAATTTTTCATTTTTGCGTCCAATCTATTATTTACAGAAATATCTGATGGAAGAGACACACTTACTGAAGGTCGACACCAGTTGGACTTTTCCTTTGAATTGCCCATGGGGTAAGTTTTCATCAAACATGTTCTTCATTCAAGCGATAATATTAATACCACTACTTCTTTCAAATTACAGGAAATACTGAAGTTAAATAATTCTAGAAATATAAGACTTATTTACATGTATATGTAAATTGAGAAATGGTTGAAATACTGGTACACTATACAAATACCTTTTATAATCTTATCAACAGAATTTTCACTTGCTTTCACTATTTGATGTTTCATTTTTCAGGGGCATTTCAACATCTTTTGAGGGTAAACATGGTAGTGTAAGATATTGGCTGAAAGCTGAAATGGACAAACCATGGTCTTTTAACCATAAGACCAAAAAAGCTTTTACAGTAATAAGTCCTATTGACATTAACAGAAGTGAATATCAGGTAGGCCTAAGTGTGAACTACCTTACTATTCGGGGGGGTTGGATGGCCGAATGGTTAGCATGTGCGTGCTGTAGGCCTATCATACGGTCTGTCATTAAGTCAACTGGCGGGGTTTCGATTCCCCGGTTGTACGTGACAAGGAGTAGGCTCGCCTGTCCAACCTCGTGGGTTTTCTCCGGGTCCTCTGGTTTCCTCCCACTGCTAAAGACGTCTACGCGCAAGCGAATTATTAAAATAAAATTGAACCATGTGTTAGTCCCGAAATGACCTAGTTTGTGTCTAGTGGACGTTAAACCCCATTTCTCTCTCTCTCACCTTACTATTCAGTTAGAATCTCTTAACTAAGATAAAGGTTGGGTGGACTGACAAGAATAATTGGCTGCGCCAGGGTTATCGCAATTCTCGTCACTGAAACACATGTTGTCAAGAGTAGATTATTGCAGTTTATCTACATGGAGAGGCATAACTCTGGATGTTAAACTTCATTTAGAGATATAGACTTGAATTACACACATAGTGACTGTAGAAAAGTAGATACTTGGATTAGTGTTATATTCTTACTATAATCATATTCCTCTTAACACTGCTAAAGACCCCTACGCACAAGTGAAGTGACTGTAGAAAAGTAGATACTTGGATTAGTGTTATATTCTTACTATAATCATATTCCTCTTAACACTGCTAAAGACCCCTACGCGCAAGCGAATTATTGAAATAAAATTGAACCATGTGTTAGTCCCGAAATGACCTAGTTTGTGTCGAGTGGATGTTAAACCCCATTTCTCTCTCTCTCTATTCCTCTTTTCATAAAATATTTGTCTGTATTGCTCTTCTTCAGAGTCTCTTTTTGATAGATTATTATGTCCTTTTACTTTATTGTCCCCATGACAAAAAATATGCAGATAACTATTACAATATGCCCATGGCAAAACAATCAGGTGACTGCTGAAGCAAATTGCTAGGGCTGTAGCTGATAGTCTTGAGGGCTGATCTGTATTTACCAACCACACCCACATAAATCTGGATGTGGCTGCGATCTGTCTTGTAGTCTTGTCCAATAGAATATTGAAATGAAATGAAATGAAATGAAATGAAATGGGGTTTAACGTCCTACTGTTCTGCTCCTATGCTGGGCTATTAAATATAGACGGGCATATGCCATACAGTGTGCTATGAGGATAATTTTGCCCGGGCAGCGGCACTATCGCCTACTCCTATATCGAATTCCAACTGCCAAGGGATCTTTTACGTGTATTCCAATTTACACACGATACCTCGGTTTTTTATCTCATCCGAAGGACTAGACAGCTGTCCTTGTCAGGCCTTCGTCCTGCATCACTGACAAGGGGGAAACACGCCGGAAAATCTGGATGAACTTTGTCGGCCAATGCAGGGATCGAACACCCGACCTCCAGGCTAGCGAGCCAGTGTCTTACCCACTTAGCCACGTGATCCCCCAATAGAATATTAGTTAAATATTTATATAATTACAAGTTTTATGCAATTGCTGTTGTCCAGAGCCCTGAATTTCCTACATACACCCCTGACAGAATTTCGGTTTTTATACGCCCACATTTTCATGTGGACGTATATTGTCATTGCCCCTGTCCGTCCGTTCGTCCGTCCACAATTGTTTGTGAACAGTCTACAGGTCACAATTTTTATCCGATTTCAATGAAACTTGAAATATAGGTTTATCACCCTAAGATCTCGGTTCCTTTCGATATTGGCATGTATTGGACTGTAACTTCATGGATTATGGCCCCTGATTGTATGAAAAATCATGTTTTTAGCTTGTGAACACTGTAGAGGTCACAATTTTTATCCGATTTGGTTTAAACTTGAAATGTATGCTTATAACCCAAAGATCTCAGTTCCCTTCGATAGTCATGCATATCGGAACGTAACTTCCTGAATTATGGCCCCTGATTGTACAAAAAATCGCATTTTTAGCTTGTGGACCCTATAGAGGCCATAATTTTATCCGATTTAAAAACTGTATTATTATGTCACCATTACATCCTAACGGTTCCTTTCGATATTCGCCTTTATCGGATCGGGTCGTAACTTCATGAATTATGGCCCCTGATTGTACGAAAAATCGTGTTTTTAGCTTGTGGACCCTATAGAGGTCATAATTTTTATCCGATTTAAAAAAAACGTATTATTATATCTCCGTTACACCCTAAGGCGACTGAGTTCGAATTTCGGGAAAATTGGCCTAAAACTGACAGACAAAATGGCCGCCCTTCATTCTCAAATAGCGTAAAAATATGGTATATCAAGGTTGTGGACCCTATAGAGGTCACAATTTTTATCCGATTTTGTTGAAACTTGAAATGTAAGTGATCGCGGTTCCTTTCGAATTTGTTGAAACTTGAAATGTAAGTTTATAACCCAAAGATCTCGGTTCCTTTCGATATTTGTGCATATCGAATTGTAATTCCCTGAATTATGGCCCTTGATTGTAGGAAAAATCACTTTCGTTTTAGCTTGTTTTCTATCCATCTCTCGAAAATGTGGGCGTATCCTGCCTGGCAGCCGCTGGTTTTCTTTCCTATCACTGCTCAGTGATACCAGATCGAAAAAAAATCACAAATGTATTAGTGACAATTGATTTTTATTTTTAGACACAAGTTGAGTGTAGTGTAGAGAAAACATTATGCTGTTGGTTATGTACATCAGGTCCTATATCTATAACAGCTCGTACTGATAGAAGAGGATATTGTCCAGGTTAGTTCATAAAACTTCTTATAGTCTAACCACAATTGAATTTGAGATTGCAGAAGGAAAAGAGTAATTGTAATATTTAAAGGGACTATCCCTTATTTGAACAGTCTCAAAAATAAAAGTCTGAGTATGTATGAAATTTAAACGCCAAAATATAGAGGAATGGTATATTGGCTGTATCTCAAAATTTCAGCTCAAAATATTGAGTCGTTTGGACGTGACCGTCAAAACTGCTTATCCGGACACGTAACCCTTTTAAGATTTCGGGTCAATTTTTTCGTTGGGAGACCTGATAATCATTTCCGTTCATTGAGAGGTCTATACAGTGAATGACCCAAATGCTGTACTTGCTAATGAAAGGTAAATTTCACCAACACATTATTTTTATACAAAAAATGTCTGGTTTTATCTAGGCACCGCATAATACAGCTTGGGACACCGGTCTCCATTTCCAGATGAAGACTGACAGGTTTCAGTTATTTGAAAACTTATCACAAATATTTACTTAGTTGCTCGGCCCTTTGGTAGAGGATTTTAAGGGATTTTAAAACAAAATTAAACAGTTTTATTCTCCAAAAAATTTTTTAGGGTGAAAAGCAAAATCAAATTCAAATTTCTTTACCAACAAAAAGAAATTGCTGTGAAAATGGATAAATGCAAACAGGCTCTCCTGGTAACTTAATTCATGGTTTAAGATTTGTAATAAATATATTGTACCAGATTATTTAATTTTAATCCTATATTTTTACTTGCTTTTATCATTACAGGAGAATCGATAGCTATTTCTGCCGAGTTTGATAATCATTCATCTAGAACTGTCATACCTTATGCTACCTTGTACCAAACTCAAGCCTTTTTCGCCAGTGGCAAATCTCGTGTTAGACGAACCAAGTTTACTGTTTTAACTGGTCTACCTGTAGCACCAGGTACTAGAGGAAGTTGGGATTCCCAGTTATTAAAAATACCAGCAGTATCACCATCTATAATGAACTGTTGTGTTATGAAAGTAGACTACTTTGTTAAGGTTAGATATGCATGTATATTTATATGCTCACATTTAAAGATGCACTATGTAAGAACTGAATCTGCCTATTGCAGGCCTTTCTTTTCGTCTCAAATGTTATATAAATTATTAATTAGACATCAATCTGATTAAAATACAGATCTATATTTCGTTTCGTTTTTTTTATACTTTTGATAACCTACACTGCATGATGATCTGACCGCACACTAAGAACGCACTGTAACAGACCGTTTCATTGGCTAATACCTTACGTCGGTCAGAATGCCGGTAACATAACAACTCTTCCAGATTCTAGTGTAGTAAAGACAAGTAAAACAAAAATTTGAAGTATAAAAAAGGAAACGAATTAGACATTTATTCACATGGCAAAACCATAATCAATTCTCTCGATCATCGGATGGTTGTATAAAGAATAGGATATATGGCTTTTATACGCTATCCATATGAATTGTAACGTCATAACTGTGTAAAATTTAAGCGTTTACTAATCAAGATTTCTCTGTTTAGATAAAAATAGTATTGAATCACAGTTCATAACAAAATTCAAAAATAAAAATGGTTGGGGTGCCCAAGTTTAGATTTGTCGTTGATTCCATAAAGTAGTTAGGTTTTAAAATGTTAAATACTGTGTAATTCAAAATGGTGCCCAAGGGGTTTAATATTATGTAGGTACGAATTAGTACTAAATGGTTTATTTATGAGAGTCTTTATACCCTAAGCTTGACCTTTATTATTTTGAGTGCATGCCCGATCCCCTGGGGCAATTTTTGTGTGTGTCTGTGTTTCACCTACAGGCCGCAACTTTTGAAACTTTTCATACCTATTCCTTATACCCTAAGGTTGATCCCTATTGTTTTTTGGTGATTGCCCGACACCCAGGGGTAGAGCCACACCCAGTTTGTCTTTGTGTGTCTGTGTGTTGCCTACAAGCCACAATTCTTAATGGATCGTCTTGGAATTTGGCATACGTATTCCTTATAGCCTAAGGACAGTAACTTCTGATTTTGGTGCATGTCCCGACCCCCAATTTTTATACGCCCACATTGAAATGTGGTCGTATATTGTCATCGCCCCAGTCCGTTGGTCCGTCGGTCCGGCGTCCACAAATGCTTGTGAACGCTCTAGAGTCTAGATGGTAAAGTTAATATCCGATTGACTTTAAATTAATACACAGTGTTTAAGGTCATGAGACGATGAAGCCTATTGATTTTCAGCAATTTCCGATAATTACTGCCAGAGTAATGGCCCTTGATCACTTCAACAAATCTTGTGGACGCACTAGAGGCTAAAGTTAATGTCCGATTGACTTCAGATTGATACGCAGAGTTTAAGGTCTTGAAACGAACAAATGTATTGATTTTCAATTAATTTTTATGACTTGAACAGCTAAATCCATGATATCAAAAGTTTCGTATACTAAACGTTAGCATGGGGCAGAACTTTATAAAAACCAAACAAATTCTAATGGTTTTCTGATAATTACTTAATGAGTTGTTACTCTTAATCTTGTTAACTGGCCAGACGATTTAGCTGCTGTGGGCGTATGTTTCGTTGCCTGGCAACCTATCTTTGTGTTTATCGTATACAAGCCACAATTCTGAATGCATCAGCTTGGAACTTGGCATATGTATTCCTTTAGTGCATGTCCCGACCACCAGGGGCAGAGCCATGCCCAATTTTTTAGTTTATCGTATACAGGCCGCAATTCTGAATGGATCAGCTTGGAACTTTGCATATGTATTCCTTTAGTGCATGTCCCGACCACCAGGGGCAGAGCCATGCCCAATTTTTTAGTTTATTGTATACAGGCCGCAATTCTGAATGGATCAGCTTGGAACTTGGCAAATGTATTCCTTTTAGCCTAATGGCAACTATTGATTTCGCTGCATTTCCTTACCCCTAAGGGCAGAGCCACGCCAAATTTTTGTGTTTAGCGCCCAAAGGTCACAATTCGCTCTATCCGATATAAAAAAACGTTTGAATATATCACCGTCACACCCTAATGACGGCTGAGTTAAAAATTCGTGAAAATCGAACCAAAACTGCCAGACAAAAAGGCCGTCCCTTGTATGCAAATAGTGTAAATATATGGAATATCAAGGTTGTGGACCCTCTAGAGGCCACAATTTTGATCCGATTTTGATGGAACTTAAAATACATGTTTATAACCCAATGATCTTGGTTTGTTTCGATATTCTCGAATATCGCATCGTAACTTCCTAAATTATGGCCCTTGATTATACAAAAAATCGTGTTTTTGTTTTTTTTATCTTGTTCTTTATCTATCTCGTGCAAAATGTGGGCGTATCTTTCCTGGCAGCCACTGGTTTGTTAATATTCAGTCTGTAAATTTGGCAAACAAACCCTTCTTTGCCTCTTGTCATATTACAGTCATTTCGTATTTCATTCTCTTCATTTTAAAAAGTACCATATCAATCAAAGCAGGAATATGGACGTATATATTGCAGTGTTACTGTTAGCGATGCTCTTGTTATTTTTATGCTTGACAAATAATAAAAATTCATCACTTGATGAAAAATACCAATACTTCAAAGCCTTTTGTTTACTAGATGTAAATTCGGATGTCGTTCATGTATGAAGTAAGATTCAGGTATTACATAAATATTAATTTTAGGTCAACTTCGCTGTCTAGTTTATGGACATAAACAAATTCATATAATTACAGGTAGCTCTACATATTCCCGGTGCCTATAATTTAAGAATGCATCTTCCAATAGTAATAGGAACAGTACCATATCGACGAGCCCAGTCTTACCATTTTATGGAATCCAGATATTATCGTGAAACTCAAGCTCAGTATGCCATGGATTTCTTGCCAGTGCCACCACCTTACCGTGAAACAATAACACCTCCCCCACCGTTTGATGGTAAAATATTTTATATTAGATTTCTTATTGTCTGTTTGTCCGTCTGCATGTCTGGACTTCCATCCATCTTTACGTCACACTTTTTGGGACACAATAACTCTCTTTCTAATTGAGCTAGAATGTTCAAACTTGGTATAGATGTTTATTAGGTCAGTGCCGTGATGGAGTTTGAAGATGAGCATTTTCTGCTTAGGGAAAGCAAAGATAAAGCAATTTGATTGGTTGATGCTTTGGGACACGATAACTTTAATTCTAATTAATTAAAGATACATTATGGGAGATTTTAATAGAGAGTTGGCCATTCTTGCTATAACAACAGTTCAAAAATATATGATGAAAGAAGAATATATTGAAAATTTCAGTCAAATTACTTTATTCTGAACAAAGTTATCACCATTGTAAATTTTGACTAGAAATAGGAGTCAACTCTCTCTTCACCGTCTCCGATAATGGCCGATCGTTTGATTGACAGGCGTTAACTCCACCTACATAATCTCGATTATCAAGTAACGTTTTCAATGGCTGAGGTACTATTAGCCTATTCGGTTTGAGACGGGGTTGCAATTCAATTCGTATCACATTTATTTTTACTACAAATTAAAAATAAAACATTTAATATATAGATAGGAAGCGAAAGTTTGAAAGGAATGGACCAAATCAATGAGGCATAATTATAGCCAACTTCTTGTGTACTGTTGTACTGTAACTAACTGGTAGGTCTACGTAACTCCCGAAGCAGACAGATAGGAAACAGTGATCCAATGGGGCTGCAATTCAACTGGGGTGATGTTAGCTGCGATGTTTATCAATTTCCATCATTTTTCTGTAAACGCAAGTGACAAAAGAGCGTATAATATACCGACATCCAAACTCTCATTTTAATCACAACTAAACATAATTATCAAGGCCGTATATATATCGAACTTTCAATCAAATTGACTGACATGCGGCCTCGCTCAACAGCGGCCTAGCTTCGTACACTCTATCATTTAGCCTCGATCTAAAATTTCCGGGAGTATGACGTCAATGTAACAGTTAATCTCCGCTTACGACGCCATTTAAAATTTTAATCAATCAATGAAATCCTGTTTAAATCCAAGCCGAATCCAAGCCATCCGTGGGTCTACAGAGTTGATTTTGTGCTTGTTGTGTAAATAAAGATCTAATTTATAATTTCTATGACATCTGAAGCCTAAATAAAGACTTGCAATAATCAGATTTAGCTCTTGCATAATGTATGTTTAAGTGAGAGTGAGGACACTTGGTGTATAGGAGTATAGATTCATTATATTATTACCTTGACTAAGTTTGATGATGAGAATTTTCTGCTTAGGCGAAGGATCGATAAGCAATTTGATTGGTCCAGACTTTGGAACATAAAAACTCTTTTTTTAATTGAGGTAGAATGTTTAAACTTGATGTAGATGTTCATTAGGTGGATGTCTTGACTCTTGTTTGAGTTCAATGATTAACATTTTGAGCTAAAACTAAGCAATTTCATTGGTCAATGCTATTGGACAAGATAACTTTGATTCTATCTGATAGAGAGTGATGAAACTTAGTGTATAGGTGATAATCTGTTTGATTGCTTGATTCTTTTGAAAAAAATAAATGTGCGATTAATATGGCATGACATTTAAATTGGACTCACCGTTCTTTTAACAGCACATCCTACTTTAGAAAATCTGTGATGGTTAAAATCTATTTTTACTGTCATCAAACTTCTTCATGTGACTCAGATATATTTGTGTGTTTGTTAAATTTAAACAAGAGTATCCTCCCTTCCCTTTAATTATTAAGCAGACTTGCAAACAAAAAAGCACTAATTTATAGATATAGTTGTATTATACCACACGGGGTATATTGATCACCATTTACATATTTTGGCAGATAAAGCAATCCATATGTTATTTAGTAAACCAGCAGGACATGAGATGTGATAATTTAATGAGTATTTAATTTGGAGCCGTAGTGGCTCAGTACGTAAGACACTTGCTCACTAACCTGGAGGTCTCTGTGTTGGCCGAGAAAGTTCCTCCGAATTTTCCAGCTAGGTTTCCCTTTGTCAGTGGTATAGGACATAGGACTTGGCAAGGAACAGCGTCTAGTTGTTCGGATGGGACAAATCCATAACAGTTGGAATTCAATTGCTGTCCAGGCAAAATTTTATCTTTCATTAGCCCAGTTGGAACAGAAGTAAGAGGTTAAACCCCATTTCATTTATTCATTCAATGTATTTTAGTATTTGTAATTGTTAATTATAGATCCACCGACATATGCTGAGAGTATAGGAGGTGCTGTAGACTTATGTGAAGATGATGATGATGATCCGAGTTGTAATATGGGAGATTTAACATATACACCTATGTATACTTATGTTTATGATTATAGACCACCGCCTGCTTATTCTGAGGTAAGGTTATTTATATAGACCTAGTCCAACCTGTGCCACCTATTCAGTGATAATGACAATGTATTAGATTTGATATTTTAGTTGTAAAAATATAGTTGAAAAGGCAGTGACTATTATAAATATGCATCTCTTCTACATGTAAATATTATCTACTTATAAATAAACATATCACCACATCATCAATGTCCAGGTTTTGGAACTAAAATCAAAATATTAACATAAATCTTAAAAAAGGCATGTTTGAGCTACCAACATAAACGTATATGTTAAAGGGGAATTAGGAAGGATTAGATAAAGAGCTGATAGTTATCGCTATAATAGTTAAAAAATAAATAATGAAAACGGAATATGCTGAAAACATCTGTCAAATTACTTCACTCTGAACCGAGATATTAGCGATTCAATTTTAGGCTAACCTCGATTGTCATTACCAACGTTTCATGTGAACGTATATTGTTGTCGCCTCCATCTGTCTATGTGTCCGTTCACATTTTGTTTGTGGACACTACAGTTCACAATTTTTATCCGATTTTAATGAAACTTGAAATATAGGTGTATCTTCCAAAGATCTTGATTCCTTTCGAACCGGACCATAACTTCATGGATTATGGCCCTGATAGTACAAAAAAATCACATTTTTAGCTTGTGGACACTCTAGAGCTCACAATTTTTTTTTAATTTGATGAAACTTGAAATGTGTATTTATAACCCAAAGATCTCGGTTCCTTTCGATATTTGCGCAAATCAGACTGTAACTGCCTGTAAATTGTACGAAAAATCTAGAGGTCACAATTTTTATCTGATTTAAAAAAACTGTTGAAATATATCACCTTTACACACTATTGATGGTTGTGTTCAAATCTCGTGAAAATTGGACCGAAACTGCTTGACAAAATTGCTGCTACTTGTACGCAAATAACGTAAAAGTATGTACATGTAATACCAAGGTTGTGGACCCCCAAGAAGTCAAAGTTTTTAACCGATCTTGAGGAAACTTGAATTATCTGTTTATATCCAAAAGATCTAGGTTCCTTTCGATATTCATGTATATTGGACCTTAACTTGATTATGGTCCCTGATTGTACAAAAAATTGCATTTTTGTTTATCTTGTTCTCTGTCCATCTCTTGCAGAATGTGGGCATTCTTGCCTGGCAACCTCTGGTTATGTTAAATTATCCATCACAAAATATATTCAAATTCACTAAATATCGGTGGCATCAAGAGTTGATTATGGTCTTGATAATTAATTAATGTCTAATTAATAATTTAGATAACATTTAAGGCCTAAAGAAAGACCTGCAAAAGGCAAATTTAGCTCTTGCTTAATGTATGTTTAAATTGAATTTGTTTTTATTTTCTCAGAATGATCCGACTACTTCCTGTTTATCTCATCTAGAAAATATCAACATAGATGATGATGACGATGATGATGATAGTGATGGTGATTTATGACAACCCGTATAAAATAACTTACAATTTCAGAAAAGCAGTGCTCACAATACAACCATAAGAGTATACCAGCCCTTTTCATGCAAGACAAATGGCAGCCATTTAAATAAATAGATCGGCATGATGGGTTGTTGTAGTGTACATTACATCAATGTCAGAGCTCAAACATGAAATATAATGATATATTTTACTTGTAATTTATAGTTACATAGATGACGTCAAAGTACTGTTTATATACAACAGTATAGTAAATTGTTTCAAAGGGATTTAGTTATTGAACTGGAATATACAGGTCACAATTCTATGGAATACAATTACTGCTTATTACACTGTAACCCAGGTATCGTTTAATCTTGTGTATCTAGCACTAATTTCTTTCACATTCGTTTAATATCAAATCTTTGTTTAAAAATTTGTAAAAACTGTTTAAAATCACCATAAATCGTTTAATTTGTACTTCTGTCCAGTTTAAAGCTGACCATTCAATTTTGATAATGAGTGTCCAATTTACAAGTGTTTAATTTCTCAATCATTGTTAAAAAATAAACAACCCAATTGATTAATGATGTATAATGATTAATTTTTGAACAGTGATCAGGAAATTAAATACTTGTAAATTGGACACTCATTATCAAAATTAATCAGTCAGCTTTCAACTGGACACAAGTACAAATTAGATGATTTTTGGTGATTTTAAACGATTTTTACGAATTTTTAAACAAAGATTTGATATTAAACGAATTTGAAAGAAATTAGTGCTAGATACACAAGATTAAACGATACCTGGGTTACAGTGTTACTAAGCAACGTTTCGACTAGGCTTGACTTGTCTATTCATTGTTAAGCAAGCCTAGTCAAGCAATATAGTAGTATGTCATGAGATAAAATTTATTTTTCAGTAAAAACTGTCTTGAGTTGTATGATCTCATGGTGCCAAATATATTTTAGTGACCAACCGATATTTTAAGACAATAATATGTAAAGTGGATTATAATATATAGATAGTCAAACACGGAATAAAAATCATTTATTATAACATGAAATGTAATTAAATCAGAAACTTTGTCATAAGAAGAAAGTTATTTAAAACATAATTTTTACATGTACAGGGTAGTTAATAATAAATATTTAAATATGAATACGAACAATAAATTCAAATGTGATTTCTTTTATTATTTAAAATGGATAAACCGCTTTGATTTGAGTTGAGAAAAAATGTCAGAAATGTTGATTTGTTTTGTGCTATAAAAATCTGTCTATATAGATAGTGTTAAAATATAGCCAATTTATTGTACCGCCTAAATCAAAGTGGTTTAGCTCCACATTGTGTAAACCAAATCAACAAATTGCTAAACAAATGCTAAGTAATATGTTGTTATAGACATGTACTTCATGTAAAGATCAAAACAATAAGACATTAGCTGTGTATGGATATTTTATCATACAGAAATTACAGATCAATCAGAAAGATACAAAAAAAAGTCAAAATATCCTTGGTTGTTACTGAAAATAAATGTAATCTAATTTGTTTTGATTTACTATCATCTAAAATCTATGTGACGTGATAGAAATAAAAACAAACAAAACTGTTTGAATAAGTGACCTGTGTTGCTTCAACATGTCTTCCTAGTCTGTTTATATTATTGTTTATTTATTTATTGTGTTTATGTATTTATTGTGTTTATTTTATTTATTACCAAATATGTTTGTTTAGTGTTTATAATTAACTAATTTATTAAATATTATTAGTATTAAAAGGTATACAGAATCAATTTGAAAAATTTGCGTCCATTAATAATATTATAATGTTGGCAAAACAAGGTAACAAACACTGTCATTCAACAGAATGCATTTGATTAAAATGTTTATGGTCACAATTTGTTTTTATATTTAATACATGTATGTAAACCCACTGTAAATTCAATTCTAATTTCGTTATTTACCTGTTCTGGTAAACATTATCTACATGTTACACATTTATTAAACAGATTAATTGTCCATATTATCAGTCCCCCGCTCCCCTTGTTACCTTGTTTGGTTTTCATGTTGTTTATATTTACACTACAGTAAGGCCTCTCCGTATCTTTTTAAAATTTGAGTTCAAATGACCCGATATGAGTCAATAAAAAAAATGTTTATTCTTTTGCAATAATGGTTTTAAACCAAGACTTTAAAGAGATCAGATAACTGTTTAAACTTTAACCATGATCTGAATTAGAATATTTTTATAGAGAACATTTGATGTTCTGATACATGTATTTATAGTCATTATTGTAGCACATAAACTAGAATCAAATAAATTTATACTATATGATTTATTATCATTTAGCTTTACACAATTTTTTATTTAATTTTTCATGATTTCAAATTATTACAATAAATCCATATTATGATATTTTTTATTCTGTTACATGTTAAATTAAAATATATACCATTAGTCCTTTTCCATTTATTTTTCTGTTGAACACACAGGAGCAATGTATTTTAATTTTTTGTTTAATATAAACTTACCATAACTTTTTCTCATGTTTTGTGTGCTTATATCTTCAAAAATACAAAAAAACATCACTTATAATATTCTTAAGGGTTGAAAAATTTCATGTTAAATGATATAGTTTTATATGCCCACATTTTCATGTGGACGTATTATGCCGTCGCCCCTGTTTGTCCGTCCGTCCACAATTTGTTTGTGGACACTCTACAGATCGCATTTTTTATCCGATTATGACGAAATTTAAAATATAGGTCTATCTCCTAAAGATCTCGGTTCCTTTCGATATTGGCATATATCGGACGATAACTTCATGGATTATGGCCCCTGATTGTACGAAATCACGTTTTTAGCTTGTGGACACTCTAGTGGTCACAATTTGCATCTGATTTTGATGAAACTTGAAATGCATATTTATAACTCAAAGATCTTGGTTCCTTTCTATATTTGCGCATATCGGATCGTAACTTCCTGAATTATGGCCCCTGATTGTACGTAAAATCGCGTTTTTAGCTTGTCGTACCTCTAGAGGTCACAATTATTATCCGATTTAAAAAAACGTTTGAATATATCACCGTTACACTGTAATGATGCCCGAATCGAATTTCGTGTAAATCAAACTAAAACTGGCGGACAAAATGGCCGCCCTTCGTATGCAAATAGTATAAAAATATGGTATATCAAGGTTGTGGTCATAATTTTGATCCGATTTTGATGCAACTTGAAATACATGTTTATAACCCAAGGATCTTGATTCCTTTTAAAATTTGCGCATATCGAATCGTAACTTTCTGAATTGTGACCCTTGATTGTACTAAAAATCATGTTTTTAACTTGTGGTCACTCTAGAGGTAACAATTTTTATCCGATACCAAAAAACGTTTGAATATATGGCCGAGTACGAATTTCGTCAAAATCGGACCAAAATGGTCGCCCCTTGTACGCAAATAGTGTAAATATATGATATATCAAGGTTGTGGATCCTCTAAGAGGCCACAATTTTTATCCCATTTTGATGAAACTTGAAATAAATATTTATTACCCAAAGATCTTGGTTTCTTTCAATATTCACGCATATCGAATCATAGTTTCCTGAATTATGGCCCTTGATTATACGAAAAATAGCGTTTTCTGCTAGTGGTCTCTCGAGAGGTCACAATTTTTATCTGATTTAAAAAAAACATTTGAATATATCACCGTTACACCCAAATGATGGTTGAGTTCGAATTTCGGAAAATCGGACCAAAACTGCTGGATAAAATGGCCACCCCTCCCTCGTACGCAAATAATGTATATATGGTATATCAAGGTTGTGGTCCCTCTAGAGGCCACAATTTTGATCCGATTTTGATGAAACTTGAAATATATGTTTATAACCCAAGGATCTTGGTTCTTGTTGATATTCGCGCATATCAGATGGTAACTTCCTGAATTATGGCCCTTGAGTGTACGAAAAATCGCGGTTTTAGCTTGTGGTCCCTCTAGAGGTCACAATTTTTATCCGATTGAAAAAAACGTTTGAATATTTCACAGTTGCACCCTAATGACAGCTGAGTTGGAATTTTGTGGAAATCGGACCAAAGCTGCCGGACAAAATGGTCGCCCCTTGTACGCATTGATGAAACTTGAAATATAGCTTTATAACCCAATGACCTTGGTTCCTGTCAGTATTCGTGCATATAGAATCGTAACTTCCTGAATTATGGCCCTTGATTTTACAAAAAATCGCTTTTTGTTTAGCTTGTTCTCTATCCATCTCTTGCAAAAAGTGGGCGTATCCTGCCTGGCAATGAATATATTATTTCAATAATAGTGCCCTTTTAGTTTATATATTATTATTATTATTTATAAACTTATCACCATGACAAATAAATTTCATTATGAAATATCTTCTATTTTTTTTTCTTAATAATTTTTGTACTTATTATATAATATGTATTTATATGGTTTAAATAATTTTAACTTTTATAAAATGATGAATGACATTTTTTTCACATTTTTGACATTTTTTAAAGAGTGCTTTTATATTTGAATCCAATTCATCTAAGCTGTATAATATTGTAACATACTGTGGGTAGTGTATTGTCTATAGTGAATATATGTAATTACAGTCATAGAACTTATAATAATATAATGTCAAAATCAAGTATTGCGACCATACACTTCCTTGAAATTGGATCAAAAAGACAGTTTCTGAATACATTATGCGAATTACAGGACAATTCTAGCTGTTGTCATTTGTTTATACAATGTAATTTATTATAATAAATTCAAAAATGCACAATGTGATATACATCATTTCGGCTTAAATTACGAAATGAAGTATTGATGATATATACTCTTCAAAAAAAGAAATGCATAGTGACATTTTGTCGTCGGTATACCCTCGCTCTACCATCGCCTCATTGCAACAGGAACCGCGACTCTTCGCTGAACTAAACTGTTCTCCAGTCGGATTTGACGGTGTCGGCATATTTCGAAATGACGGCTCGTAATATGGTTTCACTTAGGCGTCTATGGCCTATGCCAACCAGGAATTGCTGCTGCAGTAGAGGTCGCTGTTGTGAACAGTTTCCGCAAATAGCATGACCGGATGTGACGATCCAGGGCAGGTGTGATCACTCTCGTTTGGCCTGAGCTTGGGCGGTCACGTGTTGAACTTCGCTGTCAGTACCTATCCCAAAGGCGAGAAATGGTACTCTGGGAAACATTCAGCAGTCTGGCTACATCTGTCTGGTATTCACCTGCTTGTAACCGACCGATAGAGGTTGTTGCGTTGGTCTTCGTTTAGTTGTGGCATCACTTAGCTCGTTGAGTGTTTACATGTGCAACTGATTTTGAAACCGAGAACCCCAGGATTTTAAAGGCCTTAGATTTGGGTTACATGCGAAAAGCTTG